ATATATGGATATGGAGATATATATATGTATGTATATATATCCTTGTTTAAAATTTCCCAAATTAAGGAAATCCCACTAAAGGTTATCAGTTTTTAATTATGCATAGAAAGGAGGACTTATATAGTTCCTAGTTAGTTTCATATGTATAGTTTATATCATTTCATAAAAAATGAATAACTGAAAATTACCCAGTTCAGTTTGTTACTGATTTGTTTTATGAAAGGAGAATAATTTAAAGCATGCTGTAATTTGAATAATTAAATGCTCATTTGAAACATTAACTTACTAATGAAAACATTGAGCTATATTTAAAAGCAGCCAGCTCAGTTGAGTTAATCAACTGTAACCGTTTGATTGCGCATGTTTTCCCACACTGATGGGCAGCCAACTGAGGTAGTGCTATCCAGTACAGTCAGCTCTCGATTGTCTGTGGTAATGGGAAACAACAATGCATGGGTAAACCTAAAACAAAATACTGTCTGGTACCTTCCTGTCATCTGCTGTGGCCTGAGCACATGCTTGGATCCAGGATGGAGATGTGGGGGTGGGTCTTAGGCTTGCAAGGGAGCTGGGAGTCAGATTATCTCAAGATAATAAAACATATCCTGGAGGAACGCGGGTTTGGCTCTGTGTGGCTGATGTGTCATGGAGGGAACCTGCAGCAGAGCATGCAAGACCAGCTTGGCAATAGCAGTGAGAAGGATGGAGAAGCAAATTAAGTGTGTGTGAGTAATAATAGATGTTTAAGTCCTGCACAGTTGCTTAACAAGCAGCAAACAATAATAGTATTAATAGCAGTATACTTGCATTAGTTTTGATCTTCTTTGCTAGCGAAACATGTTTACTTGCCATAGGTGGGTGCTATAATTGAGCCTTTTCTAAATAAAAGTAAGTTTATTTTATCATATAACTACAGTCATACCTTGGCAATATTGTGGTTTTGGTTCCAGACCACTGCAGTAAAGTTGGTTATATAATCTTTTTGCTGGTGCTGGAGCATCTTGCCTACAATATGTTATAAAAAAATGCCAACACCTGTGAAACACAATAAAGCTAAGTGTAATAAACCAAACTATGCCTGTAGTAACTTTAGAAAACCAGGATGAAAAGGAAAAAAAAAGAAAACCAGAATGAAATTGAAATACTTTTTTTCTTATTAAAATTCTCCCGAAGTATCAATGCTGAATTTAACCTAATGCATTTTAGAATTATAACGTCAAATATTATGAAGGCAAAAACAGTGATTTCTGATAGGTATGAGTTTGATTTTGGAAAAACATAGTAACCACATTTTTGTTAAATATACATTGTAGGAACTCTACAAAAGGTCTCTTAAAGCCGATAACTGCCCCGAGTTCATGAATGTTAAAGCTGGATTTTAGGTAAACGTTGGGGTGTTCATTATGTTACTCTGTTTAATTTGAATATGATTATTGCATTTGCCAAAAAGTCTGTATATTTTTTCCCATAAAATAAAAGACACATTTTATATTTTCACCAATAACTTTATTGATTTGGATATTTTGAGTATGTCGGCTAGCTCCCATGTGGTATAACATCGATTGTTCTCAATTAAAGTCTCAGTTTGATCACTATCAAATTCAGCTGATCTACCCAACTGTGGAGCATTGTCTGGCAAGGAATCTCCAGCATGAAAGTTTGCAAACCACTTTTGACACATTTGATCAGTCACAGAACTGCACAAATTTTTTTTTCCTTGCATTTCAGTTGCTTTTTCACATTTCTTGAAATAAAAGTTAATATGCCGAAAATGTGTATTCTGTCTTCAGTATAAAATGACTACAAAAATACACCAATTTTGATAAGTTGTTTTTAAATACATGCTGATATGACAGCTGTCATAATACAGCTGAAGAAAACTGTTTCAAATGAAGTTAAAGACGATTAAGCACTATTAGAGCCATCTTATGGTAAAAACCAAATGAACTTTTTGGCTATTTGGCCAGTATTTTCCACAAGAGAAAGCTCTGAAAAATTTGACACAAGTGATTGCTAAAAACTTCAGAAACTTCTAGACCACACTTTCATCTTACTTATGGAATAGATTTATTCTCCATTAAGTTATTATTTGGACTCCAGATAAAACCATAGCTATTTTCTGAAGGTATTTTTGATTCTATCCAAGAAAATCCTATAGTTTAATCCAGTGTAGTAGTGGGGTGGCAAGAATACAAATTATATTCTTTGATTTTCTTAATCATACATTATTTTTATTACTGTAGATATTTTTAAAAAGTTAATGACACCAAATATCTATACTTAGGCATTCACTAGAGGTATTAATCTTTAGTCAATGCTTGTTTAAAGTTTGGAAACAATTGATAGTTGAGAGTAAAAAATGATAATGTAGGGGTCCAGCAAATTAGTCTGTCTTCTACTTTATTGGCTCTCAACCAGGGCATTTTTACCTTCAGAGGAACATTTGGCAGTGTCAGCCGTTTTCCTTGTCACAGCCTGAGGCAGGGTGTGCTGCAGGTATTTACTGGGATGCTGCTTCATTCCCACCCTGCGGTGCTCAGGACAGCCCCCCACAACGAAGAATTTATGTCCCAAAATGTCAGTAATGTCTATGCTGAGAAATCTTGCTCTAATTTTTCTAAGATATAGTCATTCTTCTAAAGTAGACAACTAGAAACATTATATAGCCAAACTAACATATTTTGACTTTCTATAGACATGTGTTGAGAATTACTTTAAAATATGCCTTTATTTTTTTACTGAGAATTAATATAAGAAGCAAAAAAAGAACATTTTTCTCTTTGTAGTTCCTTCATCCATTTCCATTTAGAGTTTAATGCTGAAAAAATTTTCAGTTTCTTGATAAAGGGGTACATTTCCTTGCAACTCATATTTCTACTTTGCCTTCTCTCCCAGGAAGCTAAGAGGCCAATTTTATGCTATAATAGTAACTATCCCTTACTTAGGATTATAGGCTTGAGATCTTTTCCTTTGCTATGTTGGTCCTCCTTTTATTGTTACCATAAAGGTCTGTATTGTTTTGGGCTACTTGTATATTAATGTAAGCAATAAGTGGAAAGTTGCTCCCTCCTTTTAATTTTCCAGAAATTTATTAATGTTTCCAGCATGAAAATTTGAAATTAAAGTTCCAATTTGCTATAGTCTTAAGAATTTTATTATAGTTGTTTGGGTTTGCATTCTTATGGTTTTATTTCTAAATAAGATAATTACATTTCTTAAAACCAAGTATAGTAGAAACAGTGTTTCAAGGACTGCATTCTGATAATCTTTTATTAATATGACAAAGACCAGTTTCATAAAAATAAGTGCATATTTTATTTGGTTTTTGTTTATTTTGAAACATACTTAAGTGTGAAATCCTCCCAGTCTATATTTTTAATGATTCAGGATGACTCATTACAAATTAATTCAGGATGAGATTTGTTTCCATTTCTCTGAAGTTAAAATAAGTAAATTCCAGTATCATTACTAATGTGCAAAGTTCTTTTCTCTGTTATAGCTCCCCCAAGCCGTTGACAAAGAAAGCAGATTTCATAATATACCCAACATGCACAGAAAAAGCTCAGGTTATTTTTGTCTTAAAAAGAAATACTTAAAGTGATAAGGTTATACTACCTCAGCTAGTCTTTGATTTGATGCTTTATTTAGATATTTATTAGTTCTGAAGCTTATAGATTATATTGCTTTTAAGATCTCTTGGTTGAAATAGGCTTTGAATTTGTTTCAAGTTTCCTTCATATTTTAGGTAGTTTAGAAAGATAAGTCATCAGCTTTCAGATTTTTAAAAGTGGTATTCAATAATGTCATGATGGTTATCATCATTTCTTTCCACTTCTATGTTATTACCTGGTTCTTCTTTTAGAAGGGGAAAATTGAAGTAGGGCTGGGAAGGAATTAGCAAGTGTGTATTACTTGCTGCTTCAGGCAGGAACGGTGGGAAGAGATGTGAACAGTTTTAGTAAAGTGTATTCCAAACCTTTGGATTGCAACCCACACTAAAAATAACATTTTACATTGTACCCAGTACACAACTCTGTACATTTTTATATATGTAACAAATAAATGTTTCAAGAAACAATACTTAGTACTATGTGTATTTACAGTGTGATATTTCTATTTTATTTCATTTAAGATAACTGCTGCTCACATCCCACTAAATTGCAACCTGCAGTTTGAGAAATGCTGTTTTATTAATTGTATAAGTTTGTAGAGAAATTCATCCTCTATTAGCAAATAGAAGACTGTGAGTAAAGGCACATGTAATCTATGTGAATATTTAATATATAAAATAATGAAATATTTTAGAATCTTTGTGTCATGATAAAATACAAGCCATTTTACCTAAGTAAAACTGTATTTTAACCTCCCTTTTTAAAAGCGTTTACTTTCATAGATTAAAAATTAGAAATTATATCATAGGTTATTTTTCAGTGTAACCAGATTAACCACTAGGGCTTTCTTAATCATTACATTTGGCTAACTCTTAATTATGGGGAGAAAACACAGCATGCTTTAACCCACTGGGTGGCACACTTTTTCTGTAACCGCCTAGCTGATAAGCACCTGAGGCTTTGCAGGCTGTCAGGTCTCTGTTAGAACTACTCATCTGTGCCATTGTAGTGTGGGGATACATAAGCAGGTAGAATGGCGGGGTTCCAATAACATTTTATTTGTGGAAACTGAAATTTGAATTCCATGTAATTTTTACACATAACAGCATTATTTTTCTTTCTACTTTTTCAACCATTAAAAATATAAACACAACTTGTAGCTTTTGGGTTGTGAAGAACAGGCGGTGGGCCGTACTTCATCTGCCAGCCACGGTATTCCAACCCCTGTTTTAGTCTAAAACTGGAGAAAGTCAGTAATGGTCCAAAAAGGAGAAAACTGAACAGTTGTGGTTAAGAATATGAATTATGATATTAAATCTTTTGAACATTTATGTTGACTTTTCTGGATATTAGAGCTATACATTTTTGTGTTACATTTATATTTTTCAGACCGTTGATATTCATAAAGAGAAAGTTGCAAGAAGAGAAATTGGTATTTTGACTACCAATAAAAACACTTCAAGGACACATAAGATTATTGCTCCAGCCAACCTTGAACGACCAGTTCGTTATATTAGAAAACCTATTGACTATACAATTCTAGATGATATTGGACATGGAGTAAAGGTAAGTATAATTTTTGTCAAGTTTTTTAAAAACAATAGCCCAAATTGGAACTAACTTCTTGGAAAATGAAGCTATTATCTTTCCTTCCCTAGAGAGCCAAGTCTTGGCCCAGTTACGGTTCTGAAGATTCCCTACTGCTATAAACTAGTTTTATCTTTAGTTGCTGCTGCTTAGTGCTGTGTTCTCCAGTTTTAAATAGTTATCTTTGAATGAATTGCATTTGCTTAATTATTTATGATAACACCTCACATATATGATAAGTGTGGTATAATCTTTCTAATTTTTTAATATAACTGATTAAAAATCATTCAATGTGTTATTAAAGTATTTATTTTAAAAATTTATCAGCCAACTTTTGGCATTAGAAAGAACATAATTAAACAAAAATGTACTTTGATTTTTCTAAAATAATTTTAACATTTTGAGTAAGAATAGTGTAGATAAAAGTAGTATGTGAATTAATATTCCTGCTGCTTTTGCATATATAGCCATTATATTTTTTTGGCTATCTTCTAAGGTGTATTTGAGTGCCTGCTATGTATACAAAATACCATGATCAAAAATTGACGGGTATATAAATTTTATTTAAATTGGTATTAGTACTTAAGAAAGTATTTGGTGTTTCAGCTGAGTATAAAGTTACTCAAATGTTTGCATTTCATCAGTGATTTTAAAGACAATGAAATGACTTATCAAATGTGACTTTGAATAAATATACATGCTTATAAGTGAAACTAGTTTATGCAGTTGATTTATGACTCTGTAAGCAAATTTAAATTAAAAAAATGTCCTACACTAATATGGCTAGAAATCAGTTAAATCTAACTTTAATTTAGATTTAGGTGAATGAAAATGTACAGTGTAAAGTTTTTAAAAAAATATTTTTTTTCCTCAGAATTTTGATAATCACTATTATTTGGAATTTGATATTTAATTTTATAATGAATACCTACATGCATTTTAGATTACTGTATTAAAGCATGTTAAAATAAGATGTGTAATTAGATGGATAATTAATAACTGAAATTTATTCTAACTTGGGAAAACCTTTTGAAATTTATTCAAGGCTAGCAACTGCTAATAGAAAATTTTAGTGCACTGCCAGAATCTAATGACTAAAAGGCACTTAGAATGTATAAGAGGGTGTGCACACTTCATCTTTGTGCTTGTTCTCTTATATAATTAAAAAAGGTGATTTTTCCACTCCAATTCTTATTTAATTCTCAAGCAAAGTATTATTGTTTTGGGACTCTGTAGTCTTTTTCATTGTTTGAACTTTTAGTGTTTAGAGGTCACTAATTTGAAGAAATCTTTAATAAAGTTAAGTTTTTGAATAAAACAATGTCATATAATTTCATCAAAAATCTCTTGTTCATGACACATTCTGCTTTAACCACTCTTTCTATGATCTACTGAAACATTATTTTTTAATGCTAAATGCTTAACTTGATTTTTCTTTGTTTTTTCCTTTCTCTTCACATCCTGAAGTTCCAACTAACCTTTCAATGCTTTTTTTCCTTACCTCTTTTATTTGCTCCATTTATGCATTAAGTGGTTGCTTAGATTTAAGGTAAGAGATTCCAGGGCTGGATTTCCATTCTTTGTTCTTATGTAGAATATTACATATGGGGAGTGTAGAGCTATGTGGCAGTTGGCCTTTTAAAACCAAAGGATAATTCCTCTTTCTACTTATTTTTTATTTTTGTTGTGCAGCTTTGTGGTGTCTTTATGTTCCATGAGGGCAGTTATTTTGTCTGTTCACTGCCCCATCGTGTGTGCCTCGAACAGTGCCTGACTGTTCATTAGGTGCTTAGTAAATATTTATTTAATAAGTGGTTATTTTGCAATGTTGATATATTTTTCAAAGCTGAAATGTGTGTTATCCTATCATAAAATGTCATTATGAAATAAAGTTAGCTGGATTTTGTAAATGTAGACATTTTGTTATGGATTGGAGAGCCAACGAATGTGCTTTATTTAACCCTCCCCCTGTGTAATAGCTTTTTTATTCTATAAATGGTGTGCTTCATTATATATCTTGTGGCCATTATATCATTATCTCTTGACTCTTAATGTAAAGAAATTGAGAAGCGGAAAATATTGTTACAGGATTTTTTTTTAAGTTGCAGTATCACGTATTTTAAAAAAACAAAATTAGTCTTTTTTCTTAAATTGCTATGTGAAATATGTGTTTCAGTATAAAATCACTTTAAGAGTTTTCAAACTATTATATGCAAAACATAAAAAGTGCATGATAATGTTTCACAAAATCCAAGTTAAGAATTAGAGAAATATTTCCTTTTGTTATTTGTTTAAGTAACATTTTATTGTAGTATTTTGGAGGTTTAACAGTAAAAGACATTCTAGTATATTCAAGAAATCTGTCAAATAGTATGTTACTAAAATTTTCACCAAACTGACCGTGCATTTCCTTTGTCCCCCCCCCCCCCCCTTAGGTGAATTGTATGACTTCTTTTCAAATACTCAGTTGTTTGCCATGTCTTCAGTGTAGAAAGTGATAACAAGAAGACCGGATAACTGAGATCTGAGTTATAACTAGCTAGTAACCATGGGGTTACAGAAATTTCTGTGGTAGGGACACATGACTAGAGAAGCCCAGGCAAATGCTCGTGTTGTGTGATTGATTTCCCCAGGGGTGTCCAACCCATGGTCTGCATGCCATATGCAGCCCAGGGTGGTTATGAATTTGACCCAACACAAAATCATACATTTACTTAAAACATTGTGAAGTTTTTTTGTGTGTGATTACATGTCGCAGTGTATTTAATGTGTGGCTCAAGACAACTCTTCTTCCAGTGTGGCCCAGAGACACCAAGAGGTTGGATACCCCTAGAAGAGTGTTGGCTAAATGCCCTAGTTTTGGTGAATGAAGCATGTAGAATAGTGAGGATGTTCCTTTTGCATAAAATAGGTAGAACTAGACCCAAAACCATGTGGCTACCTTGGCTCTTTTCCTTTAAAGCCTGTATTCAAATTATGATTATTGATGTGTTAGCCTCCAAAGTGAATGAAGTACACAGAGATTAACTGAAGGAAAAGCACAAAAATGGATCAATTCTTTTCCCTGAAAGTTTAGACCAGCTTGCCTAAGCTACTACTATTCTATGATCATTTCCTCCAAATCCTGCTATGATTTCTTCTTGATCATCCTGGATTCAGGATCTCCATGTAGGAGATAGGCCAAAATGAGTGGGAAATGAGAGGGCCTTGAAAGGAAGATTTTGGATAAGACTCCTTAACATCTTTGCTCTTTATACCAAATAGCTCCACTCTTGAGTACAGTGGCTCTGTACAGTGTAGATGGTTTTACTGTACCTGAGCGGAGTGGACAGGGTGGGGAGGGTACCCTGAGTTTATCCTAGAAGCTAGACTGTGCCAATGCTCTGTCTTCCTTTCTTCCTGTTCCTATTTGTGAATATGTCTGTCTCTCTATAAACTTGAGGCACATTAATAATTTGGGGTAAACCAAAACAGAGTAGAGTGAAAAAACTAGTCTGCATATAGCAAATCATTTCTCCTTTTATGCTGGAAAAAAAAAGACTAGTGGTTTTGCAAGGGTGATTGATGGAATAATTGAATATATCAAGGTATAAAATAGGATTAAAGAAAAAAAAAGTTAAAGTTGTCAGGGACTACAAGTAACAAACTAGTCCAGTAGTTTTTCAGCTGAGCTTCTTGGTGACCTGTGGATTACATCAGGGGCCTTAGAAGCCGCCCGATGTTCGGTAGGACCGTTGCTACTTTGATTTCCTCCTCAGCTCTTCTTGAGCTTTGCTTTTGCTCTCATTGCTGTCAGATTTGATGCCTTTGGGACAGACACTAAACAAAGTTTGTACTTTAGGGTCAGACACGTGAGAATTGACTCAGAAGAGACCTCCATGCTTAAAAGTTGAATTTCTAACATTTTATACCTCATGTTGTGGTGTTTAATAGTTCTTTTCATCTGACATTTGGGTTGTTTTTTCTTCAGTTGACTGAGGAAAACATTGTAGAGTGTAATTGATAACACCTTTGAACACAATGTGGTGATATTTTTACAACAAAAGGCCTAAAAAGCCAAAGGATAGAATGCAGTATTGGAAATGTTTTAATAGGTACCAGAGGCCATGTTAAAATGGAATGTACCTTGAAGTGGGGTTCTGTTCCCTACTTTTTATTTTTATTTTTTATTTTTTCAATATTTTATTTATTTTTAGAGAGGGGAAGGGAGGGAGAAAGAGAGGGAGAGAAACATCAATCAGTTGCCTCTCGAACACCCCCAAATGGGGACCTGGCCCTCAACCCAGGCATGTGCCCTGACTGGGAATTGAACCAGCGACTTTTTGGTTCACAGACCAGCACTCAGGCCATTGAGCCACACTAGACAGGGCTACCCCTTATTTTTATAGTAAAAAGAGCTTTAAGACTCTGTTACTGATATATTTTAAATGGATTTTTCTGCTTTTGAAAGCAGTAAAGTTGTCAATGAAGCTAAACTTAAGTACTTTTTAAGTAAGTGTATTAGTTTAATCAAAAATAGTAAAGACTTATCTGTTAGTGTAGTATTTCAGTTGAACATTGCACAAGCCGATTCTATATAATTAACAAGGAGGTGGTTATGGGTTTATTTTATAATATGTTAAAAATATAACACTTGAAAATTTTTCTTGGCATATTGAAGGTCTGTAACTTAACTCTATGTAAACTATGGGTTAAGTTTTTCACTTGAGTGCAGTTCTTTAGCAAGTGTTGGTTATTAACTACAGAGAATGATAAAATGCTCCTCATATTTCTAGCTTTCAGATACAGCATTCATTTAGTACAACGTTGGGAAAAAAAAACTCTGTATTAACAGCAACCCCTGGTAGACCTATCTGGTTTTGCCGGTTCCAGTCGTGAGCCACCAGTTCTATTTGGCAAAAGTCAGCTGTCAGAAACGATTTTCAAAGTCAGGCAGGAGTTTGTCCATCTTTACTCCTGATATCTTACTCTCATTTCTCTATCTTGGGTTATTTCTGGAGTCTTGGCACCTTAGGCTTTTTGTCTTTCTAATTCGGTTGGTACATTTTACCTCTCTCCTGAATTCATACTCGAATTCCCGATTTCAGCTTTACTTTCCTGTATAGGGTCTCCTGGTCCTTTTCCTGCTAGCCATGAGAATTGAAGTAGGAACATACATTCTCTGAGGAGAGGGATAGAGATTTCTAGGAAGCCAAAGAATTATGTCCTGGGTGGGACTAAAGGGAAACAGTACTGGACAGCGATGAAGGCCCAGGGGTGCTTGACCACAGCTTCCTCCTGCCCATCTTCACCACTCCACATCCAGACGCGCTCCTCTGGAGATGACTCCTCTTTAAATCCTGCTCTTTTTAATTTAGTAGTCCCGCTCAGATTTTTCCCTATGAAACCTTCTGTAGCTATTTCTCCTCACATTGATAATTTCTTGGGGGGGAGGGTTTTCTATATAATTTGTAGAAATTATCAGTCCTTTTTGTTTGAAACATACGAGTTACAAATTCCAAAATACTATAAATTCTTTAGAAGCAATCATTTTATAGACCTTTGTGTTACCTCTGGTGTCCCACTTATTTTTTATAATCACTTACCCTTGTACCTAGTAGTCGGGTAGGTGGTACGTGGTGGAGAAATGAGGGATGTATCACAGGTATTATTAAAAATGTGTGTGCCACTGTTATATCACAGCAGGTCACCTGTCAATAGGTTTGTGTTTTTTTTGTTTGTTTGTTTTTTTGTCATTATTGTGTTTTGTTTTTTGTTTTTAGTAGCAGAGGCGATGTCCTTATTGAACCTGGCTGGCCAGCTTTATAAGAAATACTGAAGTTCGCAGGGTACTTGAAAGCACTGAGATTTGTAATGAGCATTGTATTATATGTCAGGGTTCAAGGAGGTATTGAACGTATCCAAAAAGGTTAGAGCAGGAAAGGGAGGGGCACTGTAGAAAAAATAGTAAGGCATTAGAATTGGCCCGATGGTTAGTGCTAGTTGTAGAGATTTCTTTCCAAAGCCTGGGAGACCAGACCATTCTTTGATCATAAAGGAATTGCTGCTACCCCTTGTATTATATGTATTCCTTAGTCACAGGCTAGTGGGAAAGTATTTGAGCTGTGGCCGTGCATTAACCTTCATCACCTGAATGAATATTTTTTCTGTTTTGAGGGTTTCTCTCTAGGAGGGGAAAAAACCCTGGGACCTTTCTTACCATTCTTCCTTCCTTGTGCCTAATACCTCCTTTACTTAGCTCTTAGTGATGACTTTCCCCTTTATGGAATCAAAAAATACCCACATAATTAAATTATTGTTGCAACCAGCCACCAAAGTTTCATTCTTCCAGTTCCCAAATAAAACTGCGAAAATTGTAATGGGCACTCGCACTCATGACTCAGGACCATTAACTACACATTTAAGTGCCAGATAGATAGTTCTGCTTATGTTTGCAATTTTTTAAGTTTCATGTGGAATTGTTATTATGAACTAGGTGCAGAATTATTTTGTTTTCTTTCTTCTGTGTTTGTGGTACATGTGTTCTCAGTCTTCCCCCCTCCTTTCTCCCTCTCCATTCCTCTCTTCCTCTTTACCACATACATAGCTTAGTTGTGTGTGTTTTGTTTCTTGTCAGGAAATATTATTTTCCTCTATAAACTTTCTTCAAAATAGTTTTTAGTACCATGATGACTATCCAGAAAATATTTTATAAGAATATTTTAGACTTAAAATATAGTTTCTTAACTTTGATTTTAATACAAATCCCACCTCTGATTAAAAAAATTAAATTTTGTTTGGAAATTATTCCTGTTCTCTTCCCTTTTCCTCAAACTAGATGGCAGGTTATATTCTATGTAGTATATTTATTATTTTACTTAGCATAGAAGCCGTTTACAAAAACTCTTTTTGCTTAATATAAAGGTAGCACAGTATTAGTGAAATATAATTATAAATTTTTTTCAACATTCTATAGGGACTCTGGTTTCTTCAGTGATTGAAGTTACTTATTCAAACCTCATTAACCAAACAGATACAGTCATATGATGATTCTACAAATATGAAATGCAGCAAATTTTATTTATAGAAATGTCTACCATATTTTAATTTATAAATTGTGTACTTTATATTTTGAGGGCTAGATTAAAAGACTTAAAGAAGATACTGCAATTTAAACAAAAACGCCTTACATACCAAAACCTTAAATCAGAGTTGGAAAGCTGTTTTCAAGTATTTTAGCTATTCCATGTATAGAATAAAATTCTCTTCTACTTTTTTCCTATTCCTGATCCTCTTTCTTCCTTTATAGCAAATGGATGTAGTTTAGTGTTTGGTTCACCTACTTCTCCTTCATCACTTGAAGTAACCTTGGGATTTATGTTGTTTAAGGTTGAGCTTAAAGGACTTTGGTTACTAATTTAAAAAAATCTTCTGGTGTCATAAATTAAAATTTATTGTTTTAAAAGCTATTGGTTGTCATATTACTCCTAAAATTTTCCCCAAATGTGGATTGATTTTTAAAAAAATCTTCTGACATTTTCATTTTAAGATATGATTAGTATACCCCTCTGCTTACTAATGAGGGGGAGAGCAAGGATAAGTTAATCTTCTTTCTTACTTGATAACTAGTTTGTTTTATATTTGTTGTTAAAAAGCAACAACAAAAGGGTTACCATAAATGCTTCTCTTTAAAAATACTGACATTTCAAAGGTATGACAAAGGTAATGACATTTGTCATTAAAGATTGGTTTATCATCACACACAACTTGCTCACTGGGCTGTTCATTTGAAGAGTTTGTTTCTTAATATCATTTCTTACCTATTCAGATGACAAGTAATATTTTAGGATTTTAAAAAATTCTATGTAGTTTTGATAGCCTCAGTATTCTGTATACAATTATAATTTGTTTTCTTAAAATTTTATTTTTGAAATTACATATAGAAATGTATTCTGATTTCATTGGTGTAGTATCTTGGAATTTCATTTTACAAGCATAATTTGAATACTGTAGACATTCTTATTAATCCTTTTTTGAAGTGTTTGACACTCCAAAATATGAGGGGCTGAAAATATGATCAGGCATAAACCTATATGGTAAACATTAACTCAAACCCATTGGTAATCTCAAACAGTTTGAGATTGCATTTGAATTATATTTGTGAATGACTTCTCATAGCTCCTTAAAATATCCAGATTTTTAGGGCTTTCTGCATAAATGCTGACATACTTCTTTTGTGGCATCACTGTTCCCTTATCTCCCAGCTTTTCTACATTTGCACTTTCAGTTGGGGTTAGAGTAGTGAGGAGTAAGGCCCAGCTCAGATTTGGGACGGTGTCGCTTCCATCTTTCCTGTGATTGAATTAATCTTCATTTTGGGCCAGAATGGGTTTAATTCCCATTGGAACTAGGACATTGCCTGTGGTCCCTGTACTGTTCACAGGTGGATGGGATAGCTCAGCCCTAACATTCCAGTGCAGATGTTTAGGAACATGCCTTAATTTCTGGCAGTTTACAGGTAGGTGATTCCTTCATATGAGAACATTAAAGAAATCTGAATTATAAGGCTGATCTGCTGTTTAAAAAACTAAAATTTTATAGGTATATCATGCAATTTAACTTTATATTCTCTAGTTACAATGGAGCAACACCGTAATTGCTTATTTTATTTGAGAAACATGTATTTTGTTTTGTATGATATACTTACTCTCTAGAAAGACAAGGACTTGCTTAAGGGCATCATTGAGTCTGACTAAGTTTATTATTTAAGGTTTTTATAGTTATCCTATTTAATTTCAAATTGAATATATTATCAAATAGTCCAACCAGTGATCTGTTGGTGTGATGGCCTAATGGCAAATAAAGTCTTTGCATACAAGTTTATAATTATTTGAAAATTTCATGTTAGGAAGAGTCCTTTGAGTACAACTGTAGAATAATATAGAGTAGATACTGCATATGAAATGCATGGCCTCTAATTTTTTTGCTATTTAAACCTTCCCCTTCTTTGTTAAATAGCATAATGTTATTTCCCCAAAGTGGCACTTTGTTTTGCTGCATACAAGTTGAGTTTTTCTTAAAAATTTTTTAGGTGAGTACCCAGAATATGAAGATGGGTGGGCTGCCGCGTACAACACCTCCAACTCAGAAACCCCCCAGCCCCCCTATGTCAGGGAAAGGGACCCTTGGGTGAGTATATAACTATGTAATAACTGGCAACTATTTCATGTAGTGTTGTTGAAAACTAAACACTACTTATACTTAAATTATTTTTTAATACTTGAAAAGAGAACATTTTGTTCCTAGGATTATCTTTTTTGTGTGTAATTTTCCCTTTTCCTGGGAAACATTTTTATACTTTAAAAAGATTTTGTTTAGAAATTATTTTTCTAATGAATTTTGCATTTAAGATAAAATACTAGTCCAAGTTCATGCTTTACTATAAATTGCACTCATAATTCTTATTTTCATAAAAGTTTTAGTCTTTTGTATTATAGTTGGCTATTATTTAGACTTCCTCTGAAGAGCATTGTATAGATTACAAAATTTGGTAATCTCACTTTAAGAGAATATGAGCTTCAATTTGGATCTATAGAGGTGGGTTCTGGATTTGACTTTTGGCAGAAATGGTTAATTAATAGAAAAGGTTGCCTTTTCTTCTGTAGCATCATAGTACAAAAAGTGGGTTGATCGTGGAGTTTTGTGATCAGATGGGCATAATGTACCCCAGAAGCCAGATGGCCAAATTGTGGTCCAGCTCTGCTCCTGCTCTATGGTCTTACATAGTCAGCTTCTTAGCAGTTCAGCTTTTTCATCTGTAAAAGGGGGTAATATCTGTTGTCTATCAACTTTTCAGAGTCACTATCATCAATTGGATTTTTTAAAAAGTGTATAAAACAAAGACAAAATGCTGTAACAACCATTGGCTTTATGATTTATGCTTAGAAATTTCTAATTGACAAACTTGTTTTTGGCCCCCTCACCAAAAAAAAAAAATCTGACATAAATGAAAAGCACAAAAAACCTAATCAAGTGTTGTGGATCAGAACAAGACAAAGATGAGTAGGGGTAAAAAGGAGGATAATGTCGGAAGAGGTTAGAGTAAAGACAATGGGAAACAAAAGAATAAAAATGAATTCTAGCCAGGAATAGGATTTTATTTGGGGTGGACAAAAAAATTTCTGCTTAGAGAAGAATGAATCTAGTAAATCAAATAAAATGTAAACTTCAGGGTAGAATGTAGATGACATGCTAGGGTATAATTTTGCAGTGGTAAGAGTAGACAGATTAAGAGGAAGACTTTTCCTTATTTTCCTGTAAATGTCTACTATTATTTGATCATGTATCGTACCTAAGAGATTCTTAGCTTTTAAATCAGGGTTGTTAGCAAGCTAACACACTGTAGTCTTTAATAAAATAAAACTTTCTCTTACTCTCAAATTTTGAAGATTTCCTCATATGCCAGTATTTGTTTTCCTTGTGTAGTAGTAAGAGTTTTGCAGGGTCCTCAGAGTCTCTGAGCACCACATGCTGGTTGATGGTCACAGCCTGGCCTTTTTTGCAGTCTCTGCGTAGCCACCGTATTTTGTTACTGTGCCCCTTGTGTTTTATCTTATGTTTATCATTTTCCTCACTGTATAGTTCTCAGCCAGCAAAGGGTTTTTTTCTTGGCTCGAAACAGAACGTTGAAACACAGAACATTTTTTTGTCTGGGAGAAATTGTCTGGAAAGCAGATGTTTAGAGATTAATCAGTTTCTATTTTATGTTTTTTTAGTATTTACAACATAATTTCAGAGATGCCAAAACTTCTTTTTAGTATTTTAAATGCAGGGTCCTGACATTCCTTCTTCCTTTGCCCAGTATCTCATCTAATGCCCCTTATTTATTTATTCATTCATTTAGTTAGTTATTTTTAAAGATTTTATTTATTTACTCTTAGAGGAAAGAAAGGAAGAAAAGGAGAGAAAGATCAGTGTGCAAAAGATACATGATCAGTTGCCTCTTGTATACCCACTACTGCGGACGCGGCCCGCAACCTAGGCCTGTGCCTTGACTGAGAATGCAACCAGTGACCCTTCGTTTGTAGGCCAGTGCTCAGTCCACTGAGCCACACCTGACAGGGCTATTTGTAATTATTAATGTATGTATGTATTTATGCAAGAGATTTTGAGGGTGGTAGAGTGGATGGGTCAATGCAAAGTGATCTCACCCAAAATTGGTGAACCATAATTTGAATAACCCAGCAGAGCAGTATTTAAAGAAACCTTGGAAGCTTTGAGGGAGTGAATTATTGAGAAATTTGAAGTTAAGTGAGCAACGTCATTTCAGGAGAAGAAAGCTTTTTAATTTTCACATTTTGAGATCCCAATTTTTATTCTTTTAAAAACCAGAATCTCATGTGCAAAATGTCAGTTGAGTATTTATTACTGTCATAAAGAATTAGGAAACCATGTGTTGTACACCTGAAACTAATACAAAATAACATTGAATGTAAACTAATTGAAAAAATAAAAGAAATTTAAATTATCTAAATGTTAACACACAAAAAAAGAATTGGGAAACAATATTTCCTTTCTTACTCTTCTTGTTCTCTTCCTTTAGAAGGAAATTTGAAGGAAAAAAGAGAAATATGTTAATAAAACCTCATTTAGAAACAGGTAGTCTTTGTCTGATTTTCCTTTTAAATGTTGAACTCTGAGGGAGAGTAAAAGGCAAGAGATTAAGGTGAAAGTTAAAGGAGGAAGTGAGGTGAGCATGGAAGATGAGATTAAGTTATTTTCATGTGTAGATATAGTTTAATTTCTGTGTATTTAGTATATAGAAAAGGAATTTCAGGGTTATAATTGCTATGATCATCAGTGTGGGGGTTGTGGAGCCTGTCTTTGAGTATCTTTGGTTAGGGAGAGAGGGGTGAGGAAGATAATTAATTAGTGCATTCATGGAATGCAGTTGGGAGACTTTGACATGATACTAAAGTAACTTGAACTCAACCAAAAAAAAAAAAAAAAGAGTCTGGGAAACATTGGCTTACCTGGTGGTAAAATCTTTATGCTCAATGAGAATGAATGAACAAAATTGCATTAGCACAGGGAAATGAGGTTGGAGACTAAAAAAATAACTCATCAAAACCCTAATGACAGAGAAGTGATACTTAAGGAAAGACTGAAATTGGTAGCTGGGTTATGTAAAAACACATCTTTCTATCTCTAAGTACAAATCGTATTTCACTACTGGCAACTCTTTGAATTGATTGTGCCGAAACTTGCTAATCACACGATACATACGCTCTTCTTTTTGTAGGCGGCACTCCCCCTATCGCACACTGGAGCCAGTGCGTCCTCCAGTGGTACCAAATGATTACGTACCTAGCCCAACCCGTAATATGGCTCCCTCGCAGCAGAGCCCTGTGAGGACAGCTTCTGTGAATCAAAGAAATCGAACTTACAGGTATTTTCTCTACCTCAGCGCAAAGTGTGATGGTCATAGTACCATAATTTGTTCAGATAACTTCAGTTAAATCTCTCTCATTTTCCAAGCACTAAGTTCTTTTCCTCACTCTACTCTCCCAAACCTCATCTGATTCCACCTCTCTCTCCTCCTGTTCTGATGCAACTTTGAGCAGTCAGGAAGTTGGGGGAAAAAGACATGTTCAGTGCAAACTTCTCTGCAAAATTAATAGTTATAATTGACCTTAAAAAAATTATGGGCCAGATATGGGAAATTTCAAGTTGTTTTTTGGTGGAACTTTACAGATGAAAAACTATATGCAAGAAAACATTCATATGGGATAGTATATCAGGATAGTACAAATAAAATTAAATAATGTGTTCAGGAAAACTATGTTTTATTATAAAAGGAGTTTCTTCAGACAGGTATTAAACTGAAGTAAAAGGAAGTATTATTATTTTTATGTGTTGAACCCATCATTTATCATTTATGTTCATCAATTTTTTTCTTCTTTCTTAATTTCTTTAATAGAGGCTTTTTCAAGGGTGGTCAAAACAAGTTTCTTGAAGTCAGCTTTTCCCCCTACTAATAAATTCATATTTGAAGTGGACGGCTTGAATTATTTTTATTGTAGCTATATTCATTTTGCAAAATGTTGGGAAATGCTGGAGATCTTACTGTATATAATACTCATGTTTTGGTGGTTCCTGTTTCTTTAGCAGCAGTGGGAGTAGTGGAGGAAGCCACCCAAGTAGTCGGAGCAGCAGTCGTGAGAACAGTGGAAGTGGGAGTGTAGGCGTTCCCATTGCCGTTCCTACTCCCTCTCCTCCCAGTGTCTTTCCAGGTAAAACATGAATGGTGCTTCACCTTGACTTGTCCTTTCTGAATTTGAATTCAATTTCTGATTTAATTACAGTGGGCTTTCTTCATAATCAGAATTTATTTTCCTTTAGGACTCCATATATGTTGGGAAATCTTTATTATGCATTTGTGATTTTTAACCAACTGATTTGTAAGTTTATGCTCACACACTTCCCTGTAATTTGGTTTATGTTTTCAGTGCTGTAGCTCATATGATGCTTTGAGGTTTCAGGTACCACACTGTTATGCTCTATGTTTAATTCCAGCTAGCGGCACTACAGTGCATGCCTTGGGACAGAGAGAGGACTCAGTGTGAAAATCGTATGTGTAACAAAGGATTGGACAAACATGTTAAATGCTTAAATGTGTTAAAAGACAGTGTTAGAGTAGTTCTGACTGTTCACTTTAGTGGACTGTCAGAGCTTAATAGTCTCTGAAATGCTACCTTCTTTTCTCTGACACAGAAAAATGTACTTATTTAGTCTGAGGATACCAGAGTTAAAATTTAGTTTTAAAAGCAGGACACAAAAGACAAAGGGATAGAATATTACATATTTAATTTACTTATTCTAATAAATAGATAATACCTCTTCAAAAATCATTGAAAAGAGAAGATTTGTGTTTCGCTGAGTGGTTTTTTTCTACCTGGTAAGATATTTATGTCTGGAACATATATGCTTATTTTCTATTTGTGTAATGCAGGATGGAATGATGTTGTTTCCCACTGTTTGTTTAGTTTTGTAATTAATTAGAGAGAAACATCAATTTGTTGTTCCACTTATTTAAGCATTCATTGGTCGATTCTTATATGACCGGGAATTGAAACCGCAATCTTGGCATATCAGGACAACGCTCTAACAAACTGAGTACCCAGCCAAAGCCTACTTTTGTATTATTTACAAAATGTTATGCTAAAGATTATAATAAAAAGGGAGCCCTTTTCTTACAGAATAGTGGCTTTCAGATTAAAAAAATGCTTGTTTAGTGAATCAGAAAATCTCTAATTACCCTGGATTCTTGAATTACTTGCTGCACACCTAATAATCGCTTAACATAAGCTTTATTCTTTTTTGCTTTTTACCACTCTCCTCTATTCTTTGGTTAGTGTTGAGCACTGCATATCTAACATTAACTTCTCTAATGCCTTTTCTAGTCCTGCCTACTGGGATTGCCTCGTTAATGCCGCTTCTCACTCCTCTTTCCCCTCAGCCCCTGCTGGCTCTGCTGGTACTCCTCCCCTTCCTGCTACTTCTGCATCTGCCCCTGCCCCTCTAGTTCCTGCTACTGTCCCTTCCTCCACTGCCCCTGAAGCAGCTGCTGGGGGTGCCCAGACCCTTGCTGATGGCTTCACTTCTCCAACTCCCCCTGTTGTTTCTTCCACTCCCCCTACAGGTGAGTATTGGCTTATTCCTTGGCAGGCAAAATCCAGTCATCTGGCTCTTCTATTACCTGGAACTCGGGCTTTATGATTTTTGTTCATTTGTTTGTTCTTTGTGTGTGTGTGTGTGTGTGTGTGTGTGTGTGTATGTATATATAAATATGAAGAATAATTTACTAACTGGAAAATGGCATGTGACCAAAATAAAATATTCTGAGGAAATCAGGGTAAAGTTTCTCATACATTTTTCCAATAGAGCAACACAAATATACATCTTTTTATTACTTGAATTTCATTTACTAGAGGTTTGTGAATTTAATGTGGCACTATCTTTTATATGGTTTTGAAAAATTGTCATTAGAAATGTTTGTTACAGGGTAAGTTACTAATGAAAAGTCTATGACTAATTCTAAGGTATATTTTATGGGAAATATTTGATACAGCTGTTTAAAAGTTTCTATAAGTTTATTATAACAGAACCTGTTGTTTGCAATAGCAGCATTGGAAACACATACACAATGGATTTTTAAAGAATTTCAGATTTACTTGTTATTTAAGGTTGACTGAAATTATAGCCTAAAATCTTTTTTTTTTTTTATGGGAAAGGAGAAAAGGGCTTAATTGCCACAATATATACTTGCAACGGTAATAGTGATGCTGGTTAGTAAATAAGTTATCTATTACAGAAATGTATATGTTTGGACACACATCACCTTAGCTTCACAAATATTTCACCGAATTTATATTCAGCACTGCTGCTATAACCAGATGTCTAAATGTATTAAAAGACACTTTTACTCAATAGGATTTTGGGTGGTGTTTTATGGGATAGCTTCTATAAAAGCACTTTTTACTACACTTGATCTTAGCCAAAAGGCTGAGAAGCGATTAAAAGCACTTTTTAAGAAAAGCTTTCTACAGTGGGTAAAGGTAAACATGGGCTGTTCTTTGATCCCCACGCAGCTCTGTTTGGCCAGACTAGTTAAATAAAGGGGTTTTGCTATGCTCCTGCGTCAGTAAAGAATACATCTTGAAGTCATTGTAAGTCCACAAAGGAAAAATCACCCCCACGTGTGAATCAGCATTTTTATAATTTAATAACAAGTGCTGGTTCATAAACACTGAATAAATATTTATTGTATGAGTGGATAATTATAGTTAGTTTTTTAAAAAAGCACGTCAGTGAATGCCTCAGTAACAATTTACGTGGACATGATCTTTTTTATACAGTCTTTGAATCACCATGTATTTTTCCTTTTTATTAAGGTATAATTTATGTACACTAACATTTACCCTTTTTAATGTGTATTACTTGGAGTTTTGAATTTTATGCAGTGATGTCAGGACAACTACAGTCAAGATGTGTAACAGTCTTAACATCCCCAAGCTGCCTTTGTAGGCACTCCTTCCTTTCACTCCTGGCCCCTGGAAAACCCTTGGTCTGGTTTTAGTCTTTCAAGTTTTGCCTTTGTGAGACTGTCATGCAAATGGAAGAATATGTTATATAGCCTTTTGGGTCTGGCTTTTTGGCATGATGCATTGGACATTTATCTGTGTTGTTGCATGTTTCATTATTTTGTTCCTTTTTAGTATCACTGAGTAGTGTTCTGTATGGATGTACACAATTTGTTTATCACTTTCCAAGGGGAGGGACATTTGGATTATTTCCTGTATGGGATGGTTATGACTGAACTACCATAAATATCTGTACACAGACTTTCATGTAAGCTTAGGTTTCCATTTCAAAATTTAGATAATTCATTGATTTTATTTCTTTTTTGGCTTGTACTTTTGGTGTCATATTTACAAGCTCTTTGCCTTGCATATGGTCATGAAGATTTTGTTCTGTTTTCTTCTTCTAGAAGTTATTTATTTTAGGTTTTACATTAGATCTGTGATAGTGAAATGAGTTTTGTTTTGGTTTCAACCAAATGCAAAGTAAATGCCTTATTAATGATAAGAATAGTCTCTTTGTCTCTTTTATGTAGTGTCTCTGAATCACTGAGGACTTACATGTGAGATTTTAGACTGGATCTAACTATATAAAATGCACAATGCTGTTAGTTATTAGATGTTTTTAACTGGATGATCCTTGGTTTGTTTTAATTTGTTACAGAGTAATTACTAAAATGCCAATAATTTATTTGTATCTGGTGATTTACCTTTTTTTAAATCCTCACCTGAGGACACGTTTATTGACTTTAGAGAGTGGGGGAGGGAGGGAGAGAAAGAGGGAGAGCAACATCGATGTGAGAACCATCCATTGGTTGCCTCCTGCACGTGCCCTGGCCAGGCACCAACCTGAAACCCAGGCATGTGCCCTGACCAGGAATAGAACCTGTGACCGCTTGGTCTATGGGATGATGCTGCAATCAGCTGAGCCACACCAGCTAGGGCTGGATCTGGTAATTTAAATGACGAGATATACCTTTTAAATGATAGTTTATGTGTTTTCATATTTTTAAGTATATTCATTTTACTATTTCAGTTGTCCCATTTTTTCCTCCTCTTCATCACCCTCTACCTCTTCCTCCATTCTCTCTCTTCCCTCTCCCCGCTGATAACACACTATGTGATCTCCACTTCTGTGATTCTCTTCCTATTCTAGTTGTTTGCTTAGTTGTTTTTTGTTTTTTTTTTTAGGTCAGTATTGATAGTTGTGAGTTTGTTGTCATTTTATTGTTCATAGTTTTTATCTTTTTCTTAGATAAATCCTTTTAACATTTCATATAATAAGGGTGTGGTGATTACGAATTCCTTTAATGTGACCTTATCAGTGAAGCACTTTACTGCCCTTGCATTCTAAATGATAGCTTTGCTGGATAGAGTAATCTTGGATGTAGGCTTTGTCTTTCATGACTTTGAATAGTCTTTCCAGCCCCTTCTTGTCTGCAAGGTTTTTTTTTTGAGAAATCAGCTGACAGTCTTATGGGAACTCGCTTCTTTTCTTTTTTATAATGTGCCTTGACGTGTTCCTCTGTGGGTCCAATTTCTTTTGGACTCTCTGTGCTTCTAGGACTTGTATGTCTATTTCCTTTGCTAGATTGGAGAAGTTTTTCTTCATTATTTTTTCAAATAAGTTTTCAATTTCTTGCTCTTCCTCTTCTCCTTCTGGAACCCCTATGATTTGGATGTTGGAATATTTAAAGTTGTCCCTGAGGTTCCTAAACCTCTCCTCATTTTTTTTTTAAATTTTTGTTTATTCTTTCTCTTCTGGTTGAATGTTTATTTCTTCCTTCTGCTCCAAATTGTTGATTTGAATCCTGGTTTCCTTCCCTTCACTGTTGATTCCCTATATATTTTCTTTTATTTCACTTTATATAGCCTTTATTTCTTCCTTTGTTTGGTGACTGAATTCAATCATTTCTGTATTTTGATTACCAGTGTTTTGAACTGTGCATCTGATAGGTTGGCTATTTCCTTGTCATATAATTCTTTTTCTGGGGTTTTGCTCTGTTCTTTTATTTCAGTCCTGTTTCTTTGTCTTTCACACCTGTTACATAGTAAGGGGTGGAGCCTAGGTATTCTCCAGGGTGGGGCACCTACTTCGCTGGGTTGTGGCGCTGCATGTGGGGAGGGTTCAGAGAAGGAACAATGTTGCCTGCTTGGCTCTTGCCCCTCTTTCAGTCACTTCCCCTGCTTCCCACAACTGAATTGTGCCCTTCCAGGTGCTGCCCTGTTGCTGATCCCTGGGTGCGTGGGTTTGTGTATGTTCTTGGACATGATGGGCCCCTCCAGTGGACTTTCCTGTGAGACTGGGAGTTTTTTCCACCACCCTAACCCCCGCAGATTTTCATAGCCTGAGGTTTTGAGGTTTTATTCCTGGATGCTGGAACCCTGGATTGTGAGGTCTATCTCACTCCCCAGTTGTTCCTCCTGGTTTATTTGCACGTGAATGTGAGACTGCCTGGTTTGCCAGCTTCCACCTTGCCCACCCGGTCCTCCAGCCACTGCCTTGCTGTGTGTCCTCTCTGCCCCAGCTGCCTGTCTCCTCTCCTCCTACCAGTTTGGATGAATGTTTCTTCTTTAACTCCTTGGTTGTTGGACTTCCATACAGTTCAATTTTCTGGCAGTTCAAGTTGTTTTTTGTTTTTAAATTGGTGGTTATATTTCTTTTGGTTGTGTGAGGAAGTGAAGGGTATCATCTATCTATGCCTCTATCTTGGCCCGAGCTGTTTTTATATTTTCAACCATGATTACAGGGTCTTGACAGTGGATTATGTATAAGCTTTAATACTCAAGATTTTTATATAACAGAATTGATTTTTAGGTTTTGATATTGTCATGTGTCTTTACACATGACAAAATCAAAATGGTATGGTGGTTCTTGAGTGCTTTTATAATCTTTATATGAGTGAAGGTTTGATAAGTTTATGGAGTTCCTGAAGACCAATTTTAGTCATGTAAACCGATGACTAAAATCATGGTTTTACAGTCATAAATAACATGAAGAATGTTAAAAGTTCTTTTTTTTCCTTTCACCTTTCCTTCCTTCCTCTCTTGCCCTTTCTTATTTCCTTTTCCTTCCTTCTTTTCACCTTATCCTACCTCCTTCCCCCCTCTTTTCTTCCCCTGATACTTTTCTTTACTCCTTCTCTCCCTCTGTCTTCTTCCTCTCCTTTCCCTTCCCTCTCTTCCTCTCCTACCTGCTGGAGTGCTTTCTTGGATGCTCTTGCAGGGGTGTCCAACCTGTAGCCCACAGACTGCATGCAGCCCAGGATGGCTGTGAATGTGGCCCAACACGAAATCATAAATTTACTTAAAACATTATGATATTTTTTTTTGTGATTCTATGTTGCAATGTATTTAATGTGTGACCCAAGACAGCTCTTCTTCCAGTTGGCCCAGAGACACCAAGAGGTTGGACACCCCTGCCTAGTGCTTTGTCTGTCTGATTGTAATAGTAGACCCCCTGCTGAATGATTTTGAGTGGGAGTGGAATTAAGATAAAATGTAAGAATTGGATAATTAAGAAATAGTGTCTTCAGTTGGCATTAGTTATTGAAGTACTCCCAGAGATTAAAACACAGTGAAATGGCTGATAAATGTGTACAGAATCAGGAATGATATTAAAAATAAGATATATTTTGTTTCACTTTTTGTGTCTTAGCTTTTTTTCATAATTGTAAATTTCTTGAACTCTTATTTTAAGACGAAATAACCTGGTTTTAGAGATGGATATCTTTGATCCAATAAAGATATGTTTGACTTATCTCACTTGACCTTTTGCTGGAAATATTTTTTAAATTGCTTTGCTACCTTAAGTTTACTATTATTAGCATTAATTTGGAATAAGACTGTGTATCAAACATTTTTTCTTTTACTTTCCCAAATGTCATTCTTATTTGTTTAGTTTAATTTTAGTGTTTAGTGGATTTGGGGAGTGGAGTCAGGAAGTCAGTCATAAATTTTAATTAATTGTGATGATTTGGAAAACCTATCAAATTATTAACTTGCTAACATTATAATATTAATTAGTAGTCTATTTAGATGTAGCTTTTTTTTAAAGATTTTATTTATTTATTTTTAGAGAGGGAAGAGAGGGAGATAGAGAGAGAGAAACATCAATGTGCGGTTCCTGGGGGTTATAGCCTTGCGACTCAGGCATGTACCCTGACTGGGAATCAAACCTGCAACACTTTGGTTCGCAGCCTGCGCTCAATCCACTGAGCTACTCCAGCCAGGGCTTAGATGTAGCTTTTCCAGACCTAATCATGAACCTATTTTCCTGCTTTTGTACTTCAATATAATGTCTGCTGAGTGATAATTGTCACCTTGCATCATATTTTGCCAGATAACTAATTTGGTTAGCTAACTAAATTGTTATTTTTTATAATCTTATTAAGATTCATGCTTGTACCTAAAGTATTTCATTGTCTGTGATAATTTTCTTTTAATGGCAGATTTATGTTCTTTTCCTTTTCCAGGTCATCCTGTTCAGTTCTACAGCATGAATAGACCTGCCTCTCGCCACACTCCCCCAACAGTAGGGGGCTCATTGCCCTATAGACGCCCTCCTTCCATAACTTCACAAACAAGCCTTCAGAATCAGATGAATGGAGGACCTTTTTATAGCCAGAATCCAGGTTAGATATTTATTTGTATTCTATGAATGTACCTGGTTAATAACCTTTAGTGACAAAGAAAAAAAAAACCTTTAATTACAAATGATTAACACATAATAGGTGGTCAGTACTATATTTTTTTAATAAGTGGCGGAATGAATACAAGGTTACTAATACTGTATTTTCCAGTTCTTTTTCTTTTTTAAAAATATCAATACATGGTTCTCATATAAAGTTGTAGAATTTCATTTTCCTGAACAGAATCTTTTTGAATATGCTAGTGATTATTTGCTTTTAAAAATAGTGTATTGTGGTAAACAATATTTCCTTCCTATTTAATCAGATATACTTACTCTATGAATAGCAAATAATGACAATTGAGTATATATAGCCAGAGTTTATAAATAGCAAAGTAAAAGGGACATTTTTGAAGTTGCTTTGTACTAGGGAGTTATACTCTCTTAGTTAATTCAAATACCAAATCTATGATGGGAATACTGGGACTTGGACAGATAGATTCAGATATAACATCATCTTTCAGTTGCGTCATGCATACAGAAAATTTAATCTGGCACATATTTAATATTATATAGTAATTTTTGATTTTCCAGAAAGGGTAAGAGAAAAGTCTTAGAATTTATGTAGATATGGTATTATTGTAGATATGGTATGCCAACTTAATATGTTGTTTTGGATTTTTGTCAAGAGGCCAGTAAGTTCGTATGTGACTGCCTCTAATATTAGGGGATAGCCCATTTTATCTTTGATATACTCTTAATTTTATGGAGTTCGAATCTGTATACTGTAGTTACTACCTTTTGGTGAAACCTCGTTTTATTCTTTAGAGTTGTGTAGAAGAAATTTGAACTCTTTTCTTTCTTTTTAAGATTTTATTTATTTAGAAACAGGGAGAGGAGGGAGAAAAAGAAGGAGAGAAACATTGATGTACGAGAGATATATCGATGGGTTGCCTCTCACATGCTCCCAACTGGGGACCTGGCCTGCAACCCAGGCATGTGCCCTGACTGGGAATTGAACTAGCGACCCTTTGGTTCTCAGGCCAGCACTCAATCCACTAGACCACACCAGTCAGGGCTGAACCCTTTTCTTAAACGCAGTTTAAAGAATAGTTTTATATTTATTATCTTACTTGATTCTTATAATTATGTGATCATTTTCATCTGTATTTTACAGGTGAGGAAACTGAGGCTGAGGTGGTGGTCAAATTAGGATTTGAACTTAGGTTATCTGACTCCATATTCTTTCTATTGTACTATGCTACCTACCTTCAGATTTAAAAAATATATATTCTTCGTACTCTCTCATTTGTTTGTTTTGTTGGAAGGAGAATGTCCATATTGTAATGTAAAGTGAACGAGAGCCTGAGACTTTGCCATTCTTTTACACAGTTATAATTTGGGAATTGTGCTTAGTAACTATTTGTTGAATATAGAATGAGTCCTTTTTTCCTTTATTCAGATCCCTTCGCTGTTTTGGGTCTCTCTTCAAATTAAATGCCGTATTTATATTCAATTCAGTGTACCCTGTCATGCCTTACTTGAAATATATTTCTGCTATCTTTGATCACATCTAGTGATGTTGGCTATGCCATTCTTTTTAACCCATTTTGAGCATAATTTTGACAAATGTGCCTGTCTTTTCATCCATTAAATCATGTTTTCTTTCTATTCAGTCATGTGTTCCAAACCCATATTTGAATAGGAGTTATTTTGTACCTAAGTGCATTTTTATTTTTAAACTTCTGTTTGTTAGATATGGATTATTTCATAGTTCTCTCTCTCTGGCCTTCTTAGAAATAGACAGTTATTGCTTAGGACCCTTATGCCCTTTCTTATCTTTGGCAGAATTTTGGAAGAATGATGTCAGCCCAAAATGGGGTGGTTCTAGGGTGGAGATGCTTCACTGTTACAGCTTGGGACCAACTGTACATAATATACAGGAACATACTGGGTTGGCCACAAAGTCCATTTAGATTTTTCTGTAAAAGACACATTTTTCATTTTCACCAATGATTTTACTGATTAGAATATTTTGAGAGTATGCCGGCCATCTCCCACTATTGGCTTCTAGTGGGCAGAGGCCAGGGGTGCTGCTAAACATCTTCCAATGCATAAGACAGCCCCACAGCAAAGAATTATTTGGCCAGAATGTCAGTAGTACCAAGAAACTTCACAAACCACTTTTCACGTGTTCAATCAATCACAGCACCTTCTCCATACACTGCACAAGTCTTTTTTTTTTTTTTTGCATTTCAGTTGCATTTTTACCTTTCTTGAAATAATAAAGCAAAATACACTGAAAATGTTGCCTGTTGTCTTCCATCTTCAATATTAAAATGGCTACACGAAAATTCACCAATTTTGATAAGTTTTCTAAAGTGCATGCTGATATGACAGCTGTCACAATACAGTCTAACAAAATTGTTTTGAATGAAGTTAAAGACAACTAAGCACTACTAGAGCCATCATACAGAAAAAACTAAGTGAACTCTTTGAGTAACTCATTGTATTCAGGGATATTTCATGCTGTGTACATGTACAAAGTATTGATCTTATGAGAACCCTGTTAGTGGAAATTATTTGAAGGCTGTTTAAGTACATATTTAAATGTTTTAATACTTATTTCAATACTTCTTTCTTTATACATCTAATTTTAACATACTTGAAAGTATTATTAAAGTAGAAAAAATATCTTACTCTTTGGAATCATTTTAGTGAAAGTATTTTTTATGCTCATGAAAGTACAGTGAATTGAAATTGTGAGCCTTCAGTGTAATGTGTGAAGCAATTTAGTTAGGGTTTTTTTTTGTTGTTGTTGTTGTTGTTGTTGTTGTTGTTTTGATATCTCTCTGTTAAGTTCTGCTTTTCTACTCCAGGGGTTTGCTAACTGCTTGCTTACAGAATGTAACTGCAGCCTTGTTAGTTGATTAATCAGAGTGCTTCGTCTAAACTAAAAATATTTTTTACTAAAATATGTTCTTTGAAATTTTTTTCTTCTTTTGCAAGACTTAATGCCTTGCAAATCAGCATATTAAGGCTATTAAATGTACCTTTTTTATTTGCTTTATAATATCATATAAGCCTCATGTATTACTCCACTGGTCTTACAGTGGTCCCTGTTTTTTCATATTTAAAGTGAGAAAATTTGTGCTTTTTCAAGTAGCTATTACTCTGATTTAACAAAATGACCCCAGGTGTGCTTTATGAGCATATTTTCGGCAGTTGGAGGCTTGACACGGGTGTGTCCATTTGAGGAAGTGAGCGGACAGGCTGGGATTCATCTGAATGTAATTCACTGGGGTTTCCTTTAAGATGTAAATCTAGCTGCACTGTTACTAGATCTGGCTTGAGTTTGAAAGGGAATTATAACATAGGAAGTAAAATGTAGAACACAGGTGTCTGGAGCCAAGTCCTAGGAGCACAGTAATGAAAGGAACACTTTGATCGGGGCATAACCGAAACCCTTTGGTTCTTATTATTTCTTAACCTAATCCAGCCAAAGAAATTGCAACATCAGTTTATCATTCATCTTGTCAACACTAAGAGGAGGGTCATCAAAATGTAGGGCTAATCACAAGTTTTAACAGTGTTTAAATATAAATACGAAGCACTTTGGTGATAAAGAAAGAATACATACACACAAATATACATATATAAACCTAGTTTGGTAAGTGTCTCAGTTGGGCTTCTATAACAAAGTTCCACAGAGAAGAGGCCTATAAACAACGGAAACATCTCACAGTTCTGGAGGCCCGAAGTCGGAGATCAGTGTGCCAACATGGTCTGAGTTCTGGTGAGAACCCATTTCTGGGCTGCAAACTACTGTCTTCATGTTGTGGCCTCACATGGTAGAAGAGAGAGCGAGCTCTGTAGAGTTTCTTTTACAAGGGCACGGATCCCGTTTATGAGGGCTCCACCCTCATGACCTAATCCCCTCCCCAAGGCTTTGCCTCCTATACCAACACATTGGGAATTAGGATTTCAAACATGAATTTTGGGAAGACACAAACATTCAGTCTATAATTGTAAAGAATCAATTATGTGGTATTTAAATACTAAGACTTTGGTAAAAGATATCCTATACTTTATTGCTCATATTTTCTAACAAAAACTTAAAAAACCCCCCTAATTCATAAAGTAGAATGTTGGTCCCAAGAACTGTGACTGTATACAGTTATATGAGATAAAGAAATTTCTGAATGTTATTTTGCACAGGGAAAATGTCATGCTCTAACCTCTGAATATTATTAAAAGCAACTAAAAATAAAAAACCAGTGAAAAACAGTATTGGGTTGGTAAAATTGCAAAAGAAAAGCCATACCACATTAAAATGATAGTTAAGTTACAGAATTACCAAAAGTATCAAGAAGAATACAAATGTGGAAGGGCTTAAGCCCAGTATGAGTAAGGGGCAGTAGTAAGAAGCTATTTTTAAGTCCTCATTTTGGGCAGTCTTTGGGGTTTGTTAGAAAACGGTTGAAAACAAAAAAGCAAGATAGCAACTGAAAGATGTAAGTACATTTTCAAATGATCAAGTAAACCAAATAGACCTTTTACACTGATTATTAAACACAAGCTGTGTTGTTAAACTGTGTCTTAATCTGCTACTTTTCTTGGCATAACAAGTATATGGTGATTTTTTTTTTTACTTGACAAGGAGTAACAAAAATGCTCCAATTCTTTTAGCCCTTCTGAGACTACAGGACTGATAATACTGGGTAATCATATTCTTTTTTACCAAAAAAGTTCCCCTTACTGAGTATGATTAACTAATTTCACTTTTAGATACTCTATCTTTGTTCTAAGTTGCTGTTCACATTTAAAAAATATGTCACTTTTAAAATAAATTGCTTAAATTATTTCCTTCACTGGAGTATAAAATATAAGCAACTAAATTTGAATGGGCTATCAAATCTATATGGCCTCTAACAGTAATATTCTAACAATGATTAATAGTTTGAGAAGTAATATTTAGAATGTTTATTTTGTTTAATTTTCTCAGTATTTATAAAGCTGTAAAAATAAAACACAAAAGCCTGTTTTCAAAACTCTGAACTGGACATTTTAAAACACTTAAGCCTCAAACATTATGCTACACAGGATTTTATAAATAACCAGGAAGGTCATGCTTGGAAAGACTGTTTTATCAGCACGAATGCATCTTCTAAGTTTGGTTTGCCTGCAGAGCCTTTTACTGTTTCTGTACCTACACGCTTCTACATGCAGGTAAGCTGTAGTTCTAACAGCCGGTCTACTTAAGATCTCTGTGTGAACTGCAGTCACTTGGTGAGCTTGTATCTTCACATTAACTTTATAATTGTGTATTGTGAACATAACATTACTGAATTTAAGTTTGGAGATCTTTTAGTGGTCATAGGGAAAGGATCTTTTAATATGAGGAATCATCTTAGCTAAATGAAGTGAGAATTTATAGTTACTTCCTGTTCTTGCCTGTTCATGAGATGCCTAGGACTAAAACAATATAGCAAACAAATCTTTCATCAAAATCCTGCTTAAATACTGCTAGAATAGTTCATTCTCAACTCAGCTCTAAAGAAGATAAAGCTGTTCTAAAGTAGGATGTTTTGGTTCACAGGAGTCCTGGTCAGATAAATTCTTACTTAGATGGTCCAGAGAGAAAATGCTATATTATCTGAATTGATGTGAACTGTCATAGAGAAGGTTTGGCGCTGGGCAGAAAAGCAGAATTTCAGGTGATTTTTGTAAGCTCCATTTGGAATTTAATTTTAAACATGCCCTGGGGCTGACTCTGAAGAAAAAAGAAAACTCATAAATTGTTTTGTTGTAAAATAATTCTGTTTAAGGAAGATCTGGGGTTGCTGTAACCACGCACCAATGGTGTTCAGCCGCTAGTCGCCTTGATACATGACTTGAAGATTTGTATTGAAGGGAACTGGTTTTTATTAACAAGGTTCAAGTTTGCGGGGGAAGGACAGAGCACTCCTGCTCTGAGCCCTTCTCTCCCACGAGACCCAGAACGTCTCTTGCTCCCCAAAAAGGTACAAGTCAAAACCATACCCAGAAGTTCCCCATTTCCTCATCTCTCCTTTCTAGAGCTTAAGCTGGCCATGCAAACAGATCTTCATCCCCTCTGGAATGTGTATTCATGGGTTTCAGAGTCGCAGTCTTGCAGCAGCTCTCCTTCAGGACTGCTCTGTCTCCATGTAGCAGTCCAGGACCTGTGTGCCATGCTGCACTGCATCATAGTGACCCAGAGGCTGGAGCCCATTGAGGCACGCAGCCCAGAGTGGGACTCTGCCTCTAGGAGTGAGTGGGCTTCCAATCATGTGGGGCCTAAGCCCTTGGTGGGCCCAGCATCTGCCCTCCCATCCTACAACTGCTCCATCCTTGCAGGAGGCAAGGGCTAGAGACCCACAGCATCCAAGCACACGTGCAACCAAAAGTCCCAAGCTAAAGAGCCAAGAGCCAAGAGAGAGCCCAGAGAGCAAGCTAGCTTCTCCTGGTGTCCTTTTTGAAAGGTCCTCTCTCCAGGAATCCCCTGTGATCCAGAAGCCAATGGGAGTGTCCAGCTTTCCAACACATGAGGGCTAATGTCAGCCATATTTGCCTTTGACCCCACTCCTGCAAGACTACTAGCAGGGAGTCTCCTCTGGCAGCCCTTTCCTGCTGGGAAGGCTTGGCTGGTTGTAGTGCCTTCGTTAGCAGTGTGTCTGAAGCCCTGGGCCTTCTCTGTTGACTCCTCTCTGCCTTGCAGAAGGCATGGTGCTGTTAACCTGCAGCCTTGGCAGCTCTCCCTGTGCCCCTGCCTTCTCCGGCACGGTAAGGAGAGCTTCTGTGTCGGGTTTGGGATCCCCTGCCTGAATGGGGCCCCTTGCTTTCCAGCGATCTCTGCCTTCTTAAAATTACCATGATCTCATATTTTCACTTTCAGAACTAGAAAAGAAATAAAACTTACTCATCTTTTTAAAAAAGTAATAAACAGCCTACCTACAAAAAGACTTTATGGGGGGGGCAGTTGTCATTCAATATTATTTTTATATTAGTTTCAGGTGTACAGCATGGTGATTAGACATTTATGTAATTTACAAAGTGTTCCCCCTGATAATTCAAGTACCCACCTGGCACCATACATACTTATTACAATTATTTCAAAAAGACTTTTTTAAGTTAAGGCACCTAATCATTCATTTATTGGAGTATCAGAAGTCTTTTTTTTTTTAATTTGGATGAGAAATAATAACTGAAGTGGGAAATGTCCTACTTTTCTGTTACGGGGGAGGTTGGGACCACTGTTAACAGAAGAGGAACTTTCCATCTTATTTGATAATGAGCGTTCGTGGAATTGCCACTTTTCTATTGCCATTTGCCGTCTGCTGCTGTTTCTCAGTTTGATCTACTCTGTGCTACCTTCTCTGTTCATTGAATCTTCTTACCCCAGTTTGGGAGACAGGGCATAGTGAACATATCAACAATTATTTCAGGCTTCAGGGGGTGGGAGACAGACAACCTAAGGATTTATTACCAAGCCGTATGACTTTTGGGAAAAACATAACCAAATGTATCTTTTGAAGGAAGACGTCAATTTCTAGGCTTATTCTTTGTCCCTTAAATCTAGATATTCTTCAGGATTATCTACTTAACTCTTACCTGCTCATTATAGATCTTCTCCCTGCTTTATTCACAGCACAACTGTTACCTCTCTACTGATCACTGCTAGCTCTGTGCCTTTCAGGTTTCCTCGCAGACTTAACCCAAACTTTCCAGTTGCCTCCCAGGTTTACGCCTAAGTCACTTTCCTGCATCCTAGTTACTGTGTCATTCTCTCCCCCTGACCTGCCATTCCCCAGCCTGTTTCCTACATTACCTGCCAAGGTTAATGTGGTTAGTGGCACCTCCACTTTCATAGTTATGAAAACTAAAAATCTAAGAATTATCTGTAGCTGCTGCTCTCCTTCATGTATTGGCCAAATACTTAGTTACCAAGTACTCTTTTCTAACAGTTACTAAATTCTTTTCTTGCTGTTTCTACTGCCTTTATTTTTTTTGTGCTAGGCCCTGACTTAGGCTTTTTGCATACATTGTCGGGTTTTTGTCCTTTTTAATTTGTAAGAACTCTGTAAAGTAGGTTGCATTATCTCTTTTTTTATATCACATTTATGGAGTAGGCACAAAGAAGTTAATTAACTTGTTCCGATGTCAAACAAAATGATGAATCAGGTTCTCTGATGATGGCTGACTAAAAAGTCCAATCTCTTTCCACTAAGTACTCTTTCACCTAGATGTCAGATCCTTCCCTATTTACCCACCTGCTCACTCTTCTGGGTTCTGTACTTTCTCTCTCTGGGGTACCTTATGCTAGACATAGGAAACATTTCCAGTCCTGTGAGCTGGTCATCTCTGAGCCTCTCTCCTCACTCAGTTCTCAGCTTGTCTTTCTCAACTCTTGCCTGAGTCGGTCAGACTCCATTTCGTCAAGTCACATCTGTGTGGTCTTCCTCACTGTTCCCACTCCCAGTGACACTGCCACCGCCACCCCACCGCACCCCACCCCACCCCACCTCCAGGGCATTGCCACAGATACTGCTGGGCTAATGTTACTATTTTGTTTACTATTTCCAGTTAGAATGTGATCACTTTGAGGGTAAAGACTCTTATTTATTGTTTTAGTTCTATTAGTCTTAAATATAGTTTGGAGCTAATGAAGGTGTTCTGTCTATATAAGAAGATGCATGCCATACTTTATACCCATCCTGAAGGAAACTATAACTGTAGAGTTAATCTTCGGACATTGTTTGGCACATATCTGGCTTATTTGTATACCCACATATATTAAACGATTGTTGAAGGCTTACTAGCACTAGACACTGTACCAGGTGTTAGAAATAGATGGAAAGACACTGTCTCTTGAGATTTGAGGAGGAGAGGAGGATTATTGGAACGAGGCCAACATTTTCGTGTAGGGTCGTGGAGAACATGGACCTGCTTGAGGCCATGCTGTGAATTGGGATTATGAAAAATTGTAATAACACAGACTCGACTGTCAGAGAATGGTTTTGATATTGGTCTCTTAGTAGAGTGCTTGCCACTTAGTAGGAAGCCAGTAAATATTTAATTAATTAATTAATGAAGAACCAGCTAATTTGCCTGCTAATGTAATGGAAAGTCTAAATTTAGGATGTTGGGATGTAGTGGTTTTTTTCTCTTGTACTGACAAATATTTAAACTTGTAACCATCAGGGTAAAATCCAAAAACCCAAATTATTTTTGATAGCCTGAAGAAATTCTTTTAGAAGATACGGTTATTGGTATGAAAAATCAATTTGACATTTTATATTAGAGAAGACCTGTTATATGATGAATGCTTCCTGTCGTAATTTTTAAAAACTTTATTGGAACTCCTCTAATATGTTGTTTTGTGTGTAATTAATTATCCCTCCAAAGAGGATCCTTACTACATCTGATAAATGTTTGTGCCTAGTAGTTTCCCTCCTTATATGTTTTATTGTATTATCCTTTTCTTTTAATGTAACTCGCCCTTACCCCTTATCCTCCACACCCTTTTTGTTTTTACAGTATCTCTTGCTCCTCCTCCTCCCTCCATCCTACAGGTAACTCCTCAGTTACCTTTAATGGGATTTGTGGCCAGAGTCCAAGAAAATAGTAAGTTTATGTCTTCTTTATGCTGTAGATCAGATTGTAGGTGTAAAATGTCATTACAGGTGATTGGCTAAATAGTCATTCTTTCACTGATACTTCAAGCATTGAACATTATGAACAAGTCTGTGTATGAACAGCTGGTAGGGATAAGATAACAAAGATGAAATTGTCTACTTTCAGATAACTTAAAATCTGGTAGCGAAGAAGAGACAAAATAACATGAGGCACATGTAAGAAACGAAAGATCATATCTGAGGATATGCTCTTTAGTCACCAGCTGTCCCATCTCTGGGATGCTCAGACAAGTATAGTCCAGTTTCCCGTTGCTGGAATTTTAAGGCTTTGTGGCTGGGCTGAGAATCTTCCTCTGGTCCTGTGATTCCAGGTATAAAAATGTCAGGGTAGGCCCCAGGGCACCAAACTGCCACTCTGTTTCCCAAGAGGCCTCATAGGTTGGCAGTGAATTCAAGTTGACCTGTGGTCTGGTGTTGACCTGTGGTCTGGTGTTGAGCCGTGTCAATTTTATTGACAAATTGAGTCTTCTCCTACAGACGTATTAAGGAAGCTCAGGAGACTGATGTCTGCATAGCAGCAGGCCTGTATCAACATTCACTGATGAATGGCTGTCACAGAGACCAGTGAGCAGTCTCTACGGTAGATGAATTCTCTTGTGAGCAGTCTACATGAGGAACTGTATCATCATCATAAAGTTGCTTGATGGGCATGGAATCTGTGCAAGGGAATTACTTTGATGAAAGATTTAATGTTACCAGGCTGAAGTAGCCCAGTGTACACATCGCATAATAAAGATGGCCTCACCAACGGGATACAGACGTTTGCACTCTGTTGCTTAGGACTCGAGCTCCTTTGGAGATGGGCGTTGCCAGTATGAGAATGTAAGCTCTGGGAGGGTAGGGATTTTTGCCTGTTTTGTTCACAGGCTGTTCCCCAGCACTTAGGAAAGCATCCGACACATAGCAGAAACTTTTAGTCCCTCCTTTTTTGTGCTTCCCTAGCTGACTATATGCCCTCTTTTTATTGACACATTTCTTTCATGTATATTAACTGATTATAATCCAGTCTTACTGGACTGAGGGCCCAGTCCCTCTTTCAGGGGCCTTTGTATCTCTATTTGCTCATTTCTGTGTTACTTCAGTCTATATTGGAGGGTACCCCATGAGCAACTCTAATGTTTACCACAGTTTGATTGCCTTTTGGGTTATATTTTCTCATTTCTTTCCATAGTCATAAACATTTCTCACCTATAAAATGTATAAAATAAGAAACTGTATGAGGTGTGCCGTGGCTGATTTTAAAGACATAGTAGGACTTAATACATTCAAATGAATGTCGTCCTATTCAAAACATTCACCTTGGAAAGATATACCTTATGGGATTATCTTCATAGCTTTCAAATACATTATTTGAAGGTACCTATGGTAGCAGATAATCACTCTGCATTAAGATTGATGTTTGAAGAAGTCTGGAATTATTTGGAACCAATTATACTGTGCTAAGTAGTGTAGCTATGGTCCTATAATTCTTCTTAAAACCCTCCTCTGGCTCCCCATTGCTCTTGGGATTGAGTTCAGACTGTTGCAAGGCCCTTCCTGCTTAGTCCTCTTCAGCTCCTCATGCCTCTTTCTGCTGAATTCCGGTCAGTTCTTTGAAGGAGTCCTGCTTTCTTGCTTTGCCTTTGTTTTTTTCTTTACATCTGATACGGACTATCCACCTCCACTCCATCCCACCCCCTGGCCATTAACTTCTACTCGTCTTTCAGGTTTCAGAAACCCATGCAAGAGGTTTGGTCTACTTCTGTATTTTACTTAATGACGTAAAGCACCTACTGCACCTAATCAAAGGGAAAGTTCGGTTGTCCACGTCTCCAGGATTTTGCCCACTGCCCATTCCCAGTGCTGAGCATAGTGCCTAGCCAGGGTAGGCATTATTTTAAAGGTAGAGTAGATAATGAACATTGGTTTTCCAGTTTCTGCTCTTCCACTTACTGTAGGCTGCTTTAATCTTGGAAAGCCAGCTTCCATGTCCATAAAAATGAAGATTAAAAACACCACTTCCCAAGGTAAAAATTAAATGAAATAATGTATTCTAAAGTGCTAGCTGAATAATTGGAATATTTTAAGTAAAAAATGGTAGCCTTTTGTTCGTCTTATTAAACTGGCTCTCAGGCAGCTATTAGAAAATATAAAAATGAGCAGTGGCAGCATCTTTGAATGACTCTATTACACAATTTGTCAAGGTGATTGTTTTGAAAGACAGAGTTCCTTTGGATGTATTTTTGTGGAATTGTTTAAAGGCAATCTCCTTACCTTATAAATGTAAATAGGATATATTGTTGATGTTTACTCCAACCATATGTAATTTGTCATAAAGTATATGCCAAAGTCACATACATTTTTTTTTATTAAAAATGCATCAGGACTCCAAGAACTGTTTGTTAATGGGTAAAGTTTTGATCAAGCAGGCGCATTGCTGAGTGCAGAGTGGCACGACCGATGGGAAGAGTGCTGGGATGGGGGTGGCGCACAGCTGGTGTGGCTGGTCCTCACCAGACAATAGCAGTCTTCTGAAATCTGGTCGATTCCATCAGTGGGGTTAGATAAAAAAATGGAAAAATAAACAAATGGCTTAGAGAATTTCATGGAAACAATACTGGTATCTGATAAATAGGAATTTGTGGACTGAACGCCGGCCTGTGAACCAAAATATCACAGGTTTGATTCCTGATCAGGGCACATGCCTGGGTTGCAGGCCGGGTCCCTATTTGGGAGCATGCGAGAGGCAACCAGTGATGTATCTCTCGCTCATCGATGTTTCTCTTCCTTTCTTTCTCCCTCCCTCACCATCTCTCTTAAATAAATAAATAGATAGATAAATAGATAAATAAATAGATAAATAAATTCTTAAAAAAAGAATTTGTGCTGCCCATTAAAATTGGACAACTGATAAATATAGCATTTTTACTTCTTAAAAATAAATTTATTGGTTTTCCAGAGAGAGAAGAAGTGGGGTGGAGAGAGAAACACCCATTTAGTTCTACTTATTTATGCATTCATTGGTTGATTCTTGTATGTGCCCAGACCAGGGATTGAACCCTCATTCTTAGCAACTCAGGATGACGCTCCAACCAACTGAGCTACCTACTTAGGATTCATCTTTCTTTATTCAGTTTATTTTGTTGAACTGTGCTCAAGTATATCCCAAGCATTTAAAAAGCTTTGAGTTCCTGAGTTTGTAGATAATATTTTACACATTACTTTGTTGATACTTGAGCTGTGGAAGCAGATCTCATTAAAAAGACATTTTCAATATTTTAAATAATCCTTGTATATTTACCTTGGAGAAATTCTGCATTATAAAATAGTCTGAATTAGTTGAAATTCTGTATATAAAAACAAAACAAAATGGAGTATCCAAATTTGTTTGTGATTTCTGCCCTGTTAATTTGGTAAGATGCTAATTTTAAAAATTCATTAAGAGGAGGTAGATTTTAAAATTTGACCATTCACTGGACTCATTCTAACTTTTTATACATCAACTATAGATATAAATATACAAATTATTAGTATTTCTGATAACCACTCATTGTTGGATACCATCTAAAACCAAACTATATTGATCTCTGAGGATTATAGTTAGAAGAGGATTATGTATTAACCTAAACAGGTTTCAGAGGCTCAGTTAATAATTGTTTTGGTTAAACTTTATTCAGCATCCATAAATACTAGCCCATTGGGAGGAGAAAGTCATGGTTGGAGACCGGGAATTTATAGTTGGTGGGGGAATTCTCTTGCCCACTCATTTTTTGGAGAGATTGTTATTTTCAAGTCCAGGTTTATGGTCCATGAACATAGAAGATTAGGAAATATTGAACTTTGCATTAGGTGTAGTTGTATCAGCTTGTACATTCTTAGTTTCAGATACACCACCACCACCACCACCTGTGGAAGAACCAGTCTTTGATGAATCCCCCCCTCCACCTCCTCCCCCGGAAGATTATGAAGAGGAGGAGGCCGCCGTGGTTGAGTATAGTGATCCTTATGCTGAAGAGGACCCGCCGTGGGCTCCAAGGTCTTATTTGGAGAAGGGTAAGTTTCAGAGGGGTATCTGGAGGGATGGGAAGGAATCTGTACATAGAGATGAAATTTACTGGTATTGAAGAGAATTTTGTTCACTTATTTTTTTACTGATAAGTAAAATTTTGTTTTTAGTACCTGTTGTTATTTGGTTTGCAAGTTTTATGGTTTTAAAAGCCATGCTAGTAAAATTCTGTGACTTTTATTTTTTATTGATGTTTGTGTATTTTTTCTATTGAACATGCTTTTTATGAATGGTTTCTGTAAGACAAAAATAAAAGGAGGGTTTTTCTGGGATGCCTTCAGAAAAGGATGATTTTTCCAAATTATTAGTTATTCCTACCCCAATGGTTTATAAAGCATTCTTTGGTGACATCTTATATTAGATGTTTTAGTTTAAATATCTCCATATCAAACTTTCTTCCAAAGAATAATGGTTTCTTAGTTTCCCTACAAAGTTTTTTTGGGTGTTTCTTTAATTGAAAAATTTCTCTGAATACATTAGCTAACTACGACGTGGCACTTTTGTGACACAAGCTTCCAAATCTTATCAGTGCTAATCAGCCCAGGAAAAAAGTATGTTGTCTTCCAGGAAGTTTTCTGTTAAGGAAATTAAAACTACTCACTATGTCTCAAAACCGACTCCACATTTTGAATCATCTGGGGAACTTATGTTAAGAAATTGTGGACTGCCACTTTTGGTCAAAATAGAACAACAATAATCAAATTTATCCTCTTTCCTAAAACAGGAATCCAGAAAGAAATACAAAAAAATAATGGTTTTGAGACATTGGACAGCAGGCAGTGGTAGACGATGACCCCAGAGAGAAGAAACTCTGAGCCTTTGATTGTCCTGGCTTGCTACCGAGATGCAGTTTCCATGCTGTAGTGTGAGGAAGTGGAAACCAACGGGAGAAACAGAGCCTGGGGGTTTCACTGCATAGAGGAGATAGAGGTCAGAGTTTATGGAGGCCGCAGAGAGATAGTAGCTACACTGAGACAGAGGACAGAGCTCTGGAGATCTGTAGAAGGGTACCCTTGAGTCTACGACTGAGTACCGATTTGTGTGTATGTGTGAATAAACTGATAGTGGAGAAAGAAAACCAGAAAGCAATAGGCAGAAAAATTACTGGAGATGACGGAGGCCTGGAATGAGTTCATGCTCCCAAACCAGTTAGAGCAGAAAAACTTGTAATGTACAAGGCATTAAGAAGAAGCCTCAAAAGTTTAGTACTGGGCCACATTAGCCCTACACTAAAGTTTGCCTGCTGCCCTAACAAATGCTTAAATGCAAAGCTCGAAAGCATCCAACTGATGCAAGTAACCTAACTGAGCTCCAGGACAAATTCAGCACTGTTCTGCAAAATCCACTGCACCAAAAAGTCAGAATCACAGTGTCCAGCAGCCAGTCAAAAATTACAAGGCATGTAAAAAAGCAGGAAAATATAACTCATAAGTAAAAGAAAAGTCAGTCAATAGAAACAGACCCAGAAATGACTAAGATGGTGGAATTACCAGACAGGGGTGTTACATAGTTACTATAATGCCACATAGCTTCAAGCAGGTAAAGGAAAACATGAACACCAGAGAGAATTGGAATATATATATATATATATATATATATATATATAATATTTATTATTATATTATATATATAATATATATTTATATATTTATATATATTTATATATTATATATTTATATAAAAATATATTTAATATATTATATATTATATATAATATATATAATATTTTAATTAAATATATATTTAAATATATATATTTAAAATATATATATTTAACTAAAATATATATATATATTTTAAAAAGTCCACATTGAATTTCTGAAGATGAAAAATATAGTATCTCAAGTGGTACTTGGAAAGAAAAGATCAGCAACCTTGAAGATATAACAGTAGAAATTGCAAATGAAGCATGGAGAAAAAACAAAAACTAAAAACAGAACAACAGATATGTGGGATAGTATAAATAGTCTTTTTTTGTAGAAGATGTGATAGCATATAGAAAATCTTAAGGAATCTACGAAAAGCTGGTAGAACTAAAAACTGAACTTAGCAAGGTTGCAGCCACAAGGTCAATGTATGAAATTAATTGCATTTTTATATACTAGTGACAAGTACTTGGAGATAGAAACTTCTAAAACAACTTTTATAATAACATAAAATATGAAATTCCTAGGGATAAATTTAATGGAATATATCAATGAACTGCATGATGAAAACTAAAACATTAAGAGAAATTAATAAAGGCCTTCAATTGAGAGAGAAATTATGCTGTTCGATCATTATTAAGAGATCTGTTTTTCCCAAATACATTTATAAACTAAATGCAATCCCAGTAAAAATTCCAGAAGTCAATCTTGTAGAAATTGACAAGAAGTTTCTAGAAGTTATATGGAAATACAAAAGACTTATATAGTCAAAACAATTTTGAAAAGAAGTCTAATGTTGGAGGATGTCACCTGCTTGATTTCAGAGTTCTAGTGAGAAGCTGCAGTATTCAAGACAGCGTGGTACTGATGTAAGGATAGGAATATAAATCGGTGGAAGAGGATATAGAATCCAGAAATATGACACACACAAATTGTTTGATCAAGTTGCCAAGGTAATTCGATGAGGAAGAACAGTGTTTTCAACAAATAGTGATGGAACGATTGGATATCCATATGCAATTTCTTACGTTCTGGGTTGGGGAAAAATATCTTGTAGAGAGCACAGAAAAAACATGAAGCTTAAAAGAAAAAAATCGATAAATTGTATTAAACTTTTCTTCAGATATTTGCAAAGTAATACATTAAGGTGAAAAATAATTTGTAAGGTGAAAAATCTTTTCAGCCTACATTTTACCAAACAGATACATGAATTGCAAATAAGCACGTGAAAGATGCTCAGTATCATTAGTCATTAGGGAAATGTAAATTAAAGACACTGTGTACCGAACTCAGTACCACTACACTACACACCCTCTAGAATGGCTACAATTAAAGACACTGATAATATCAAGTGTTGGAGAAAGTGCGGTAAAACTGTAGCTCCTCTTAACACATTTCTAATAAGATTGCAACATGTTTCAGCCGCGTTGGAAAACAGTTGGCAGTTTCTTATGAAGGTAGACATATACCGACCTCCTGATTTGGCAGATCCTTCCTATGGTGTTTACTTAAGAGGAAAGAGGACGTGTGTTCACACAGACCTGAATGCCCATCTGCTTTATTCATAATAGCCAAAACCTGGAAACATCAACTGGGGAATAAACTAATTCTGGGATATCCATCTATTCAGTGAAATACTATTCAGCAGTGAAAAGGAACCAAATTACTGTTATAAGCAACAATATGGAACCTGACACAAAAGTCACACTTTATGACTCCATCTCAGTGAGTCTAGATCAGTGGTTTTCAGGAACCAGTACTGGTGGGTAAGGGAGGTTACATAGGGGCATGAGGAAATTTGGGGGTGATAGCATGTTGTATGTGATCACTGGTAGTCATTATACATTTATCATGTAGACAGGTGCATATCTTTGTCAAAACTCATTGAACTCAACACTTAAATGATTGTGTTTTGTGTCTAAATTATACCTTACTACAGTTGTATTTAAGGGGGAAGAGGAGCCCGACAAGGTAGTATACTAGGATGTGGCCTTGGGCTTTGCCATGTTTTACAAACTACTTGGCTGATTTTAATGCTGTCCTAGACAAAGTGCTAACAGTTTTCAGCTGTGCAAAATTAGCCCAGTTATTACTTAAGTGAAAAGCACAGTAAGTTTTGCTTCCTAAAAATTGATTCTTCAGTGAATGTGTTATTAAAATATGTAGAGATTTGTAAGAGGAAACTAAGTTTGTTTTTAGTCCAGGTAACTTTAAAGTTTAAAAGAATATGCTTAAATTGTTCCCTAAGATGTTTTTCAAGGTGTAGTTTATTTCCTTGAAGTTCAGGTCTTTCAAAACATGAAAACCAAATAAGCTCTTCCTTAATCTATCTGGCAAAACAGAAACATAACCAACTGTGTTCAGCTTGTGATTGTGTTTTTGTTTGCGTGTGTGTAAATGTTAAGGCTGTTGCCTAATGACTCATTTTGCTATCTTAGACCTTAGGACTTGGTTCTTTCTTAAAAAAGAATATTTACTTATTTTTAGAGAGAGGGGAGGGGAGGGAGAAAGAGAGGGAGAGAAACATGGATGTGTGAGAGACACACCAATCTGCTGCCTCTTGCACACCCCCAGCTGGGGACCTGGCCCACAACCCAGGCATGTGCCCTGACTGGGAACTGAACTGGTGACCCTTTGGTTCACAGGCCGGCACTCCATCCGCTGAGCTGCACTGGCCAGGGCAGACCTTAGGACTTGGTTCTTAATCCTGCCTGCATATTAGAGTTACCTAGACAGTGTTTATGTCCGCACCTCCAGACCTGCTAAATCAGAATCTGGATGGGGGATTGTGTCAGAATTTGTAAAAGTTCTTCAGATAGTTCCAAGATTGAAAACTGCCAAAAGAGAAGGTTTATCTTAACCATTGATTACTGCCCATTCTAGTCAAGAGGAGATAATGTATATTGATTTAACTTGGGTAGAAAACATATTTTCATGTATTTATTTTGTGCCTGGCATAATATAATGTAAGACTTATTACAATATAAGACTTACCACATATGTAAGACAGTTTTTCCATCTTGCAAACTAGGAAATCAGGTTCAAAATAATTTGTTACAGAATGTAACAGAGTATGTTAGTGTTACAGAATAGGCAGTATGTCATAATAGTTATGAATAATAATGAAAGAAGCTAACATTTATACGGACTGTTTACCCTCTACTGTGTATTGTCTGTATATTGCCTCATTTACTAGAACAGTGCTTTGAAGTGTTGGCACTGTTCTAGTTTCCACTATACAGTTGAGTAAAAAGAAATTATGTTTTGCAAACTAATAACTGGTAGAGCTGGGATTTGAACGAGGTGGTGTAACCCCAGAGCCCGAATTATTAACCATCGCCCGAAGCTGGAGCTCTGGCCAATGTGGGGGTGACGGAGTCTCGGCTCTGCGGTTTACTAGCATTAAGTTCTGTCGAGCCACCTGTTCCTGTGTTCTTTCAGCTTGTGGTGTAACTTCCTGGTGGAAATATCAACAATGTATGGTAGTTTATCAGACAACATTTCTGTCCTCACAAGATGACAACAACTTGTCTTGATCTCTAAAGATCAGCATGGATGCTCCACTCATAAATGTCAAAAAATGAATAGTTGCATTAATTCTATCTAGGGATTCCAGAAAGCGTTGCAGAGGATGTGGCATTTGTGACATCCCTTAAATGCTGAGTGGAATTTCTCAGGCAGGGAAGAGAGCTGGGAAGGGCCATCCCGGTTTGTGGGGGTGGTCCTCTGAGTGAAGGGGCCTCTTGGGGCCTGGGGAGGGGTGCCATCTGCAAGGAGGGGGATTCCTGGAGGGAGAGTGGCTGGGGCGTGAGTGTTGGCAGTTGTAATCAGTGATGGACAGCCTTGAATACCATGCTGAGATGTTTGGGTCTTTTTCCTTTTTAAAAAATCTGATGGTAGGAGAAAATGGCAGACTTTAAAGCAGGTCAATGATAAGTTTCCATGTACATGCATTGTAACTTTTTAAAAGCTACCTGATAATAGTGTGGAGTACATTAAGAAGGACAATAAGAGTTGGGAAGACCAGGTTGGACACCTTTCTAAGGAAGAGATGGGCCCCACTGAGGCCGTGGGGCTGCAAACCTTGTTCACGGGAGTAAGCAGACACGGGTGGGAGTGCTTACCACTGTCACTCAGAGCTCTCGGCTCTTTCAGAGTGGTTTGCCAAAAGTCAAATAATGTTCTGTCTTTAAAAATGTTTTATGATTATCTCCACTAAAGCCTTAATTTTTGTTAAAAGCAACGGAGTGGAGCTACTTAACTTGTAAAATGCCACACCAATATTTTTAATTGTTTCTTTGGCACCCAGAGGTGGTTTGTATTTAAGACAGCGCTCCAGTGTACTTTTGTTAAGTGGGAGACTGATAAACAGGAAATGAGAACGTTTATGACCGATGCCTGACTGAAGCTATCATCTTAAACACATCAGTTTTTGGAAGCAGTATTTATAAAATTTGAGACTGTAGAAGGAGTCTCCCCCAACTCATCTGTCACTCATACTACATGGGAAATCCTCAGGTCCCCCCAGTGGTCCCCCCCAGTGCAGTGGTCCTCAGCTGGAATACTGCTGAAAGACTGCTGCACTGGCCTGGGAAGGGATCCTGATGATGACGACCACGACGACTACGACGACGGGGGAAGTGCTGGATTGGAGAGCTCTCGGGGGTGGAATAACAGTACTCAGGGTTTTTCTCTTGTGAATTGCTTTTCAATGGGTTTGCGTTTCTGTAAGCATTGAGAATGTTCTTAACTAAGAAAGATGCTAAAAAATATTAGGTTGAATAGAAATAGTAAATATCTTGTTTTACATTTATTGTTGAACTTGTTTGTCATTGAATTATATATTTATGTTTAGGGGTTTGGTTGTATTTTGAGAAATACACACTAAACTCTTTCTAGGCTTCTCTGAAGTATTTACAGGGCGCTATAACAGCAAATATTCAGAGTTTAAGAAAGCCATTTAATTTTACTAAAGCAGACCAGAAACAGATGCTAATTGGGGCAAGTTGCACTACATTAAAAAATTCCTACTGTAATTTGTTTCTTTCTTGTTGATAGGAGAATTAAAGTTGCATGAGAAATTAAGAGTCAGTATATGCTTCTCAGAATGATGGATAGTTGGAGATTGTTTTGGAGTGAAATCCAAAGTGATAAAAAAATACGTAAGATCTTTTTGTGAAGAAATGTAAATCTTCAAGAGGATTTGAGCAAGCTACAGGCTATGCCAAGTTAACTAAACTGTTAAGGTAGATGTAATCCCTAGGAACCAGAGATTGTCCCAGATATCTCTGAAAGACCCCAGTTACCAAATTATTTAAGCAGTGAAAATCTCAGGAGACCTTATGGGCATCTTGGTTTTCATAACACTTTTGGTCTATTATGGGGATATGTTAAATTGGTAGCATAATACAGCATGTGTTTTGAAAGACTATGTTTAGTGGAGTCCCATCATTTGCACATAAAACTTGTGGGAATTCAGCCCTGACTGGTGTGGCTCAGTGGGTTGAGTGCTGCCCTGCAAACCAGAAGGTCACCAGTTTGATTCCTGGTCAAGGCACATACCTGGGTTATAGGCTGGGTCCCCAGGTGGGGGCAGTGTTTCCCTTCCCCCCTCTCTAAAAAGTAAATAAACCCTGTGGGAATTCAACCATCATCCTACTCAGTGACTGGACATGGGCTCCAGAAAGCGAGGAGATGTAAATCTGCTTGCTGTTCCTTTGGTCCATCTCACTCTCTCACTTGCTTCTCATGGTGTATCTCAGCGCACTAGTGTAATTCTAATGTTTACAGATACATGTTTTTACACAGTGCAGCGCTTCAACACAAGCTCAGCTCAACAGTTGTCTTTCCCAGTTCTGGGATTGTGTCTCTCTTCAATGAGGTGTTTTCCCACAGGCTGTTGAAGGGTAATTTGACTGTAATTTTTCTTTGCCATTTACCCGGTTTGGAACCTAACCTCCCCAAGAAGATGGAGTCCCATTGTACAAGACTGGGTACTAGGAAAAAAGTTGTTTTAGTCTGTGCTTAGAAAGTCACAGTATTTGAATTGCTACAGAATTTCAGAAAGGATGGATATTCCTTTGGTTCTCTCTTTGTGGGAATGTTACTCTTTTCACATCCTATTTTTTTTCCCCTCTAGTTGTGGCCATTTATGATTATACAAAAGACAAGGAAGATGAGCTGTCTTTTCAGGAAGGAGCCATTATTTATGTCATCAAGAAGAACGACGATGGTTGGTATGAGGGAGTTATGAATGGAGTGACTGGGCTCTTTCCCGGGAACTATGTCGAGTCTATCATGCATTATTCCGAATAAAGCTCAGCAGGGCTGTTTCCCTCACAGAAATAGTCAGGACTTCCCAGATTATCACAAGGCCCTGGGATTCCCCTCCAGTGAAGTGAATGAAGGATACAAATGATAAAAACTACTTCTGTTTTTTTTTTTAACTCCGTTTATCCCCCAGTATTAAAACAAAAAAGCAAGCTGAGTGTGAACAAATGGATTTTTCTGTCATCATTTGTACTATGCTGAGCTGTCTGGATTGAAATAAAGTGACCATTTCTGAATATGTGGGAGGTATAACAGCAAAACTATGTAAAACAAATCAGGTTAAGACTGATTCAGAACAAAAATCTGGGATCTTTCTCAGGAATACTGTACACCTGTGGGATTTCTCCTCCTGCAGAATCCAGCATTGCATTGGATGTTCTTCAGTGCCTGTGCTAAAAGGGTTAGCCAGCCCTGTGGCTACTGCATCCCCTGCACTTTCTTCCACTTGTATGAGGAGGGAACCAATATTTGAATACCATACTTAACCATTTTTAGTTGTTTCAGATGGCTCATTTCCTCTTTAACACTGTAAATCCTGCATTCTCTCGGCACTCAGGTGCACCAGAGTTAATGCTGAACTGATTTGCATCCCTTCATGTTTCTCAGTTTGTAGATTATGATGAGCTGAGTCTCCAAACATTCTGAGGGTGGTTAAATTGCCAGTTTGAATTTAACGTGCTGCTGTTGCGTGAGACTGCATTGCCGCTAATGGCCTGTGCACCCAGATGAGTGACGCTCGGAAGCCTGGTTCATGTGCTGAGGTGGGCGTGCGAAGCTAGGCATGAAGGTTCTTAACGTTCTGGAAGAGGTTGAACTGTAAAAATGTGCTGCCCAATAGGCATCCTAAATCCTTGCCTCAGGTGCTGGTTTGAGGAGTAGCATTTTGAAAATCAGACCAACTATCTCTTTACTTTCACTATTTAGAAAAACATTCTTTTTGGGAAAAGTTATTTTCGTTTCTTGATAGTCACTGGGTATAAGAGGCTTGCTACTGTAATCTTGGAATGTTATTAACGGCCAGTGTTAGGTGCTGCTGAGTTGTTTACTCACTTAACTCTAGAAAAGGTAAATACTCACCTGATTTTGTGGTTGGCTTTTGAAGTAGCTTCCCTTAGTAAGAATTTGAACCTGGTTTCTCAGACTAAGAATAGTGGGATAAGGCCAAATACTTATCCAATTACATAGATTAAAAACTGATAGAACTTTGAAAGAAACAGTATTTTTTAATCTGCCCCATTGTAGCTTCAAGTTCAGTGTAGCTGGTAGGTTGATGGCTTTAATCATTTCTGTAATCAGTGTAAGAAATACTGAAAAGAATCCAGGAGGGCTTTGCTGCTCAGCAGGTGAACACCTGGTGATGAACTAGCTCATGGTCAGGCCCAGCACTGTCTCAGCGACTTAGCCTGGAGAGAGCTCTGTCAGGTGACTTCCCTGTGCTGGGTCAAAGGGGAAAGGCAATAGCTGCCTATATAGTTGACCCTTGAACAACAGGGGTTTGAACTGCACAGGTCCACTTACACGTGGATTTTGAAATCAATCAGCATATAGTCCCTCCATACCTCTGGGTTTTGCATCTGCAGATTCAACCAGTTACAATTAAAAACAGTATTTTCAATCTGCGGTTGGGAACCCAAAGATGTGGAGGACCAATTGTGTGCATTGTTTTATGCCATTTTGTATAAGGGACTGGAGCATCCAGGGATTTTGGTGTATGTGGGCATGGGGTAGGGGGGAGGTATTGGGTCTGGACCAATCCCCCATGGATACCCAGGACTGACTGTAGTTGAGTTTGGAGGTCCAGTTACAGGTGGATTTTCAGTTGCACAGGTCTCGGTGCCCCTAATTCCTATGTTGTTCAAGGATCAACTGTAATTCACATGCAGGCCTTGAAGGTGAGATAGTGCAGGTAGAGGAACTTGACGAAAGATGAATGTGTGCAGTAGTGTGTGAGGGAATTCAGATGGTGAAGGCAGAGGTTAATATTCCACTTGTGAATCTGAGCACAAAACTTCATCACCATTTATTTAACTGAAACCCAGGTACAGAGTTCCCTTATCAAGACTTTGTTGTGAAGTTGCAGTCCGCCCTCCCCTCCTCTCCCCAACACACACACACACACGCCAGTGATTTTGCCTTTACCTTTGCCTCTGTGCTTTTGTGTCACCTCAACATCCATTATTCTGTTCTTCTTTAAAGTAAAGGCCCTGAGTGTCCTCTGAACTTTCAGCTTCATATGGACCCAACCTAGCCTATGCGTGTATAGATTAAACTCTTATTGTTGGAGTTAACTAGGAAAATTTTTAAAATTAGATGTTTCAATTATTTATTTAAATACCTTTTGCTGAGAAAGCTTAGTGGATTTAATAAGGCAGAGGGATTTTGGAATCCAGCAAATAGTTCCGCAGCTCACACCGACAGCAGACGACAGTGCAGCAGGCGTCGGTGGCGGTCGGCTGCCTGTTGGGCCCGTTGGACTGGGGAGTGCAGAAGACACTGCGGAAGTGCTTCGTCCTGGAAACCTGCAGCGGGGGATCCATGGGTCAGCCGATGTTTTTCTATATTATTTAGTACTAATGTGTGAACTTTTTGTTTTTAAAAGATACATGTTGGATTTTCCACATACTTTACATTTTTGTACAGTTTTGAATTCTATATAGTCTTGGAAGGATACTATGTAATGATGGGCCAGGCCTACAGTAATTGGGGACTTTTAATGTATGTAATATTTCATAGAGTGCATGCTACTAATAGTCTGTGAGGGTAGTATTTCTTGTTTTAGCGTAAGTTTCCCCATTTATCTTTTTATAAACCAGATGAAACAGTGGGCAGTAGGAATTCCAAATGAATGTGGAAATCTTACATGCTACATAATATTGTGGCGAAGGTCATCTAAGTTTAAAATGTGCTGACCACCAAGCAACTATATTATCAGGATAAAGAGAATCTAATTGGAGAGGGATTTTTTTTCCTTCTGAAATGTCTTTTTGACTCGCTGTTCACTCCCTATTTCCTTTAAAAAAATAAAATGTAAAAAGGAGTGACTCAAGAGTTGTTCCTTTTTTTTTTGTAGTACTGTTAGAAAGGCCATGATGGTATGAATGAAAATACATTTGTTGTCATTGACCTTATGGCCAAGGCAGTAAACCTGAAAGTGTCAATTTGTCAAAATCTAGACCTGAGAGATCCAGCCGCTGTGTTGGAAATACGAATATTTTCTGGCTCAATATTTTCCACCTTTTGGCTATTGGCTTTCTATCTCCCTCAGGGGCCCCTTAGGGTTGGCAGCAGTCTGCTACTTTTGCAGTGTTCCTAGAACTCACTGGGTGAGATGTTTTCTCTGTGCTTTCCCCCTCCTGCTTCTGTTTATTACCCAACTAGAATTTTGCTCTTCAGTGATTTCTGTAAAGTAGCTGCTCCTTGGCAGTCTTAGGTTGATTAAAGATGATTTACCTGAGTTTTCCAGGAGGCATCAAAGTAATGGTAGTTTGCTTTTATCCTTTTGTGTTCATTTTCTTTTAGTAGGTGACCCTTCTGCATTAGGAACTTTCATTTTTCTTATCATTTCTACTCAGTGGAGAGCATGGCCACCTTTCCAGTTGAAAAGCATTTGATGGAGGAAATGACAGGTCTTTGAAAGAATGGGGATCTGAATTACTTCCCAGCTATTTGGCCAGGAACTCTCGAGTGATGTCAAGGTGACGATTTCCCTCACATGATTTAACTTAAGAGTCATAGAATTTTAGTGCTAGATGAGATTTTAGTTCAATCTCACTTTACTGATGATGTTTTATTTCAGATAACAGATAATAAATAATGGTCAAGTTTATGACTCAGTGCCACTTGGTACTCTTTCTACAACTGTCTTAATTAAATGTGCCGTGTTTCTTTAAAATTTGTTAATACTTGATGTCCTCAGGAAGATACTTGAAAAGATATGCTATGTTTCAATAAATACCACCCGAGTATTCAAATTTGTTTAAAGGAGTATACTAAGTGCAACCTTAATTAGGAAAATCTTCATTTTAACCCTTCCAAAACTACACACAGTACGAATGTTCTTTTGCATTAGGTGTATGTAACAGACACATCATTTCAGCACTGGCAGGAGCACAGCAAACAGCCTTATTTGTGAGCCTTATAAAGCATTTCTTTTGTTACACAGGGGCATCTCATTACCTTATCATCGCACTCATTACCTTAAGTTTCCTTTATGCTGCTCTTTGTTCCTATTTCTCATTGAGAGTCGCACAGTTCTTTTTCAAAAACTGACAAATGAAATGACAGGGCCTAGCTTGTGTATGATAATCCTTGCTAAGTATCTTGAGGTTTTTGTTTTGTTTTTTACAAAAACAAAACAACCCCCCCAAAAGTAAAAAACCAAAAAGCTTATTTTCACATTAAAATAAAAACATCTTTTGCAACTTTAGAATTCTATGATAAAGCAGTTTTTATCGTATTTTGTGTCCATGAATCTTTCTCCTTAACAACAAAGTGGTTTACAAAGAGAACGTAAACAATTTGTCATCTGGCCAGTTGTACTTTTTAGCTCCCAGGAGTGAGGGTTGGTGGTCTAAGCAGAAACCATGCAAGAAAACCTGAGGGAGCAGTCTGTTGCCAGTAATGTTTCTTGTGTGTGCCATTAAACCACCCCCATGAGTGGGGGAGCATTCACTTTTTAATTTTGAAATTGTATTTGGAATTGTTGCTGTGTACTAAGACCTTGACCTAAATAAAATCCCATGAAGTGTAAGTGTCTTGTGAATATATTTATGTGAGTAACCTCTTTTCTTTCTAAGGTGGTAAGTTTAAGTGTGGAAGTGAATCCTTCCCTGTTGCTCTAAACGAGGTAGCTCCTATTTATTACTTAAGTCTTAAAAATTTCAAATATTTTAAATGTTGCCTTAAGACAGTTTTCATCTCTGTGACATTTCAAGACAGCTGTTCTAAATAGTTAGGTTTACTTGCAAAAATAGGGATAGAAGTTCTCATCACTTCCTCCAAATACATGTAATTCTTTTAATACAAAAAGGAGAGCTTACCTGTTGCTGGGTACCCCAACATTAATAGCAAAACCAGGTTCTTAATGGTGCCCATCCACAAACAGTCAAGTAAAACCCCCATATTTAAATGAAATCTGTTCTTTTTTATTAAGGATTGGGTAAGCTGACATAGTGAAAACATATAATTGAAAAACAAATTTACACTGACTGTATGACTACTGTCCTAAGTCATTACAATAGTTCACTGACAGTAACTGGCAAGAGTAACTTGTAAAATAACTTAATCCAGCAGTAGAACAAAAAACATCGTCAGTAGTACTGAATAGATCTCTCTCATATATCTCTATCTCTCTCTATATATAGGTTTGCACAATCAGGGAGCAAGGCACATAATGAAATGAGCGTACATTTAAGCAGAAGAAAGTAACGGTGAAAGAAAAATTGTAACTTCATCTTTACCGAGCTGTGCACAATCGTTTGAATAGTGTCCTCTATTGGGTACTTTATAATGCAGTTCCTTTTGCTTTCTTTTTCATGCTTTAAAAAAGTATATTCCTACATTGTTTCTATTCACGTAAATAGCAAAGCTCTCACAGCCTACATGTCAGTGTGAGCATTGACTCAATTTTTTTGAAGAAATGGGAAGAGGGGGAGCAATCCCAGTAAAATATAATGTGCAATTTTCCTTTAAAATAGTAAACAATGTTTTTACACCATTTAACACAAGCTAATGATATTTTCTTTTACATGTACATTTCTATAAAAGTTCACTAGTGGCTGATAATAAAATTAAGCAAAATCATTCGAAACATTCCAGTTAATGCATATTTTCTAGGAGAGATTATTTACAAATAGAGAAAAAAATATAGGAGACGGCAATCATGGAAAATGGCAGTTTTTGGTATTCGGTTACAATACATTTAAACAATGGACATTCCCAAAAATGCAAAGATTTTTTCCCTTTAAGTGCTGCAAGCATATTCTGCCTAGGAGGAGGTTGAGGCTTCAACACTTAGAGCTTGGAATTAACAGCCGCCTGCAATCAGCATACTCACTTCTGAACTTCGCCATCCATTAACTGTGTAGTGTTCACGTCACCCTGACTCAACTTGCTTCTCTCAATGTCTTTGGTAGAAAGCAGCCAGTCCCCGTTTAGGTAGATGAAGCCATCTCTTGTGAGATAGCCACTTTTTCTATTTTTGCGTAAACTAGAAATACTCAACTTCCTTCTCTTTTCGTTAGCACCTCAAAGTTTGCTTGTTAGATTTTTTTTATGCTCTTCCTCCAAAAGAGTTCAAGGCACTGGGGATTGTAGCAGATCCTGTTTTCTCCTCAAAATGGTCTATTATTCAACAAGCAAAGAGCAAACCAATTGGAGATTTTGTCCTTCAGTTGTTTATCAAGTATATTGTTGGATTATTTTTATTTAGCAAGTTTATTTTACAACTAAATGTCAGGTTTCTTTTCCACATAATACAGACCTTCCACGTGTATAACAATAACAGAGCACTTGTTTAGTTTGTGGGACAGACTGGGAAGGTGTAGAAATGTTGTTCTCTTGATTTTTAAAGGAAAATAAATCTTAAAAGATAGTGGGGTATTTTATTTTTCTACTTGCATCTCTCTGTGGATCAAATCTCAACTTTATGAGTGTCATATATTCCTGCAGGATTAGAGATACCCTGTTTTATACAAATGATGTCAAGTGTATAAAACAAAACTCAAAGTGCCAAAAGGTACTTGCAACCTACAGTGATTTTTACTAAAGAGACAGAATCTTCTTATCAAGTGTATAAACCCAAATTATTATTCCTATTTCATTTAAAGCAAGTCAGAGTCATTTAGGTTTAATTGGTCTATACTTGAATAAAATATGCGAGATTACATTAGTTATAATTTGTTAGCTCTGCAGGCATATTAAAACATTTGGTAATGTCTAAAACTAAAAAATGGTTTTGTTTAAAATTACCTTGTGTTTGTAATAACATAAAATTGCTTTTAGCAGAGGGGGAAAAGGTGACACAAGGTTCCATTGGTGACCTGATAGTCAAATCAAACCAATCCACATCATTACCTGAACATTTTTCTCATGCTAATTTACTTTACATTCTCGACACAAGCTCATTAACTATATTTTCCCAGAATAGCAGCTTCTGAAACTTAATTGGATGCACAGCTCCTATTAGCCTTGATCTGAGTTTTCACTCTACTAGAATTATTCATGATCCCCTATCGTCGTTTAAACTTTCTGGATAAACTCAGCATTATTTTCAGTGGCAATTAAACTTACAGGGAGAAGGGATTTCTAAGAGAGTTCACAGCCCTTAGCAGAAGATGCCATCAGTGGCCAGGAGCACCTTGATTTTAGAGGACTGGAAAACGCCATGTCTACCTTACTTTGGAATCTTCTGATGAAAATGGTGTCCTGTAACTTTCAGGAGTCAACAATCTTTCTCATTTTAAAAAACCTCAAATTTTAAAAATTTAAGGTAAAAACCTTAAGAATATTTACTTTTCCCAAGTGAGAATTACAGTAACTAAGGGGAAGAAAAATGCATGTATTTATTCAAGTAGTAAAAGCAAAGCTGATAAAATTTGAATAGAGAATAGCCTGACATTTATATATAATATATACCTATAAACCTGATGTAGTTGTCGCTGACCTCCCCGGTTGGTGCCAAAACTTTCTTTAGGCACAGGGTGACCCAATTTAGAACTCATCTGTGGTTGAGTTAAGGGTGTCACTAGCTCTGCCAGGCACCCGTCTGCCCTGCCCTGGACAGCAGGATGTGTTCCTCCACGCTGTTCATTTTTCAGTAGAGCCAAGTCGGCTGTCCAGACTGTCTTCGACATGAAGATGCTCGGCTGAGCTAGAGCTGCTGAGCGAAGGCAGTGGAAAAGGCACAGAGCTAGTGTCATCTGGCAGTTGGCGCTTACCATGAACACACCAGGGAAAAGGAACGGTTACAAAAATAACAAGAGTAATCTCAAAAAAAAAAACCCCAAATACAAAAACAAAAAAACTCTCCCCAAACCCCACAAAGCTACATGCCAACAAAAACCCACTAAGGAGTTAAATACTGGAGATACAATCTAAAGTATCATTCTTTTAAAAAAAATTTAGTTGTTTCACACGTAAAAGTTAACAGCCTTTTCCAGAAACAGCTGCTGTCAGACAAGCCAATGGATTGGGTTAAAATGTGAGTTCCTTCTCGAACCCAGCTCGCTTGTTGGTGTCCCTAGTGTCGCTGTACAGGATGTCTGCTCCTTCGGGAAGCGCCAGTCCAGGGTGGCTGTCCTCAGGACTGACACAGCCACAAGTCCCAGGAAAGCCCACACTGAAAAAGGCTGTATCTTAGGGTTCAAATCATGGGTGAAGAAAGGTTGAGGGTGGGTGATTTAAAGTTGAAGTGAAAAAAGACCGCCATTGCAACAAAAAACCCTAGTGACAAATGTATCACTGGATTCGTATTTTCAACTCTTCACCTCACAAATAAGGGTGATTCTTGGAATATAAAACTGTAGGCAGAGACTATGGGATTATTACTTCACTCATAATTCACACTGGAGCTTGGCAACCTGTACCCATGTTACACACACTGCTGTGCATGCTTAAATTAACAATGCAGATGTGTTAAAGGCCACCTCATACGCATAACAATGCACACAAACCTTGTGAACAGTTGAAAAGATACCCAAAGTATCATTTTAAAGCAGGGCTTTACAAAAATGCACAATGGTGTATGTGTTCCTATTGCTCTGTAACCGCATGACCACACTGAACAACGTCCCTCTTCTCTACGTGATGCAACACTGTTGGAGTGGGTCACATGGGTATCCTGTGTGCACCGCACATTTCCCCCTCGGGACGGCGTCGAAGACTTCTGCAGTCAGTGCTGGCACTCCTCAGTCACCACAGGCAGGGACTTTCATTTATCATTCTTGGGATGGCTCCTTTTCTTTTGTTTAAGAGCAGCTCTGAGATTGTATTTTATTCCCAATGGTTAGTTTATCATCACATTTTTCTCAGTAATAAAGGAAAAATCAGAGAAAACATATGAATTGCAGCGTGGAGCACACTGTGCCAACACAGTGACAATTTCACGTGATGCCAAACTGCACGTGCACAGCACGTGACGCCACTCACTGTACTTGGACTGCACCGCTCCCACAGAACCCCAGGGAGCCCGGACAGGTCCCCGCACGCAGGCTGCAACGAGCAAGGATCCCAGTGTGCTGCTGTGCCAGAGCCTCATTTGTTCTCCCCCCTCCCTCTAGGACAGTCCCGCACTGAAAGGAAGTGTCTGTCTTACACGTTACAGTCCATATGCAACCTGATCAATGATACCTGCACAGGAGCCATTTTGTTCATTTTTGTAATCACCCGACCTTCTAGAGATGAAGACACGAAGACATTTCAGAAGGGGATTTTGTTTTTCATAATGATGCACCATATTAGACACAGGATGGGTATGTTTGATATAGCAACTGTCTACAGATACCTAAAATCAACATCTACCTAAAGCACACACTTAAAAGAAGGTAACTGGTGACCCCAAAACAGACTGGGACTAAACATTCCAGGATATTGTGTTGGATATTCTCTTAGAGTAAGTCAAAGCAAGGACTGTGAAGCCAAGGCTGATGCAGCTTCACTAAGCCCACGGAAAGATTCCAGCAGTGTTAAAAGAACTATCCAAGACTGTAGTACTAAATTGTCCACGTGTTGTAGGCAGAGAGCTGACCTGTGGCAACGTGCCCTAGATGCAGGTGCATCACTGCAGCGGCACTGCGGCTGGCACGGTTCAGTTACACTGTGTATTTACTTCAAATGCAAAACTGTGTGCAGACAGTGTCTGAAATTTCCCCCACCGCACTGTTCACCCATTCCTCGAGGCTGAGAGACTTTCCTGATTAAAGTGCTCCTTTATGTATAGTAATGAAATGTCAGACAGCTCTAACTTCAGCCAACTGGGGATCAAGCAAACATGAGAGCCCTACAGATACACCCAGCATTCTGGTTGACCTCTCAGACGGAGACACAGCACGTTAGACATCTATCCCTCAATATACAACACGCAACATGCACAGAGAGGCTGCATGTGGAGACTTACAAAATACCTTCTAAATACTCGTCAGAAGTTCTTTTGTCCAACCCACATGGCAGATAACAGGTATCATGAGGGACAGGGCACACCCCCCCTTCCGTGCCTCTTCTGCCCGAAATACACAGAATCCATGTTCAGATTAGGAGAGAAAAGGAATAAACAATCACTCCCAGCTATATATATACATACACACATACATGTATACATATATACATATACACACACAATGTAACTGTGTACACACACACACAGCTGGACACTACCTGAATAACATACCAGAAGGCTCTGAACACCTGAATTCGGGGATGATCAGGTGAGCTGATTGTAGAACTCATTACAGACAGCACGAAAATAAAGTCCTATGGTAGCTACCAGTCTCTCGAGAGCTTGGTGTTCTGGTCTCTCTTGGGGGGAGCGGGGGGAGGTCCTCTCCGCAATGTCGCGTAGCCTGATATATGACTGCCTCCGTAAGCAGCTTTCTGTTGATCAGAAAGCAGTTCGGGGGGCGGTGGGGGCAACGCCATGTCATCCATGGTGGCTGTGGGTTCTGCTCTGGACATGCGGGAGGAGGAGAGCGAGCCGTGCCGGGTGATGGACTTCCGTTGCAGGGTCCTGTTGAGGTCTGCCAGGAACCCAGGCTGGACACTAAGGCTGGACTTGGGAGAGGTGGGCACTTGTGGCACAACTGTGGGCGCTGCTGGCTGCTCGGAGGCCTCCGCTTGAGTGAGGCGCGTGCTGTCATTCCGTTTGGGCCGTGTGGGCGGGGGGGCCTTCTTCATGGATGTTTTGGACCACTGCTGGGGTTGAGGACTAACAACTGCCACTTTCGGAGAAACGTTTCCCAAGAACGCTGCTGGGATCTCTATGGGGGGCGGAGGAAGCTCTATTTCAGGTGGAGGGGGTGGAAAGTCCGAGTCCGATGGAGGAGAAGGAAATTCTACCACGGAGTCCTTTCCGCGGCCACTCAGGACAGACGCTTTTGCTGCCACGCCCCCCTGCTGGAGAACTCCAGGAAGGTTAACTCCAGAAAGATTGAGTTTTCCAGGTTTGGGGGGCGCTGCAGGAGGTGGTGGGGTCTCCTTGTTTGGAGACCCAGAGGGTTCGGCTGGCGACGCGAACTTGCTGACTAGGCTGTCCACGGAGGGTCTCTTGGGCTCCGGGGGCTCTGCACAGCTGCTGGACTTGATGCTGGAGTTTCGCTGTGGGGTCGGGGGAGGTTTCTTTCCCCCGGGGCTGGACGTCTTACTTGTCTTTTTGCCTGGAGATCCACTTTTGTCAGGGGCAGGAGAAGATGTGGGAGTAGCCGGCAGCGGTGGCGGGGCTGGGGCAGGTGGTGGTGGAGGTGGAGGTGGAGGAGGAGGAGGGGGAGGAGGAAACACTAGGCTGCTCTCAGGAGGAGGAGGAGGGAAATCTGGAGAAGGGGCAGGGATGGAGCTGGGCTGCCACTTGGGTTTTGCTTTCACAGCAGGAGGGGACTGTGGGGCTACATTTGCTGTGGCTGGCTTTAAGGGCTGTGACTCCACAGGAGGAGGGGTTGGAGGTGGGGGGAACTGGCTGGCTATCTGCCTCACCACAGAGGGCACTGGGGACAGGGGAGAGGGAGGCGGCTTTACGCTGAAACTCTGATGCTTGGGTAACGTGGGTGGGGGGACTGGACCAGGGGGAGCAGCGGGAGAGGGTGGAATGTGAGGAAAAGCCGGCTGCTTTTTTGCTGGGGGGACTGGAGGAATAGGCGTAGGTGGCACAGCCTGTGTCCCAACGGCAGGCACAGTTTTGGTGCTGGTTGGTGGCATGGTCACAAGAGGTTTGGGAGGGGCCTGGGGAGGGACAGGAGGAGGTGGTGGGGGCGTTGGAGGAGCTGCTTGAATGACATGCGGAACATGATGAATCTTCAGTGGGGGAGGAGGGGGGCTGAACTGTGGAAGGGACTGGGTGCAAGGTGCAGGTTTTAGCTGGGCCATAGCTGAGCCAGGGGTGGGGGCGGGCGGTGGGGGCGGGGGTGGGGGCACCACTCCGTTGGGGGGCACAGGGACCTGAGGCTTTGCTGGCTGTGAGGCCGTGGACAGAGGCTGCTGCATCACTGAGGACGGCGGAGGCTTAAATAGGGGTCCTGAATGCTGAGAAGCGTTCTGCAGCCTGGTGATTGTGCTGTACTTGACAAACATTGTGGCTGCTGAGGCCCCAGAAGGTGCAGACTGGCTGGGCAGGGGAGGGGGAGGTGGGGGCGGAGGAGGGGGTGGAGGAGGAGGGGGTGGGGGCGGGGGCGGTAGAGGCGGCGAAGGCTGAGAGGCAGTGTAGGGGTTGACTAGTTTAGGTTGTGGGGATAAAGGGGGCATAAGGGAGGTGTAGGATCTATTCAATGAGTCCATTCTGGCCTAGAAGGAGTATAAAAGGGGCGGGAGGAGAGAACACAATAAAAACAGTTACACAGGTAAGCTATGTGTGGCTGAAAGTCAAAAGCAAGGACTCGGGCACGTGCACGGAAAGATGCAGGAGCTGGCGATCACAGCGGAGGGAAAGCTAAATGGGGGCTCTCTGGACAGCACCGGCACAGGGGAGATTCGTTTGTCTGACGCTATTTTCCAGTGGCTAGACCGCCTGATAACCTAGAAACAATATCCTGTAGCAAAAGCTGTCTGAAGGGTGATGGCTGCCCCACATGGGAGCCCTCTGTGGGAGGGCCTCTGAGCCCTGGACCCCACCCGCACTCTGGCAAGGGGAGATGTGGCGGCTCAAGTTCACCTTTCAGCCCGTGATGCATCTGCCTCGGGCAGATGCCTTAACCGGGTGTAGGGGTGCTGGTGGGGGGCCTCCTGAGGGACGAGGAAGGCTTTTTGATGCTAGTAAGCTGCCACGTGAGAGTATAAGAGTGTCCAGCAGGCGTGCACAGTCACACAGGAATGAACGAGCTTGACACACACTCGTGTCCCTGTGAGACACTTGCATCCAACATGCACAGAAGTCCAGCAATGCAGGTCAAGAGGCGGCATTCTTTACATTTGTTTTACTGGAAAATACACAAAGAAATGCTTCATAAACATGAAAGCAAAAGGTCATAACAATATCCTACAGAAAAAGCCAAAAGAAAGCGAGAGGAAACTTGAGAAGGCTAGGGTAAAGGAAACGTATCAAGAAAGGGGAGCTCGAGTTTGCCAGCAACCTGCTGAGCACCCCCGGGTGCCGCCCGAGTCACCACATCTGGTCATGCATTGCATGGAACTACTCATGCATGAACGTGGTTCGAGTGCTTCTGAAAAGAGTAAAGGAAGAACCCTTGGCTTAATAACTTAGGGTACATCTTTTAGACCTTTTGAACATCCTATAAGGATCCAAGATAAAACCATTTGTTTCCAGTTATGAATGACATCTAATTAGCATGGAGAACTTAGGTTAGTGAACTAGAAGGCTTATTACAGGGCTGAATTCTAATGCTCATTAGGACACTAGAATGTTTCTTTAAAAACTGCACATCAAAGTAAAAGCATTAGTCTGCAAGACTTGGTTACAGGAGTCACCCAGGTTAATGTGTTTCCATAGAACGGCCCCTGACCTTAACTTGACCCTGTCTTGGATGCTGCAGGTGTGCAGACCTTAGCTGTGCTGGCCTTCTCCCTTGGCACCTGAGACTGAGGTAACAGAAGAAACACACGGGGATCAGGACTCAGACACAGTCGCTGCTGCACGGCAGGGCTCCCGCTCTCTCCGAGACTGCGACGGGACTGCTCTGTCTAACCAGAGCACGGGAACCTTGGCCTCGCATTTAAAATGCATGTAGAAAACACCATTAAAGATTTAGTAAGGTGAAGGCTTTTCTTCACCTGTCTGCATTGTGCCAACCCGCTTCTCTACCACGTACATTGAGTTATTAGTACCAGATGAGGGGGTTGCTCCCCCCAGAAAAGCAGAGATTTCCTAAAGCTTCAACCTCTGCTAAGGGAGTTAAGCAAACGATCAGTGTTTTGAGAATTTAGGTCATTAAAACCAATGTTCAAGTATTTACTCCTCAGAGACCCCCACATTGGGTTACTCACACTCCCTCCACCCTCCTGAGGGCCAGTTAACTAGATATGCAAATCAAGCAATAAAGTAAGGAAAAACATCCACTTAATTCCCATGGATGAATGTACTTGCATAAGTGATTAAGACCAAAGAAAAAATAAAATAAAAATGACTGTTGAGTAGAAACAAAAGGGTCGGGCCAGATGTGCCACGGGACCCTCAGTGCTGGGTGAGCTCTCGCCTCCCGGGGTGGGGGCGGGGAGCGCAGCCAGGACACACCCTGGCCCACAGGAGCCCACAGGCAGTCTGGTACGGCGTTCTCCGGCTGTCTGAAGAACCTCTCCACGTTTCCGAATAGTCTGGCAATAATTACACTTGTCCTCAGTGTCACTGAAGAAGCTACTAAGCAAGGCCCAGGGATCCAAAACTTTAAGGGGATAAATTGGAATGTAACCTTCCACATGTGCCTTAATTTGAAAAAATTCATCAATGCTCAGAGAAATACCAAAAAGCATACAAGAAGAGAAGATAAAGGAATGAGTCTGAATATATCAATAACAAGTAAAGAAACAGACAGCCACCAGCAGCTTTTCTGGGACAGAATTCGGGCACTGGCACTAAGTGGTGGTGCTCCATCCAAAATGATTAAGGAGGAAGGGAGAAAACTGTTACTTCTTAAACATTGGAGCCACCAAAAAATAGTTAAGCTGCCAGGTTTTTTGTTTGCGCGCTTTTTGAGATCTTAGGTCACTACAGCACATTCACAAATACTCATTTCTGAGGAGAAATCAGAGAAAGCATAAAGAAATACAGCCAGGAAAGATCCCTAATAAAGGAACAGAAGAGCAACAAGCTCACCCCCCAGAACGCCACAGACTTTTCTCTAGCAGGGCTCACAAGCGCGTTACCTTGCTGGACTCTTCCAGCTGAGTGCCTCGCTTCCAGGCTTCAGAGAAGATGGAGCTCACGATGCTCTGGGAGCGGGCGTGCCCTGCTGCCGGCTGGGTGTCGGACACTCCACTGTCAGACTGATTGGAGTGGTTTGACTGAGACTCTGTTCAAAATAAATGTTCAAAAACAGGATCACACAGTTCTGACAGTATGACTATTTATGTTCAGGTAGATCTTTTACAAAAGACCAAGTGCTATATAGAACAGCAACAAGTTACCTTGACTCACTGCATGTAAAGCACACCCGTTTATTCCACTAGAAAACTTCCCTTGCCTTAGGAGCTAAAAGGAAATCTTGATCCTTCTAAAACAGTTCACCACGAGAGACCGATAATTACAATAAAAGGTTCACATACATTATTGGTATCCTGACAATCTGTCTTGGAAGAACTCATAGCAAGTAAAAAAATTAATGAACCATCAATAAAGGAGTGAATTTTTTTCAGGTGTGTCTTTATTACATTGAGATTTGATCTTTTCATATATCACTGCTCCGGGCCATCCCACAGAGCTCTCAAGAATTCAGATATACACATGATGACGACGTCCTTCCCCAGCAATGGGCAGTCCTCAGAGTCTGACCCCCAAGTGAGAGGTGTGTTTCCTAGAGACTCTGGCACAGGCATCATAAGGCAGCCGCTGCTCTGTTGAGCCTGGCCTCCTGGGTAAAGGCACGAGGACAAGCCTTCAAGGGAGCAGGGAATGGCTGAGGATGCAGTGTAATTTGACCCCCAGGGTGAGGGAACCAGGAAGATGACTTCACCGGACACCGAGTCAGGTAGGATAGTCATGCAGAAGCACCTAGTTTAATGCCTGACATCTGGGGGATGCTCAAGTGTTAAAGCCAGTCCTATCCAATCACTCTGTGAGAGATGGGTATTATTAGATTGCCCAAGATACTGTGCCCTCTAGCAGCTCATATACCTATTGAATATAATTTAGAAATTAGGTATGGCTCTGATTTTTAAGAATCATGCTGAAGTAACCAGGTCTACTAGCAGCCTATAGAGACCCGTTCATATTGCTAGTAAACTGCTTTGGGCATTTCAAACTACCTGGGATGCTGGAAGAACTGGATCCGGACTTAATGCTGGAGCTGGATAAGGAAGTCCAATCATAAGCAGACTCTGTCCTCTTCAAGGCTTCTTGATAGTTCACATAGAGCTGCTTCCCATACTAAACAGAAGGCAGTAGATGATGACATCTGAGCCTCACAGGGCATGACACCAATGCGAGAGGTAGGAAAGGGTGACACATTTCTGTTTACTGATTCACAGTTTGTATTAAAATTAACACCTACAATCCTTCCAAAGTTATTTTAACACCAGTAAATTAGAATCTACCCTTATTTTTCCTCATTTTTACAAAGGCAGCAAGAAGTGAACCCTTGATTGGGTTTGTTATCAATACAAAGATTTTTTTCCAGTTATTCCTCAAGCCCCTTTGATTTTACAGCTATAATGAAATTTTACTTCTAGTTCTTGGCACAAATACTTCTTCAAGTATTTTGTACAATCATCTTTAAGATGTCCTTTAAAATATATTTTTTAAGACTTGCTTTTTTTATAGAACTTGCTTTTTTTTTTTAGGTTCACAGCAGAATCAGGAGGAAGGGCCAGAGCCCTCCGATACACTACCAGCTTGCACACGTGCACGGCTTCCTCCATCACCAACACCCCCACCAGAGTGGGACATGTGTTGTTACAGTCAGTGAGACTGTAACATTAACACACAACCATTACTCAAAGTTCAGTTTGTCTTAGGGTCACTCTTGGTGCTATACATTCTATGGATATGGACGAATGAATAATGACATATATCCACCATTACAGTACACAGATTATGAATATTTTCACTGCCCTAAAAATCCTGTACTCTGCTTATTCATCCTTCCCCTATCTCAAGGCAACTTAATTTTCAAGCTCTGCTATATGAGAATGATATGATATGCACTCCAAAGCCAAAATAATCACTTTGATGTTACACAAGCTGTTACCACCAGTATTATTCCACAAATACCAACTGTTAAAAATGTATGCATATGACCAAAAAAAAAAAGACATTTAAAATTAAAACATAAGGCCTGAGAAAACTAGACATTGGCAAAATCATGAACATGAAACAACCAGAATAACTGTCATGGCAATCAAAACCTTATCATTAACTACCTCATTATTCTGCTATCAAACCCAACGAAAACATACCTTGGCGATGCGTATACCATTGACCCACTGGTGCAGGGTCCTCACATCATCGCAACAAAGATACTTAATGTACTGAGATTTCTTCTGGATCTGTGGGTGCTGCAAGATTAAAGATGAAGTCCAATTAAGTCTGCTGGAGAACTGAAGAAAAATAAACTCTACCAAAGCCTGAACATACCCTGACAAATTACAGGCCATCAGAGTAATGGCCTAGTAATTTATATCTCTCATATGGCCATAGGCCAAATAAAATGGCCCATAAATATATTTATAAAATAAATGAGAAAAAATATGCTGAATTTTAGTCAAGATATCCAAATTAAAAAAATACCTTCACATTTGGAAAATCCCCAAACACCCCTTCTACATTTCAAAGAAACAATGTCCACCAACAAAGTCATCAGAATTCTTAATTTATAAGACAATGAAACAAGAAAATATTGTTTGATTTCACTTTGAACCCACAGAAAAGCACTCAGAAGACTCCAAACAAGAGTCTTTGGGAAAGCTTCCAGTGCTCCTCTGGAGGTGACCAACTGGGTGGGGTGGACCGAGCACCAGGCACAGCACCTGGGACATGATGGGGTGCTCCCACCACTGCAGGGGCGCTCTCTGTGGACTGAGCCCTGCTCCACAGGCTCCTGTACCCCCACGCAGCACAGGCCTTCCAGGGAATGAGCAGCTTATCAACTGCCTCATCTAATTTAGTTTTCACAACCCAATATGCTTCTCAGTTGAGAGATGGATGGGAGATGACTGACTTGACCTTGAGTAAAAAATGCAAGTGCTAGCACAGACTTCAGGTATTTATTTAAATACTCACCTGAGGATTTGTTTATTGATTTTAGAAAGAGAGGGAGGGAAGGCAGGGGGAGGGAGGCAGGGGAGAGGGAGAGGGGAAAAGAGAGACAAACATCAATCCGTTGCCTCCAATGCACACCCCGACCAGGACTGAACCTGCAACCTAGGTAGGTGCCCTGACCAGAAATCAACCCTGCAGCCTCCGGGTGTGCAGGAAGATTAGATGCTCCAACCAACAGAAAGACTCAGCCAGGGCTAGACGTAAGGTATTTTAATTCTACTGGGCCACGACCCCTAGTTCCCTTGGATGAAAAACTAAATCACAGTTCTTTTGGGGGTAAGGATTGTTAATTACTACTTCCCTCTTACTTATTCTGAAAACAAAATTTTAAATTGCTATTACTTTACCTGAAGTATTTAAGTTTATATCCAATTGTAAGAGGCTTAAAACTTTTTTAACCATATTCGTTTGTTGTGGAAACCCATGAAATCAATACAATGATTTGAATAAGTTCTCAATGTAGCAGGAATAGGTGGCCACTATTATAAATTATGTATCTGCATTGTTAAAGATTCATTTCTCTGGGTCGCAATGAGAGAAATATAAATTCACTTATTTATTCTATTCTATACACTGTTTTACAGAGCTCAGCTCCTATGATAAAACATTTAATGCAAAACCAATTTTGTTGTTGAGAGCTATAATCAGTTTTAACCATAACCCAATAATAAGGGTTAGCAAAATAATTCCGAATGATTTCTCCTGATAATATAGGCTCCACAGCCTTCTCTTGGAATATATGCCCTTGTCCTCATTAGACCACAGAATAAACCACCATAGCAGTCTTAAAAGAGCAGAGGAGGACAGACAGAGGAGTGTGTATTTTTCTGTAAAAGAAAGAGGGATTTTATTGCATTCATTTATTCAACAAATCCTTGTTGAGTAAGAACTATCTGCCAGATGCTTCAAGCAGTCGCTGGGATACAGTGTTGACAAAACGGAAGAGGCCACACCCAGGCTGTGCAGGAGACGAAACGGGCGACTGAGAAAGAGCCTTCTTCAGCGCGGCCCGTTAGGGCTGGAGAGCTCTTCTCCGTCTCCTGCTTCTGAGACACTGGCCACTGGACAGACTTCAGACAAACGAACAGCGGCCATAGGACGGCTCTCAGCTCTTATCACCACGGCCCCCTTTACAGTGATTTACAAACTATTTCTGGCTGATTCCTTCCATTTTAAGGGTTACCAGGATAGGTGTTCAACTGTAGCAGTGACCCTGCCGGGGTGGGGGGGCGGAGAGGGGGAGAGAGAGATCTCTACACAAGGGAGTATTTTTAAAATCAATACGGCATCAAAGAAAATCAAAGAGAAATTAACTTTTAACCTTCTATCCTCATCTCTCTAACCTGAGATTCCAAATAACACGCTGAAGAGTACTACGATACCACTATTTGAGTATTTGCAGATTCCTTGCTAATTTAAAATTTTCATTTTGGGACCCCCAGGATTCTTTTTTCAACCTCCCACACCGTAAAGACATTCATTACACAGCCTTCATTACGGTCATTCAGGCTCCGTGCCAATACCTAAGGAGAATGCCTGTTCTGCGGACACACTGTTATTTTATTAAAAGTGGCATTTATTGAGCACTCAGTATGTTCACATGTATTAACTCATTCCATCAGACCCCATGAGCTACATATTACTATTTCCACGATCTGAGGAGAAATGGAGACACAGAGAAGTTCAGACCGTTTCCGAAGTTACTGGTCAACAAGTGAAAGAACCAGGACTTGGTATGATGTGATCTCATTTCAGGGCCCATGCTGTCAAACACTGTGTCATATTATTGCCTTGTAAGTGTGAAACATTCTTTCAAATTTGCTGCCTCTCTTCTCTGTTTGCCAAATATTATTCCACCACTTTTAAAATCACACACGAGGCAGGACTTCCGGCCAAGATGGAGGCGTAGGTAGATACACTGTGCCTCTTCACACAACCAAAAGGACAACAACAATTTAGAAACAAAAAACAACCAGAACCGACAGAAAGTTGAACTGTATGATGTCCGACAACCAAGGAGTTAAAGAAGAAATGTTCATCCAGACCGGTAGGAGGGGCAGAGACCAGCAGCTGGGTGGAGAGGACCCATGGCAAGGCGGCAGCTGGTGGACCTGGTGAGGTGGTGGCTGGCAGAGTGGGTGGTCCCACATTCACGTGCAGATAAACCGGGAGGAACAACTGGGGAGCAGGATGGACCGCACAACCCAGGGTTCCAGCACAGGGGAAATAAAACCTCAAACCTCTGATTGAAAACACCTATGGGGGCTGGGGCAGCAGCGGGAGAGACTCCCAGCCTCACAGGAGAGTTCGTTGGACAGACCCACAGGGTCCCGGGATGTACACAAACCCACCCGCCAGGGAATCAGCACCAGAAGAGCCCACTTAGCTTGTGGGAAGCAAGGCAAGTGACTGAAATCTGGCAGAGAGCAGAGCAAGTGCCACTGTTCCCTCTCAGACCCCTTCCACACACCCAGCGTCACAACCCAGTGATGGGGGTTACCTGGCCCTGGTGAACACCTAAGGCCCTGCCCCTTACCACATAGTAGGCGCGACAAACCAAAATAAAAAAAAAAGTCCCAAAGGAAACAACAGATCAAAGCTCCAGAAAAGAATACAACTAAACGACGAAGAGATAGCCAACCTATTAGACACATAGTAAAAAACACTGGCAATCAGGATACTCACAGGATTGGTTGAATTTGGTCACATATTAGATGAAAAAAAATGAAGGCTACGCTAAGTGAAATCAAGGAAAACGTACAGGGAACCAATAGTGATGAAACCAGGACTCAACAGGAAGGAAACCAGGACTCAAATCAATGGAGTGGACCAGAAGGAAGAAAGAAACATTCAACCAGAAAAGAAGGAAGGAACGAGAATTCAAAAAAATGAGGAGAGGCTTAGAAACCTCCAGAACATCTTTAAACATTCCAACATCTGAATCATAGGGGTGCCAAGAGAAGAGAAAGAGCAACAAGTGGAAAAGTTATGGGAAAGTTATTTGAAAAAATAATAAAGGAGAACTTCCCCAATCTGGCTAAGGAAATAGACTTCCGGGAAGTCCAGGAAGCTGAGAGTCCCAAAGAAGTTGGACCCAAGGAAGCACACACCAGGGCACATCATAATTACATTACCCAAGATTGAAAATAAGGAGAGAATCTCAGAAGCAGCAACAGAAAAGGAGACAGTTACCTACAAAGGAGTTCCCATAAGACTGTCAGCTGATTTCTCAAAAGAAACCTTACAGGCAAGAAGGGGCTAGAAAGAAGTATTCCAAGTCATGAAAGGCAAGGACCTACATCAAAGATTGCTCTATCCAGCAAAGCTTTCATTTAGAATTGAAGGGCAGATAAAGTGCTTCCCAGATAAGGTCAAGTTAAAGGAGTTCATCATCACCAAGCCCTTATTATATGAAATGTTAAAGGGAATTACCTAAGAAAAAGAAGATCAAAACTACGAACAGTAAAATGACAACAAACTCACAATCATTAACAACCACACCTAAAACAAAAATAAAAACAAACTAAGCAAACAACTAGAACAGGAACAGAACCACAGTAATGGACATCACATGGAGGGTTATCAACAGGGGAGTTGGAGGAGGAGAGAGGGGGAAAAAGCACAGAGAATAAGTAGCATAAATGGTAGGTAGAAAATAGACAGGGGGAGGGTAAGAATAGTATAGGAAATGTAGAAGCTGGGGAACTTGTATGTATGACCCATGGACATGAACTAAAGGGGGAGGTGTGGGTGGGAGGGGGTGTGCAGGGCAGAGGGGAGTGAAGGGAGGAAAATGGGACAACTGTAATAGTATAATCAACAAAATATATTAAAAAATAAATAAAATCACACACGAGATAAGAACAAGTATGGAGGAGATGTTCTTGCTAAAAATCAGAAGTTTTGCGCATTAAATTCTTAAACACTCCAAAAAGAATATATAATGAAGTTGCCCTCCAAAACAAATGAACAGCTATACAGAAAGGTTATTATTTCATGTTTAAAATGACGATGATTTGGAAAGTTTGCATTGTTTAATAATAAAGGCAAAAATTTTGAGAATAAAAGCATTTAAGAATATGAAATTCTTGATTACTGTTTTTAAGTATATTTTATTGATTATGCTATTACAAGGGGAGGAAAGTTGTCCCAAATTTTCCTCCCCTTTATCCCCCTCTACCCTGCATCCTCCCACCCTCCAGCATTGCTCCCAAGGCCTTAAAGGTTCATGTCCATGGGTCATACATACAAGTTCTTTGGCTTCTCTATTTTCTATACTATTTTTAACCTTCCCCCTATTTTGTGCTTACCTATTGTGCTTCTTATTCCCTGTACCTTTTCCCCCATTCTTCCCCTCCCCACTGATAACCCTCCAGGTGATCTCCATTTCTGTGATTCTGTTCCTGTTCTAGTTATTTGCTTAGTTTTTTTGTTTTTGTTTTTAGGTTCAGTTGTTGGTAGTTGTGAGTTTGTTGTCATTTTACTGTTCATAGTTTTGATCTTCTTTTTCTTAGATAAGTCCCTCTAATATTTCATATAATAAGGGCTTGGTGATGATGAACTCCTTTAACTTGACCTTATCTGAGAAGCACTTTATCTGCCCTTCCATTCTAAATGAAAGCTTTGCTGGATAGAGTAATCTTGGGTTCAGGTCCTTGCCTTTCATGACTGGGAATGTCTTTCCAGCCCTTCTTGCCTATAAGGTTTCTTTTGAGAAATCAGCTGATAGTCCTTTGTAAGTAGCTCTCCTTTCCTCTTGCTGCTTTTAAAATTCTCTCCTTATCTTCAATCTTGGGTAACTTAGTACGACGTGTCTTGGTGTGTTTCTTCTTGGATCCAACTTCTTTGGGACTGTCTGGGCTTCCTGGACTTGCATATCTAGTTCCTTTGCCAGATTGGGGAAATTTTCCTTCATCATCTTTTCAAATAGGTTTTCAATTTCTTGGTCTTCCTCTTCTCCTGCTGGCACCCCTATAATTTGGATGTTGGAACGTTTAAAGTTGTCCCAGACAACTTGCCCTAAGCCTCTCCTCATTTCTTCTTACTTCTTGTTTCTTTGTTCTATTCCGGTTGGATGTTCACTTCTTCCTTTTGTTCCAAATCTTGATTTGAGTCCCAGTTTCCTTCCCTTCACTGTTGGTTCCTTGTATATTTCCCTTTATTTTAGTTTGTATAGCTTTCATTTCTTCCCCCATTTTGCGACTAAACTCAGTCATTTCAGTGAGCATCCTGATTTACCAGTGTTTTGAATTCTGCATCTGATAGGTTGGCTATCTCCTTGTCACTTAGTTCTTTTTCTGGAGTTTTGATCTGTTCTTTCATTTGGGCCACATTTCTTTGTCTTGGTGCACTTGTTATGTTGCAAGCGGCAGAGCCTTAGGTATTCTTCAGAGATGGGGCAACCCATTTTGCTGGGTTGTGGTGCTGTATGTTGGGGAGGGGTCAGAGAGGGAACAGTGCCACTTGCTAGCTTCTCAGTTCTCTCCCCACTTTCCATCACTTCGGACAAGTGGATTATGTCCTTTCAGGTGCTGATCCCAGGTGGGTGGGCTTGTTTATGTTCTAGGATGCTGTGAGTCTCTCCAACAGACTCTCCTGTGAGACTGGGAGCTTCTCCCACTGCCACAATCCCCAGAGGTTTTTACAGTCACGGGTTTTGAGGCTTTATTTCCCTGTGCTGGAACCCTGGGTTACGCAGTTTGTCTTGCTCCCCAGTTCTTCCTCCCATTTACCCACATGCAAATGTGGGAAATCCTGTCCATGAGCTGCTGCCTTGCCTTGCATCCTCTCCATCCCAGCTGCCCGTCTCTGCCCCCCTCCTACCAGTCTGGATGAATGTTTCTTCTTTAACTTCTTGGTTGTTGGACTTCCATGGAGTTTAATTTTCTGGGAGTTCTGGCTGTTTTTTGTTTTTAAATTGGTTGTTGTCCTTTTGGTTGTGTGAGGAAATGAAGTGTTTCTAGCTACATCTCCATCTTTGGCCAGACCATGAAATTCTGGATTAGTATTGTGCTATTAGATGACTTTTCTCTGTTTATGTCAAAAATTAGATTGAGACTGATCCTTTCTAAAACTCTATTAACTAAAAGTGATGCTCTAAAATCACAGTCCAAGTGCTAATGGAAAACCACTGAGTATATACTAACCATTTATTACTTTGCAAACACATGCATGCTTTTAAATTAGTTCCCTCAACTAATTTGTAAGAAGTTAAAAAATAAAAATATGTAACACTGCACCCATTCCAAAACTTTTGATCCTTCTAAACCTCAAAAAAAAAAAAGCCCTCAGAAGAAAAATATTCTTAACCTAGGAGTTTTATGTATGTTGCAAAAGGGATTAAAGTAATACTGCAAGAAATAACAAGAGTTGGTGATGATGCGGACAAAAGGAATCCTTATACACTGTTGGCTGGATTGTATATTGGTGTAGCCATTATGGAAAACAGTATAAGGGTTCCTCAAAAGTTTAAGGATAGAACTATCTTATAATCCAGCAATCCCTCTCATGGGTATTTCTAGAAGAGCATGAAAACACTAATTTTAAAAGATGTATGCACCCTTATGTTCACTGTAGCATTTTTTACAGTAGCCAAGATATGGAACAACCTTAGTGTTCATCGACAGATGAACGGATTTTCTAGGTCAGCACGTGATGCCTGGAACGGCAGGGGCCATCTGCGGCAGTGAAGCGAGCCAGCCTGAGAAGAAGGTGATACGCAGAAGATGGAACAGGGAACGATGGAGAGAATCTGGGTTCTCACTGACAACCTTGAGCCATTAAAAATAAACAACTCTTACTGTCCTCATGTTACGAGATCCCCAAATAACTTTCATTTACATGGGTTATGTTTACTGATATTCACCTTATAAGAAATTAAAACTTAGAAAAAATTAAAACACAACAATATACAAATATACATTACACTACCCGACAGCAAAGATATCATCACATGTCATGTAACGTCTCTGAAAACTCCATCACACATTTGTGGAGAAGGAGAGTCTAAAAGGCAAATAGCATCTTACCACTATCTGAAGAGTGATTTTGACGTCACGGACCCCTTGAGAGGTCCCCAGGGACTCCCCAAGGATGTTGGACCTCAGTTTGAAACTTCTGAATTAAGCTAATTTCTACTGACTTTTAAAAAATTATTTGTTGCTGTAATTTTTTTTAACATGATATATTTTTTAAAGATTTTATTTATTTATTTTTAGAGAGGGAAGGGAGGGAGGGAGGGAGGGAGAGACAGACAGACAGACAGACAGACAGACAGACATCAATGTGCAGTTGGGGGTTATGGCCTGCAACCCAGGAATGTACCCTGGCTGGGAATCGAACCTGGGACACTTTAGTTCCCAGCCCGCACTCAATCCACTGAGCTACGCCAGCCAGGGCTTGTTGCTGTAATTTAAATGATAAGATGGTATTCTCTAAGAAAGGATTACCTAATAAAGGGTTATCATTATAATACACCTAATTTTATCAAAGCAATAAAAATTCTATCCAAAAATCCTGAACAAACACTGCTGCCCCAAACCCAACTGATAATTCCCAGGAGAGCAGAAGCAGACAATGACATGAACAAGTAGGCCTAAGTAGCTACCAAGGGGTTACTATGAGGGAGCCAGTGAGAAAGACATAATCATATCCGTAATTATCCTGGATTTTTAAAAGTTGGATTTTTTTACAAAAAGGATTTTATTTATTTATTTTGAGAAGGGAAGGGATGGAGAAAGGGAGAGAAACACAGTGTGTGATTGGTTACCTCTCGCACACCCCAACCGGGGACCTGGCCCGCAACCCAGGCCTGTGCCCTGACCAGGAATCAAACCAGTGACCTTTCAGTCTGTAGGCTGGTGCTCAATCCACTGAGCTGCACCAGCTAGGGCTGAAAGTTCTTTTTATCAGTGTTCCAAAAGATCACTGAAAGTTCACTAAAAACGTCAGTTCTCAAACTACAGGTATAACTGGTGTGAGCAGCTCACATATTTGGATCAAGAAGGAAACCGCCCCCCCTAAAATCAGTCCAGACATATGCAAGTTATCAGGGTAGTATTTGGGGGTTGGGAGACAAAAACGATTTATTACTAGACCAGATGAGACCAGTCCACTTTGACCCTGGGCACAGTACCCTCTGATAGTTCTGTTGAGTGAGAGTACAGGAGAAAAACTAAACCACACAAAATTTCTGTGTCTCACATTTGGCTCTGATCTAAGATTTCCTAAGATAAGCCTGTTATTCAATGAAAGTCTCAATTTTATAATCCAATCTACTTTATATATTATGACTCAAAGTTTACAACCTAGCATCCATTTCTTAGCAGCATCAATCTAATTAAGGCTACTTAGGTAAGGGCCAGCTGTGGTATATAACACACTTTCTTTTCATTATCCTTCATCATTCCTTTAAAAATCTACAGGGAAAAAAAGCAAGAACAATATACTCACTGAAGATCCAAACAATTCTAAAATGTGTCCACTAACCCGCTCTATGTCTAACATCATATTAAAATTACTGAAAAGAGACACATGCTTACCTTTAGCACCAGACAGTAGTCTGTAGGGGCTTTGTACTTGTTCCGATAGTCCTGTCCATAATAAACGTTCACGTGGTCCAGCTGGAGAAAGCAGACCAGGTCCCGAGAGACCTACAATAAAAAACATCCAGACGGAGATTTAACGATAATGTGTAAGCAATCAAATATCATAACTGGTAACAGTTTCTAGTAGAAAAATCAAAACTTTACCAAGTAGAAATTACTGCTCTTTTGCAGAAGACAGTGAAATTTCCTAGAAATGTTTCTTTTTCAATCTATAATGCAACAAAAAAGGCCATCTTACTTAACTGTCTTGCTATTTACAATGAACACTGACTTGCTTGGAAAAAAAAACTGGCATTTTAAAGAAACTTTAAATACAAGGGGGAACCCCCCAAAAAGAACAGAATTTATTTGTAAAAAATGGTGTATTTATTCTTACATATTTAAACTTCAGTCACTTTCAAAGTACTCTCCATTTGATGCAATATACCTATTGAGATGTTTTTCCACTGCTCAAAATAGTTTTTGAATTTGTCAGTTTTGATGCCTTTCGGTGCTTCTGCCATTTCTTTGTTTTACCTCTTCCAGGTTGGTAAAACCTGGAAGAAATGTTTTCCTTTGAGGACTTTTTTCATCCAGGGAAACAAAAAAGTCACTTGGGGTGAGACTGCATGAATAGGGAGGGTGGGGCACAGAGGCAGTGCAGTTTTTGGTCAAAAACTGCTGTACACTCAGTGCAGTGCGGGATGGTATGCTTGTAAGTCACCCATCAAGAAATGGGCAAACTCACCGAAAGTCTCTTCTAAAAAAAACACTGAAGCCAAATGCAGCCTCTCACAACAATACCAGCTGGCACACTGATACAGCTGTGTTCCTAGATCACTCACCTAGTGGGGGAAGCCTGTACTACTAGGCTCCCCCCCCGAAGATAATTCCAGTTTTGGGGGGTGCCCCTTCATATGGTATAACAGGGGTCCCAAACTCCAGGCCATGGACCAATACCAGTCTGTGCCTGTTAGGAACTATGCTGCACAGCAGGAGGTGAGCTTGAATGTAATGCAGTAGAATCCACCCTGAAACCCTCCCCCCAGTCCCTCCATCACTGGAAAAACTGTCTTTCACAAAACCAGTCCGTGGTGCCAAAAAGTCTAGGGACCGCTGGATAGTATATTATATACAATACAGTATAATAGAGCTCTTTGGAAAGAGCAAGAAAACGTAGTTCAGTGTCTGTACACACATATACCAAGTATAGCATTTCTCAAGTCAGGGTTTCCTCACCAGTTAAACAGGGTCTGCCTCTCAGGATGGCAATACAGACCGGAAGCAGTGATGCTGTAAGGAGCTTAAAACAGTGCTGGCCCTCAGTAAGCACAGAAGTGACAGGTACCAAGGGGGCCCTCGGAAGAAGCATATCACCCAAGCAAGGCTGAAACAGCTATAATCCCAGACAGCTATTCTCCCCAAACAACAACAAGCAAAAAACCACTCTTTTAGAAGTTCCAAAAATAATAAATAAAAGTATGGTTCAAATTTGGCAAGAGAATTGAGATGGGCCAAACCACTGACCAGAGAGAGAACATTTTCAGGTTTCTTCTTCTTTATAACATGTCAGTAAGCAAAGCAATGTTCTGTGTGTCCTACAGAAGTTGAAACAAATCAAAGTCTAGATTCGCCTTGTCAACACACTCACTACAAATTAAAATCAATTAGCATAATGAAGAAACTCAAAAGCCAGCAGAAGGGGACACACCTTTGCTTTTCCTTTAGGGACGTAGTAAATACCAGATGCTCGCAAGAGAAAATAACGCTTTTTCCAGGACTTCTTGCCATCATCTTTCAACCAAAGGACTCCTTCAATTTCTGGTACAGTTACAGAACTTCCACAAAAACATTCCTAAAATAAGAAAATAAGTAGGAAAGACTTATATGATCCTTGGATTCTCATAACAAAGTTGTGTTTACACCTGTGAAATATATGACAATGTAATTAAACCAAAATGACTTTGTAAAAATAACATGCTGCTAATTTTACCTCAGTTTGAATTCTCTGTTCTAAACATAATATGGATTTATTGTGGAACTACTATGGCAATCCCTATGAACTTTTACCTAAAAACTTTTTTTGAAGAAACTAAGATGAAATGTTAATGAGCTGCATATAATAGCACTTAAATGAATTTGTAAACAGCATACTTATAATACATTTAATAAAAGTGTCAGACTAACATAAACACTGAACTTTGTTTTTTGTTAAATTATTAACACATTTAGATTAGCTGTCAAGCTGAGTAGGAATATACTTTAAAAGAAAGCAACATGCTAAGTGAATGATTAAACTTTCGCAATTTAAAAATTCTATCCATTTATGTGACTCTAAAACAAAGAGGGCATTTAATTTTAAAACATTTAATATTAAACGAGCCCTGGCTGGTGTGGCTCAGTCAATTGAGTGCCGGCCTGCAAACCAGAGCTGCCAGTTCTATTCCCGGTCAGGGCACATGCCTGGGTTGCAGGCCAGGTCCCCAGCAGGGGGCTGAGAGAGGCAACCACACATGGATGTTTCTTTCCCTGTCTTCCTCCCTCTTTTCCCCTCTCTCTAAAAATAAATAAATAAAATCTTAAAAAATATAAAATTGAAATAAATGTAAACAAACTCAAAATTTTGAATTCTACCTATACTTAGAAACAATTTTAACTTTAAAATAAAAAGCAATCATGTATTTGGTAAAAGATTTTTAGAAATGTTCACTAAACATTAATATAAGATATTCTGAGCCTAAATTAATTTGTCTCTCCCCAATGTACTGAAGAATTACAAATTACAGAGGACTTTTCTTAATAATAGTGTCATATGAAAAGCTGAATGCTGATCTTCATTGTCCTACTTACCTTGTTGCTAAGAAAGCAATTTATTCAGATTTTCAAACATTCCCTTGTATCCGCAAAAGCTAAAAAGCTAAAAATTCAATTATATTTGAATTTGTGTTATTACTCTTCAAAATAAGGAAATGTATGTATTTTTAGAAATGACTATGTTTTTAAAAATACAGTTATGTAAGACTAAGGCTTGAACTATTTTGTGAACAGCTAATTACATTTCCAGCACCATAAAACAGCACCATCACAGGCTCCGCTGACCAGCCTTTCCTCTCACTCATCAGCCCCAAACAGCTCCTGCTCCTTTCAGCACGCCAGCACACTGCATGGCAAGGGAAGTTTTTAAAAGCTTCTTCAGTGGTCTAACATTCATACAGTTGAACTCTCTCCCTCAGGCTGCAGAAGAATACAGTGTTCTCTAGCTACAACTGCAAAAATACATATACTGCACTGACATACTTCAAAAAATGTGCTTAATTTTTTAATATGATCAAGTGCAAGGAAAAAGAACGATGGTGGAGTGGAGAATCAAATCATACCTCCAACAGCACCTCTTTGTTCCTGTCAGCCATCTCAGCGGTTTCCTTTCTCCCCAGAAGATAGTTCTGGAAGAATGAATGAAGGAAAGTTAAAGGATACATGTGTTCTATTGCCCCCTTGGCACAAGTGCATATGTGATTGCTTCTAGAGACACAGCGACTCTGCGGCGACTTCCGCCTGTGCAGAGTGAGAAGGAACACTCTTTGAAAAGCCACCTGTGTGTGGACATCACCACTGAATGGTTAGCTCTGGCCCCCGCCCTCACCTCTGCCCACGTCTCTGGTAGAACCACTCTATAAACTCCTCTCCCTCAAACCCTGAGGTGACACTACGTGCAACAGCTGGCTAATGCGTTTCCATGTATCTAATGAAAGCTACACCTACAGGACCTGACAGGTTCACAAATTATTAACACAAAGAAGGCAAATTTCCTTAAAATATGCTGAGCTTAACTGATCCAAATGCAGAAAATTTAATCTATGTTCTGGCTTTTAAAGAAGAAATCCAAAATTCTCTGAAACTATCATAATCTCATTTGGGTGACTCAACTAAACTATAAAGTCTAATTATAAGCCTTATGAAAAAATTTTCACAATCATCCATAAAAAAGATCTGTCGGTATTCCCAGATGGATAATCTTCACTAAAATATCCAGTGAAGTTGTCGCATGATTATGCCACCTGAAAGATAACTACTGTGTACCTTTAACACTGCTACTATTTTTCCTCATTACTACTTTTTATACTGGGGTTGTTCTCTCACCTGATTTTTATAAAATATCTGGGTAATAGGAAGTATTAACTCAAACATTCTAGAATAAGCAAAGATACCAAATAAATTGAGATAACATACAGTAGAATGTGGAACCAGTTATAATCAAGGTTACTGTGATAAAAAAAGTAACTTAAAAAAGAAATCAAAGAAAGTATAAACTGGATAATGGCTGAAGTAGAAAAACTTAAATATGTAAGTACTTTTCTTTGATGGATAAGAAACAAACCAAACAAACAGCTATTGAACACAGCTCTGTATTAGAGAGAGCAGAAACCTGGTAACTCTTTGGAGTGACTTCTATTTCTCCGCAGGCTCACCCCATCTGGCTCTGCGGGCTGGTAACTCCTTTGAGCCTTGACACCTGGGCCCAGCAGTCCTTCCACCTCAGCAGTAGTGAGTGTTCCCAGGGGGGTTTGCAACCCCAGTGTTCCAATCAGGTGGATTCTAGTCTTTTAACTCTATTAACTTAGCAGTAATAGAGTAATACAAGAATAGTACTAAGAAGTAATATAACAATAAGAGGTTAAAAATCCTAACCTCACCCTGGCCGGGTGGCTCAGTTGGTTGGAGCACTGTCCTGTGGACCAAAGGGTTGCAGGTTCGATCCCTGGTCAGGGCACGATAACTAGGTTGTGGGTTTGATCCCCAGTCGGGGCACATACGGGTGGCAACCAATCAGTGTTTCTCTCTCATGTTGATGTTTCTCTTTCTCTCTTCCTCTCTCTCTAAAATCAATCAACATATCCTCAGGTGAGGATTAAAAAAAAAAAATCCCAACCTCTACAAGTTATTGAGTCTTACCTGTGGGTTTTTGAAAAGTGCATATTTTTCTATACGCTCCATAAATATAAGCTTGTTTTGGCTATCTCTTGTCCAATTAAGAAGATTTTCAACCAAGTTTTCATGATCTTCAAAGATTCTCTCTGTTCCAAATAAAATGTCAATATTTTGTTAGTATTCACCAGAATGGCATCAGAGACATGAAACCTTGTAAAGTGATTCACAGCAGAAATGTAAAATCTTTACTGACACCACAACCCTGGGCACTTAGAAGTTATTGGTTTTCTACCTATTTTCAAATAAGGGAACATGTCTTAACAGTGGTAAGTGACTTCAGCAAGGTCACACAGCTGCTACGCAGAAGAATCAGGACTAGAACTAGGTCTTCTGACTTCTAGGTTTCCTTCAGCTTTCAGTTTTTTCCCATTCCATCGTTTTTTGCAATTTCTTGAGAGTTGCTTATGGCTTCATACTTAATTTTTAGAATATTCCATTTCTGCTTGAACAAAATGTGTATTTTTCTGTTATTAGGTAGTGTACTGAACATTTGTAGATCAAAAAAATTACTTTTCAAATCTCCTACATCCTTTTCTGTCTGCTTGATTGTACTTATCACTGAAAAGGTTCTACTGTGAAGGCTGACTTGTGGATTTCTCCTGTAGTCATCCATTTTTGCTTATACATTTTAATACTATTAGCTAAAACTTAGAAGGTGGTCTCTTTTTGACGAATGTGTTCTCATCTCTAGTAATGCATTTTGCTTGAAGTTTATTTTATCTGATATTAATATAGTTAATTATCTTTCTTTTGGTTAGTGTCTTTTCACATTCTTTTTATTTTCAACCTTTATGTGTCCTAGGTAATAGGTCTTGTCTGAATAGCAAACAACTACATTTTGTTTATTCATCCTTTCTAATAATCTTTGTTGTTTAACTGGGTAGTTCACATGTATAATTTGTTTCCACCATCTTATTTTGGGCTCCTAGTAGTCCCTTGTTTTCTTTTATTCATTCAACAAATTCTGAATAACCACATACTATACTTTTTTTAAATTTTATTTTTCAATTTAGTTCACATTTACTATTATTTTTTATTAGTTTCAGGTACACAGCATAGTGGATACACAAGCAAATACTTCACAACATGGTTCCCCTGATAATTCAAGTGCACGCCTGGCTCCGTACAGACTTATTACCATATTAACTGACTACGTCCCCCATGCTGTACTTCACACCCCTTGACTCCGTATTTTGCGACTACCAATTTGTAGTTCTTAATCCCTTCACCCTGTTTACCCCTCCCCTCTAGCAACCAGTCAGTTTTATCTCTGTATCTGTGAGTTGACCTCATGCTGTACTTGAAGCACTGTGCCACATATGATTAAATAAGACACCATGGTCAATTATATAAGAGGTAATACAGAAATATAAGTTTCAAGCTATGGCCATGGAAATACACACATTTTCTGTGTACCATGATACTACTACATTTGTGAACTAAACAAATTTTCTAATTCATTAAGAACAAATATAGATGAATATTGGGAACATATTTTTATACATATTAATGAAGTTCTAATAACTTATGATTTAGTTTTGGGAATTGTGTACATATGTTCTGAGAGTGGGTTAATAATTAAATTTTTATTTCTCTGGAAATTGCTTTGAATATTTAAAGATAGTAAGTAATGAGAGAAATACAAATAAATATTTTAAATAAAATAGCAAGTTAAAATTGATAACGGATTCAATAAAGTGTAATAAAATAATTATTGCAAGGTTTCTGTAATCATACAACTAACACTTTTTAAGAGTCATTGATGATATAAAAAATTAGAATGTTTATAATTAGAAAACACCTTAACAAACTACATATCTTAAGAAACTAAGACTTAATATACCGCCCTGGCTGGCGTAGCTCAGTGGATTGAGTGCGGGCTGGGAACCAAAGTGTCCCAGGTTCCATTCCCAGCCAGGGTACATTCCTGGGTTGCAGGCCATAACCCCCAGCAACTACACAGTGATGTTTCTCTGTTTCTTTCTCCCTCTCTCTCCCTCTCTCTCCCTCTCTCTCCCTCTCTCCCTCTCTCTCTCTCTCTCTCTCTCTCTCCCCCCACTCCCTTCCCTCTCTAAAATAAATAAATAAATAAAATCTTAAAAAAAAAAAGACTTAATATACCTAGCTAAAAATAAGAAACCTGTGCTTTTTGTTTCCCCTGAGAGTCCTATACTGGTATAATAACTTCAGTACAAATGGGAATAATACACTGCGCTTTAGTTAAGTGTGCTGATGTATGCAGTTCTTATTTGAAAGGAAATACTATTGTGTTGCCTTAAAAAAAACTTTGTTCTAGCAAGATTTTATCAGAGATAAAAAAGAAAAGAAAAAGAATAAACTCATATTTTTACTCATATATCAGTGTGTTTCCTTGAGTTACATGTGATTTTTTGTTGATATTAAATATTGATGCAATATTCCATAAACTGTTAAATCATAGAACTTTCTTAGTAATCCCTAAATGTCTTCCTGTTTGGTAAAAAAGTTCATGGACTTGGGATATAATACAAAAATCTTTTATCTTACTCCTTTTTTTTCCTGTTTGAAATATTTGCCTCTATTAAAAATGTCAAATATTTCATGTAAAAAAAAATCTGGAGTGAACTAGAAATCTCATATTCAAAGGAATCTCAAAATACTTGAAAAAAAGATCATGTAAAAAGCCATAGTTATATTATAGGAGAAAAACATATATAAAATATGTGTCAAGGTGCTTTGGTTAACACAAAAACTGGAATTACACAGAAATCAAAAAGTAACTGAAGTACTGGGATTACTAACCCATCTGTAACTCAGAGATGGTTTCCACCAGCGACCAGTCTGAACTGTACCCGCAGTGGGACTTGTCCATCAGGTTGTCCAGCACTTGTCGCACGGTCTGTCTCTCGTCCACCATCATTGTTTTAGAGCTATCATCAGACATGTGGACTCTGATCACCAGCTACAACAGGCAAAAAGAAAATTAAATGCAAATAAAAAATTAGACATTTTAGAAAATTCTCCAAATATTGGCAATGTTCTCAGTAATATTCTTAGTTAAATATAAATTAAACAACTTTATTTCGTAAAAAATACTTTAAAATTAGGTATCAAATAACATACCTTAATAAATTTAAGGTCTTTTTTTAAAAAGTATAATAGCAGATAAGATTATAATAACAGTATTTTGCTTTACTCTTTTAGGATAATATAAAACTAGAACGTTATATCTTTTATAATGCATTTTATCCATAAAAAAGTACATGTGAAACTATATTAGGAAGAAATAACCCTCTCCCTCTCCATATCGTAGAGATACATTATATAAACAAGGCAATTCTTTATAAATCTGTAAAACTGATAAAAATCCCAGACCCGGAAAAAGCCCAAATACCACCTTCTTCACTTGTGCCTCTTTAATCTTCTCCAGGGCAACTCTGATCTTCTCAGCTTTCAGTTTTGCTGCTTGTTCCTCCTGTGAACAAAAGCACTTTAGATAAACTCATGCTAAAATTATGGGAATATTCCAGGAGTCTTTTTATCCTTGAGGATATTGCTAGCATTGAGTTTCAGTAAGGATATAACTGCATACATATATAGAGCGTATTTAAAAAATAACCCTATTCACAAAGAGCTCACTTTTTTTACAGATGCAGACTTAAGATCTCTTTATAAGACCAGATACCATATTCTAGAGAAAAAGAAATTGGTGATTTAGTAAATTATGAGTTTGATTCTGTCAATCTGGAGCAGATGAACTTTGGGTTCTAGGGTCAGGGAAACATGAGTGTATATTTGCTTATCTGTGGGCCTGCCAATTTATTTTATCTGTACAATCCCTAACTCTGAATTTACACCCCCCTTCTCAAGTATGGGCAATCTTTTGCATACTGATGTTTTGTTATGGTACACTGAAAATGTATCATCGCCATAAAAATAGTAAAAACCAAACCAAACAAACAACCCCAGCATCAGTTTGTTTACAACCACATAAAACTCCTCAATAACAAATATAGGTACAATTTCACTAATATACCAATACAAATAGAGAAGGCTGTGTTATCTTCTAGGTTTTTACTCTGCTTTGGAAAACTACATAGTGTAATTAATGTCTCATGTCAATAAACTCAAATTTATTTCTATTAATCCACTGATAAATTTTTAAAAGTCAAATATAATTTTCCAAATATTTAATTTCTAGAAACTTCTATTTTTTAACATTTGCATAAGTAGTAATAAAATTATCAAGAACTATACTTAAACCATTTATCTATTTTTCCTAAGACATGCAGTACTATGATACCAGTACTTACTTGCACTTTCCAGCAATAGGCCATAGTACACTGCAGCATTAATCTCCGGTTGGAAAAATCATGTAAGTAAACCTTTGCCTATAAAGGATTACTTTCTAACTCTAAACTTTGATTTCTTTGGAAAATAACTAAGAAAATAGAAATTGTCATCTTGTAGATTTCTTTATTTAATATAAAACTTAAAAAAAAAAAGAAGACAAAAGAAAAACCTAATTATATCAGCCACTTACTTATCTGCTCTGGATTCTGATTAAACACCACAATTCATTAAAAACCTAATGCTCTCAGGGCAAATACACCAAAAACTCAATCCACTAATAACGTTATTTACTGTTTTCTAAATTTGGTTGGCTCTCCTGTTTCTGAACTGCTTCTCTTGCCATTTCACATTCTCAACTGTCTCCCTTCATTTCAAGCTTAGTATTTACTACTCCGTGGAACAGAGAAGCAAACAGTGGTTAGGGAAGACAGCAGACTTGTTTGTCAGAAATCTGATCCTTTTCAATGAAAGGAGCCAGCGAATTAACATAATAACCAAGGTCTGGAAATACTATCTGTAAACCCAATTAGACAGAGAACAAAGAACTTTATTTTAACAATGGAAGGGAGTAAGATAAAACTTGATTTTTAGACTATTATAGATATATTCATTTGATTAAAAGATCACATCATCCTATTCCCCTTTTATGCAAATACACAGTAACAGAATTATAAAATATGTTGACTGTGTATTTTAAAATAATTGTTTTCCATTTATGGCAGGTTATAAAATGAGAAAACTAAACTACTGTCAATTTAAATCTCAAAATCTGATGAAGAAAAACTGATACATAGAATTAATGCTTTGTGTACTTGGAATATGAACTTCTAAAAGGCCAAATTCATATTTTAATTAACATGGAGAAGTAAACAAACAAAAAGATGTCCTCAAAGCCATAAAACATTTTCAGGAAAAAAATACATTCAAGAGAATGAGATGACAGGCAAGCCATAGACTAGAAAAAAATGTCTGCAAAATATTTATCAGACATTTGATGAAAGACTTATCTGAACTATACAAAGAATTCTTAAAACCAACAAGAAAATGTACAAACCAATTTAAAAACAAGCACTAGACCTTAACAAACAATTCGCCAAAGAAGATACACAGATGGCAAATAAAACTATGAAATAAATGCTCAGAGATCATATATCATTAGGGAACTGAAATTTAAAACAATGAGATACCACTACACACCTATTAGGAGGGCCAGAATCCAAAACACTGAAAACACCAAATGCTGGTGAGGTTGTAGAGCAACAGGAACTTGCATTCATTGCCAGCAGGAATGCAAAATGGTACAGCCACTTTGGAAGACATTGGTGGTTTCTTATAAAACTAAACATGCTCTTATGATACAACCCAGCAATCACGCTCCTTAATATTTACCTAAATACGCTGAAAACTTACCTTCTCCCCAAAACCTGTCCATAGATGTTTATAGCAGCCTTATTTATAAAATGCCAAAACATCCGTCAGTAGATGAATGGATAAACTGCACTGCATCCAGACAATGAAATATTATTCAGTGCCATTGTAAAAAGAAATGAGCTATCAAGCTATGAAAAGACATGGAGGAAACTTAAAAGCACATTACTACGTGAAAGAAGCCGATCTGAAAAGGCTACATACTGTGATTGCAACTAAATGACATTCTTAAAAGCGCAAAACCATGACTACGGTAAAAACATTACTGGTTGTCAGGGATTGGGCGAGGGAGAGATGAACAGGTGGAGCCTGGAGAATTTCTGTGGGAGTGAAACTATTCTGTATGATACTGTATGGTAGATATATGTTGTTATACATTTGTCCAAAGTCGCAGAATGTACAACACCAAGAGTGAACCCTAATGTAAACTGTGGACTCTGGGTGACAATGATGTGTTAACACAGGCTAATCGAGTGTAATGAATGGGCCATTCTGGGGGGATGGTGATCACAGAGGCCAGGCGTGTGTGGGGGTAGGTGGCACACGGGACACCTCTTCACCTTCCTTTAATTTTACTGGGAACCTAAAACTGTAAAACATAAAGTCTATTCAAAAAAGTAGAAGAATTTAAATATTACATCTGATATTGGTTATAAATTTTATTATGACAATTTATTTTCATAACTCTTTAGTATATTATTGAAAACACAATCAATGCTATCTTTGGAAAAACTGACATTAAAAAATCGTTCAATTAGAAGATTAGCTTAAACGCCCATCAGTTTCTGCCCCACAGGCTAACAGGAAAGAAGCTGACACAGTGGAAGAAAGGTTTAAAGAAACAAGAGACCCTAATAATTTTAGTTAAAAAAAAAAAAAAAAGAAACAGGAGATACATGCAACCAATGAACATACATTAAACTGATTAGGTCTCCTGCCATCCATAAGAAACCATTTTTAGGTAAAACAGTGAGGTGGGATATTTTAACATCCAAAGCCAGCAATTCTCCCATTTGCTTAAAATACTACTCTTTATATATATTGGTCTGTGTAAAACTGTATCAAATTCAAATTTAAGGGCTATGTGCTCTATTTCAACCTTGGCAATTTTTAGTTCATTCTTCTCTAGTTTATTAACAAGGATATCCCTGCTAGGAGCTTTTCAAAGAAACAATTGATAAAGATACCTCTGTTAGGGTCTGAGTATCATCGCTAGAGCAAAGTGGAAATAAAACATTTATACCAAACTGCAAAATTCATTGTACTTTGTTCTTCTGGCGGAGAATACAAGCTCTTCCTCAGAAAGTTTGATTTTCATCTACTATATATAAGCCATAATCATATCTTTTAACCATAACAATCTAAGAAAGGAAGAAACAGTTGTAAGCTTATAGAGTATTATGCAACATAGGAAAGATCAATAAATCTTTGCTGATATATTTAGTTTGTACACTTAGAAGATATCTTAGTTTATTTATAAAGGAAATGCAATTCTATGTTTAATGTCTGCAGCCCAAGTTTAATACAAAGAACAAAGCTTTATTCATCTCACGTTCTCTTCTTTTTGTTAAAGCTGACAAGCTCAGGTCTTAAATCTTCCGCCCCTTATCTTTTGACTGTCCCTTTCTTCAGGCCGTTTGTCCCACAACTATCCTACATATAAGTAAAAGATACCCCACACACATAACAACTTAACTTTCTCTCCTACCCCGTCTCTTAAAAGAGCAAGAGACAACCCATTTTCTACCTGAAAAACTCCTGTGTGGCTATCAATAATCATCAAATGCCAGGCCTCCTCAAATTTACATAAAAGACAAAAACTTGGTGAAGATCTTATGATTAAATGAAAGCCAATGCTGTGGCTACAAAATGTTAGAACATTGTCTTCAGTGTAAAAATCAGAATACTTAGAGAAAGAGTTACAGTTGCTAAGAGATGGCTAGGGAATTCCTTCAACCAGAAATTATTAAGGCTTTGTGGGTTCAGAACAAATCCATCTGAAATTAAGGGGCTAAAGAGTAATTAGTTTCTTTGGGATCTAGTTTATTTCACAGATTACAACAATAAAAAAGTTAGGTAAATTAAAAGAATTCAAAGAAAACTTGTAATTATAAGTAATTTAATATCCATGAAATGGTCTATTCAGTGCAACTGCTTAGAGCCAAAATGATAACAGTAACAACTAGTTTACTTCCCTTACAGTAATCATGAAACTGATAAGACTCTCACTGAGAAGAGAACTAACATTAACTGAACACCCTAAAACTTGTCACACACCAGTTGGCATGCTACACACAGTATCTCATTTAATTTTCAATAATGTAAGGCTATGATGATTATTTCCATTGTACTGATTAACTAAGGCCCAGAAAGACTAATCTTTCTAAGACGATACAGGCTCCAAGTGACTACTTGCTCTTTCCACTACAGTGTGACAGTCCCTTCTGTCCTCCTAAGGGTTATAACACAAACTTTGGGATAGCAGTTAATAAAAGCTGCCTGTCAAACATGAAACAAGGATGACGGTGGTCAACATTACAGCAGTTCCTGGAACCCCGATGGTCACTAAACAACTGTTCTCTCATTGGACAGATGTCTGCTGAGACTGAGCAGCCTTGGGTTTGAGCGCAGGGGATACAGAGTTCCAGCTCGTACACGTACGTTTAATAAGAGAGACAAAACAAACAAGAAATACACATGTGATAAGTTAGTTAGTGATAAGGCCTATGCGGGAAAAATAAAATAAAGCAGGGTAAGAGTGACAAATATACACTTCCAGATCAGGAGGTCAGGAAGGCCTTTAGAATGGTATCCAGAGAGTTAAGGCCACTGCATCAGCAATGTCCCTTGCCCTCTGCTCTAACTGATGGCAAAACAGTCCTGTGTTGATACTAATGCCACCCCTAGAAGAAACTGGTTAGCACTATCTTTTGCAGAGTCTCCCAGCTCAGAACTCCGTGTGAAATAGTTATTTCATTAACAGTGGTCCAGTTACAAGTGGATTGGTGGAACAAACTCTCTCTCTGTCTCTCTCTCTCTGTCTCTCCCCCCCGCCACCCCCCCACGCACCCGCCCTCTCTGTTGCCCTGGCCTAAACACAGTGCTACTGTGTTCATCCTGCTGTGTACTAACTACTGCGTGTTACACTGTTTGGAATGAAAGAGCGCTGGTCAGAGGTGTGTCAGTAACCTGGGCACAAGCTCTTCGGACAGAGAGAACCAGACTGCCAAACAGGAGATATCTGAGAGGTATAAGCTCATTTTAGTTTCAAAACAGCCAGACACTCTGGAACAGAGAACACTGACACTGAGAGATCCTTGTGGCTCAGGTTATCTTGGAAGTTCTGCCACTTCATCCCTGATTCCATTTCCTTCCTCGCCCTAAATGTTTAGGTTCTATGCACATTCCTGCTCAAATTTCTTATTGTATGTAAGCAGGATGTTATATAGGCAGGTGTTGATTATAAACACCAGTAATACCATCACTAGGGCAACAGAAGAAGAGATGATCTGAGTAGGGAATGGCTCTGATGCTGCAGTAGGTATTACCATCTCTTGGGCAGAGGACGATAAGTTACTGACTGCATTTATGCAAACCTTGCAAAGAACTACCCTCCCTGTGGTAGCAACTATTTTGTTCTCTAGCATATTGGATTGTAAATGCTGTGCAGCACATAGTAGGTACTCAGTAAATATTTGTTGAATGGATAGAGTCACTCTTGTCTTCAACAGTTTCCCACTGTATCTGGGGAAGGGGGGACTCCTTAGCATGCCTTGAATGATTTGGTTCCTGCATACCTCTCCAAATCCAAATCAAGACACTCATACCTTCTTTCAACAATTGTGGCTCCAGCAATAGATCCTTTTCTCAGCTTCTCAAACCAGGCTCTGCTCTCTCTGGTCCTATCACACAGACCGATCCCCTCCACCCTCGAGATGGAGTCTTTTCATCCTTTAAGCTTTAGATTAAGTGTCACCCCCCTTAGAAGGGTCTTTTCTGATTTTACCATCTAAAGGAAATATAGTCTTCCATCATAGCATGTAACATGATTAGAATCTGTCTACATGCTTGCTGGTGTTTTAAATTTTATCTTAATAGACTGTGACTTCCTGGGGGGGGTGGTGCAGGGGGGCATATGGCCATTTTACACAGTGTTATATCCCAGGAGCTAGCACAGTACATGAGTCAACAAATATTTGTTGAATGAATACATAAGCAATGGAAATGCAAAAATTACACTTAATCTGTGAGCAGTGTACAAAATGGACTGCAGGAGGGACAGGCAAAGGAAAAGAGATGAGTGTATTGGCTCTGGTGAGAGATCAGAGCCTGTTTTAGGGTGGTGGCAATGGGGATGAAACGGGAGGGTGAAAATAAATCCTGCAGACTACCACGAGAGTCACCAGAGCTTTGAGATCTAAGTGAAAAGGCACCAAGAATAGTAAAGGGCTCAGACCTGGGCAATTGGGAGAATGGCAGCATTCTGAACAGAAACAGAAATGTCAAAAGAAAAAGACTAATATAAATTGTGAGGCCCAAAGGTAAGGAAGCTAAAGACCTGTGGGATTCAAAGTGCTGGTCATCTCCCAGGAAATGCCTGTTGCCTATCTGGAAATTTGTTGCTCTCAGGTTCAGAGTATGATCTAGAACAGAGATGTTAGTTGAAGCTGTAAGCGTGAACGCCAGCTAGCGAGAGAGTAAATAGAGCAGAGCTGAGGAAAAGGAAAGAACTTTCCTATGGTTATAAAATACATGTCTATTATCTGCTTTGAATTCTCCATTTCCCTGACCTTTAAGCTACTTCTAACCCACTCCCAGATCTACTTTTAAGGAGCAAGAGAAAAGGTTTCACTGCTGACTCTTGGGTCTTCTTTTTGAGCTGCTTCTCATGGAGATTTTAATTTTAGATTTATCATTTTCTTTTACAAGTTTATAAGGCTAAGAAATGAAAAAAATTTAAAAACCTTCTGATACAATAAAACTTAGCGACATTACCTATAATTAATATGCATAATTTAGAAACCAAGTCTGACACTCTGGAATTTAACATAAACAATGAAATAAAAACGTGACTTGAAAAGAGGTAGAAAGCTATCCCCTCAGCTTCCTCATTCTGTTACCCTTAGTTAATGATGACAATGGCTAAAAGATTTAAAATTGATGTAAAATACCAGCCCAGTGAAAATCTGGCTGGTCTGATTCAAATCATTCTGAAAGCGAAGAACTGAGAAATTAAAACTCAACATTTTCTTTCAATCTGATGAAGCTACTGTAAAGATTCTGTTTATATAAATGAGGTGCTGGTAATTTAAACAAGAATTAGAAAACAAAGTCTGCTAAAAGCAACTCACAGCATGAATAACCACTAGTAGTAAAAGTTAAAACAATGATTTTTAGACTTCAAAGTGAAAGACAATGTTAAACTAGAAAAAGTGAAACATATTTGGGAAGACTGTTAGGTATTTATGAAAGTTAAAAGTGAGTGAAAATTCACCGAAAATATTTTCTAATCTCAATATATTCTGATAGTCATTAAAGTCAATCAATAATTACCTTCGGTATAAGAGAAAAAAATACCTCTATTCAGTACAAAGGTGCTGATACAAAAAAGTACAACCTTAAAAATCTGAGAGCACAGTCAAAACCAGAAATTATATTCTACCTACAAGGCAATAAATATTTACATACAGGTGGAAAGAAGAAGTATCACCTTGGTCAGCAAATGAGAAGGTTTTCCTGCAATGTTTCTCAGAAGAAGGGAGGTTTCCCTGTCCAGATAGGAGTGCTTGTGCAGAAAGAGAGAAAAACAAACAAACAAAAAAGGCAATAGAAGTCAATAGAGGGTTTTTTTTGTGTTCAAAATACAAAGCAAGAATGATTTTCTATTATTAATCTTGTATCTTTTCCCTAAACTCACTGAAATGTGTCCAAAAGAAAAAAAAAATTAAAAAGAAAAAAAGGAAGAAAGAAAAGGAGGGGGAGTATAGACACCACCGAAGGCAACAGGCACATCCTAGCCCGCTGCGGCTGCCCCTCACGGGGGACAACGGAGCGTGCACTGCGGAGATGCGGAGCCAGTCCGCCCTCCAGGGCAGTGTTCCCTCCGGGGCAGTGTTCGTGAACGCTGTGCGCACAGCACACGTACGTACACAGGCACTGAAGACCAACGACATATTCCTTCCTCTTGTAAAGTCTACATAAAGACCCACACAGCTTTAAATAGTGTATTTTTATGAAAACAAAATAAGACTACATCATTTCTAAAACTTCTGCAAGTATTTCTGACCAAACTTCAATGATAGCCACACTAATAGGGAACATGTCCATAAATATTTTGCCTAATGAATGTCATCTATTTTCAGTAAAATTTTATTAATTCCTTATAGTAGGATACTAACAGACTATGTTACACAGTAAAGGACTTGCACAGCAAATGAATATGAATAAAATATTAAAAGTGCTGTTCCCTTAAATTGGTTAAATTAATTCAAACAATTAAGATATTTTCATTAAAATGACTGTGAATAACATAGTCCCTAACTATCCTTTTCTCCATTAATAACTTTTTAGTAACATGTTGTAAGTTTATGCAATACATTTAAACTCATGTACTATAAATTACAGCTGTTTTGATATACATGTAATTCAGACTTGCCTGGCCTAAATAATTCCAATTTTAATGCTATGCACCTACTATCATTTAAAACAATACATGGCACAGCTAAGTAGAGTTATAGAAAGTACTCTATAATGTTATATTTTATAAACCTAACTGTGTATCAACTGTTATTCTTGAGAAATTCTTTTCACTTATGTAAACACTACAGCAGCATCTGCTATCACTAAGTTCTTTGTCACAGATAGTAAAACACACTACTTCAAGATTAGAAATAGTTACAAAATATAATATTAACTTAGTATTTACTCATATCTCATTATGTTGAATTAGGTTTTTCATACAGATTTCACTGCCTGTCATTTTTTTAGTTTTGCTTTAATTCAGGATGAACCTTACAAGAACAACTGCCCTCACTCCTGAGGAAAAAAAAAAAAAAAAAGAAACCTAAGGTTAAAAATAATGGATATAGGTGTGGTTCAGTGGATTGAGCTCAAGCCTGTGAAGCAAGAGGTTGCCAGCTCAATTCCCCATCAGGCACGTGCCTGGGTTAAGGGCCAGGTCGTGTGAGAGACGACCAATCAGTGTTTCTCTTGCACACTGATGTTTCTCTCCCGTTCTTTCTCCCTCCCTTGCCGTCTCTCTAAAAGTAAAAAATAAATAAAATCTTTAAAAATATTGGATATATTCATCAAGACTAGCACGAACAAGGTCAGACAATTATCCCTAGGTCATCATTTACCTATATGGTATGATTCTCCTGAGATACAGACACTAGGTCAGCAGAAATTTCCAAAAATTTAATTTAAGTTGAGGTTAAAAATCAGGACCAAGGAGAAAACTATGGGAAATGGAGAAGTCAAAGAATTTAAATGTATGACTCATGGACATGAGCTAAGTTGGGGGAATGATAGTGGGGCAGGGGGTTACAGGGCAGAGGGGAATAAAGGGGAGGAAAAAATGCGACAACAGTAATAGCATAGTCAATAAAATGTATTTTTAAAAAAGAGCAACTATAACTTTCATTGTTCTTACTCCCATTCATTTTTTTGCTATTCACATGTAACTGGGGAAAAAAAGAAATCCTTATACAACTATGTAAAACACACAAAAAATAATTTACTGAAAAACTCCTATTTATCTTACTCTTTCTCAGGAAAAGATTCCCCAAATGAGTAAACATCAATATTTAGAAAATTCCATTTTAAATTTAAAATATTAATCTGCTTCAGCCTATCAGGACAAACTATTACTTGGTAAATATAATTCCAGACCTTAAATTCAAGTTTAAACTTGAATATTTGAAGACTCTAAAGTAGAAGTTATCCATTAAAAAATTTTACAAGGTTTATATAGCTTAAAATAAAAAGGGAATACAGTCATCATTTGGAGTTGGTGACTACAAGATATGCCACATCTAAAAAATGAGACCACTGTCCTGGATGGTGTGGCTCAGTGGACTGAATGCCAACCTATGAACCAAAAGGTCGCCAGTTCAATTCCCAGTCAGGGCGCATGCCTGGGTTGCAGGCCAGGTCCCCTGTGGGGGGTGTGTGAGAGGGAACCTATTTGATGTACCTCTTGCCTATTGATGTTTCCCTCCCTCTTTTTTGCCTTCCCTTCCCCTCTCTCTGAAAATAAATAAAATCTTAAAAAAATTTTTTAAATGAGACTACAAAAGATAGGTGGGGCCGACCATAAATTACTTTATGTTTGAGACAGTCATATATAGCTATTCACTAGCAGGGAAGGAGGCCAGGTCTCCATGTTCTCTCCATCTAAGCTACAAGTATTGTAGCAGAATCTATTTGAAATTCCTTTTAATAGCACTAATAAAAAATTATTAGTATATTAATAAAAAGATAAAATGCAGGAATTTCATTGGGCTTCATTAATAAAGATTGTTTAAAATATTTCATATTACTGTCTTGTTTAAAATATAGCACAATGAGAAATCTGTACTATAAAAAATCAAATATTGAAATCTTACTATCATTACTTCATTCCAACGTCATAAGGCAGGCAATGATTTTGTCATTATATAATTATAAGCAAGGCTCAGATCACTTGCAAGAATTTGGTACTTCCCCATTTTCTTTCCTCTGAGAGTCTATAAACTGTCTCAGCACAGTATCACTATGCTGTAGTCAAGGTTATCTACTGCTTCCTATTACCATATGCAGGCTTGTGTGCCTGCTACTACCTATCACAACACGTCTTAACTCTGGTCCACCCTACACTTCAGCCTTCTTCTTCCTGTAAAAAATTTTCTGTAAAAAAAATTTTAAAACTAAAATATATATATTATTGTACTATAAGTCAATTTTTTGTTATTGCGTTCATACTAGGTATAAGGACATCAAATTCATTAAAAATAGCTAAGTTATATTATCAATTTCATTTGGGGTAGTAAATATAGTGTTATGAATTATTAGTTATAAAATGGGACTGAAAGCATTGAAAACTGCTGCTTCAGTGGAAGAAACAAGTAGATGATGAAGCAAACAAATATTGCAGTAAGTGTGGGTGAGTGTAGGGTAGGGGCTGGAGGGGAGGTTGGAGAAGTGATTTTGCCTATGCAGTGCTGACCAATGTAAATATAATATGAGCTACAAATGTAGTTACAATGTTCTAGTAACCACATTTTTTAACAAGTAAAAAGAAAATGGTGAATTAAGTTAATACCAGTATTTTTTATTTAACTGAAAATATTTACAATATTGTAATTTCACTAAATAATCAATACAAAAAATATTGGAGATATTTTACATTCTTTTTTTAATATCAAGTCTTTGAAATCCAGTGTATATTTTATCTCTATAGCACATCTCAATTTGGATTAACCACATTTCAAGTGCTTAATAGCCACTTGTGGCTACCATACAGAACAGTGCAGCTCTGAAGCATACACTGACCAGGTATCTACTGACCAAAGGATACATTCTTTATAAAGGAAATTAGGTTTTCAGGTAAGCATCAGTGCAAGAGAATCATTCTACTTGATATCCCCATTCTGAAAAAACAGCTAAATTTGTTAATATCTTAAGAAATTTACAAAAGACTTTAGCTTTAGGATAAAAAATAAGGCATATGGTTTCAGGTACCAATACAGAACTTCTCTATATTACATATGCTATAACCTATATAGTTTCACCATGAATATTAATATTCAATAGTGCCATATCACAGAGTTGCTCATTTGCTTTTGTTCATTTATTTTTAAGTTTGGTTTAACTTCTAATTGAGAAATTGAGGTATATGACAGGGTTTCATCATCAAAAGTCCTAAAGAATACATTCCTCTTCATTGATATTTAAGCAGTCCTATGGACATGTTTATAGAACTTACAGGTGTGAGCTCAGCCTGTTCTTCTGTGAAGTCAATATGATGCTTGGCCTGCTTGCTGGGACATCTCAGAGAAATAGCATGCTGTGAAAAATGCAGGAAGAAGAAAATGATAGGTAAAGGAGGTGGAAAAGGGCAGTTCTCATTATCATGCAGGAAGAGAAAAGATCACAGAGATGAACAGTTGAAATAAAATGGTAATGAAAAGTTGCACGTACCTTTCATTATATTATGCAAAAATAAAAAAGGTAAGAACCAGATGATCCTGGCCTTTAATAACTTAAGGACAACCTCACTGTATTTCTGGACAGTAGAGCTCTGTAAGTGAACTATGCAGAAACCCTGTCCATTAACAGTGCATGCTCTGAACCGCAGCTGGGCCTCCACTGCTGTTCGACAGCACTCTGTATTTCCTCCTCACTCACCCTGAGCTTGTTTTAAGTAGTTTCCAAGTTCCTCAAGCTTCTAATTTCACCCTTCCACCTCTTCACATGGTCTCACTTCCCTCCATTACTAAGCAAGTCACATCCAATTATTCTGAGGCTCTTCATCACTAGTATGTCTCCAAAGGTAAGCATGTCCTAGATCCCACTCACTGCCCCTTTCCTATCTCAGTCTCTGACACTCAACTAGTCCAGCTTATTGGTGGCAGGAAGGACAGAAAAAAATCAAGTCTTCTGGGTACCCTCCTCTTCCTAAACTGCTATTTTCTCATTTTCACCGCCAAATTTCTTGAAGTCAGCCATAGCGTACCTCCTCCATTCCCCACAATCTAGCATACACCTATTTTTCCAAAGTCTTTATCCTTGTAGTTGTGATATATTCTGTCATTCATTTTTGAAGTCATCAATGACCTGTTAACTGAGAAGGTTTTCTGTCTTTCCCATCAGTGCCCACACCATGCTGTACTGAAATTGCCTGTTTGCTTATCTGCATTAACACCTGCTCCTCATACAATAAATTACAACCTCATAGGACAGTGTGTATTACCGTTAGAGCTAAGTGCTGTGCCTGGGATTATATGAATAGCTATTTTTTGTTCTTAATGCCACTGCTTGGACAGATGAAGACTGCTTTGCTTTCCTGCCTCTACATCGCCTCATTAAACATATTCTAGAGCACTGTGTCAATCACTACGTCACTGGGAGGACTATCAAATCTATATTGCCAATATCCTCATTCTTAGGAAACAAAGACTGACGTATTAATGACTAAAGTTCCATGATACATGCATTAACTCCAAATAGTTCAGGGAAAAAATGTATGTGTAAAAAGAATAATAAAGTAAATATGGCAAAACATTAGAGATTGGTGAATCTGAGTAATGAGTTTCGTGAGTTCTCTGTACTATTCTTTCATGTTTTTGTAAGTTTGACATTATTTCAAAATAAAGTTTTTAAAAGTCTATTCTCTCTAGACTGTCACACAAGCTCACGTATTTACTGGTTAATTTAAAAAAAATCTAAATCTGAAGTGTTCAAAAAGAAATGACTGCTTGTGTACCATGTTAAACAGTATGATTGAATATTGCAGCTATTAAAATTCAATACATCCTTACCCATAATAAATATGTGTATGCAAAGTGACAAAAACAATAGAAAATAGTACATATGCAAACAAAGATTAAATGCTGTTACATTAAAATGGGTTATGGTATGATAACAATTTATTTAATGTTAATTAGAGTCTATTTCCACAAAACATTTACTTTCCTACAAAAAAAATTGTCTCCCCCAATCTAATTTTATCTGTTCTTCATCACTACTTTATATCTGAAAACTATGCTCAAAACACATAATAAAAATGAAATTTGTGAGTCAATTCTCCACATAAATTTTGCTCTAAACATTCTCAGTTCCAAATCTTCCATTTGTTATAAAACTATGAAGTTTTCCATCAATCTGCTAAAAAACCTCTCCACAAATCTCTGCAAAGTAACGGATCACTACTTTTTTCAACTGAATCTGAAACATGTTAAAATGAAGTATGATTTATGAGCCAGAATCTTAGGCGGGATAGGGTGGGAGGGGGAATATATAAAAAAGCATTGATCTGAACATAGGAGCCAAACCATAAATCAAGAAATAGCTTCGTACCAAAGTCGTGGTTACAAATTAAGCACTTCCTTTTGATAGCTAATGCCTTAGATAACAACTGGAAGTACAGGTTTGTGAACACACATTGGTGTTTCAATAAAGCATATCTATGTTTCTCTTTTATTGACATGTGTATGAGCCTTCCACAAATATTAAAAAAAAAAAAAGGAAGCATAGCATGACAGTTGAGGATGTTGACCCTGGGGCTGGAGTGCTAGGGTTTAAGCCCCAGCTTGGCTATTTCCTTGCAATGTGACTCTGAGCTTCTTATTTAACCTGTTTCCTCAAATGTAAAAGGGGGTTATAATAGCATTTATCTCCAAAGGTTGCCAGAAATAGAATTCTGTTAGAATTAGATTTCAGCCCTCATCTGAATTTTATAAGCTTCAATTCATTTAGATGAGAGATAGCTTAGAGATGTTCAATTTCAACTATATTCAGGGATATACTAAATACCACCACAAGATGGGGATGTTACTGTATAAATCTTTTTGCGTTTTTCCCTCCCACCCATTTACATTCTGTCTCTAAGTCCTCTATCTGAGAATGCTGGCCAGTCTAGCTTTGTCTCGATTCTCCTTCAGTTCTGTGATGAAGCGGCATGGTATCGCAGTATGAGCTCTACAATCAGAATGTCTGGGTTCAAATCCTTGGTAAAGTTTAGTCATTTCCTGCCTTAGTTCCTCCACTGTAGAACAGGAGCAATGTTTTTACCTTACTATTTCTCAAGGTCCCAGGCCGACTGTGTTAAGACATGCACAGCACAATGCTCACCACAGAATAAACACTCAACAGAGTAGCTGCTGTTGTTCCCCCTTCTCTTTACTGCTCTCCTTTTACTGGCCATTTTACAGCCAGTGCTTATTTGAGGGTTTTTAAAACTATTTCTTTTATATTTTACAGCCCCTATTAATTTTAAAAACAGATATACTTCTATTCTTGTTTTAAGAAAAAGTCTTTTACTAGTCCTCCACAACATAACATATAAAAAAATAACAGCCCTAAAACCAAATAAAGATGCCTTTTTACCTCTTCAGAGAAGAAAAACTGCAGATTTCTAAGAAATACACACAGAAAGAAGTCAGGGCATTTATGCCAGAGTTGATTGGGATAATCAATGGGTTTGAAACAGGTTAGTGAGTGGGAACTAGACATTTCCCTTGGCTTTTGCCAAATCTATGGCTCTTCTTCCACTCAGCACCCATTCTTTACACTGTTAGCCTCACCAGGTTACGCCAGCAAAGTCTAGAATTAAAGCACCAAGTTGGAACAAGTAAATACATTTCTGTGAGATGTAGCAACATAGCCATCAGAATTTTAAGAGAAACGTAGCTGCAACAAGTGAAAAATCAATCAATAGCCCCCATCTTTTAGATATGTAGGTCTCAAAGTTTTAGGCAGCCCCGTGCTTCCCTCCTACCCAGTTCATACTCCAGATGTTCAACGGACTGTTTGCTAAGGATAATTCAATGGACTTCAATGCCAGGGCGGGTTTCCCCAATGCTACAAATACGACTGCTGTTTTCTTCCCAATACCTCAAAATTTCCGAGCACATTAAATCTTAAAATAGTTCTGAAAAGTGAAGGAAGTGAGGGAATTACTTTGAAGCTATGATGCTTTGTGTTGCATATTATGAATTATAATAGTATATCCATGAAAGATTTCACTTAATAATGATGCCTATACATGTGAAGAAAACAATAACATTCAAAAGTTTGAGTAGCTCAGATTTTCCTATTATTATATATATATAATACAATCATCAAATATTCTTAAGATTAGGCAAAAACATTCTAAATCTGCCATAAACTACAGTGACAGCTTTTAAAATCACTGTCATTTAAACATACCTTTTCATGTATAAAATTCCAAATTCAGAGGAATTATTAAATTTAAATCCTACCAGAACATAAATATAAAGGTATATTTAAGCATTAACTTTTATCAGTAAACACTATCTTATATAAAATTTATAACACGCAACTGCTATTTAAATTTGCAAACTGCTATCTTACTCTTAAATAAGACAGCAGTTTAATTGTTTTAATCAGTTAATGTGAAAATACCACAAAGATGACAGAAAATTATCTGCAACATTTATTGCACAATGGCTAAGATTTAAAGAGCCCTTATTAGAATTTATTTCAAGCACAACAAATTTTAATTGAAAAAATTAGTAAATAAACATCACTGATGGGGAGCATAAGAATACTGACTGAAATTACCCTGTAACTCATTTTCATGTTTATCCATGTAAAACACTTTTATGCTAAAACATTCTTTAACATTCTGGAAATAAAAGTTTTAACAATCAGCTTCAATTTATTTTTAAGATATTGATAAAAACTGAAAGGCAAATGTTTAGTTTTGAAATTCAAATAGGGATTTCTCAGTTATTCGACCTGCTTAATCTCTTCTTTGGAATAAAGCCCCTACACCAAAGGGATGGTGGGAGGCTTACGTGAGATAACATGTGAAGTGCCTGTGAACACTGTATTTCAGTAAGAGTCGGGAAAGAGAAACTCGGAGAAAAGAAACGTACTCTCCCTCGTGAGAGCCTGTACGGTGCCTATCTACCCTTGCTGGCTCTGAGAGACCAAGGAGGCAGAGAGAAAAGCCACAGTATTATTCACTTTTAGATGGGCAGTATCCGTGTCTCCGTGTTTCCAATATGAGAGATAAAACCAATCTCAAACTGATTTTTCTAACTGCTTTTTGTGTCACTAAACCTCAGCTGCAAGTAACTTCTGTCTTGGGTTTTCTTAAAACAGTTGGGTGTAGTTACGACTCTGAAGAACGCAGTTGTGAAAAACAAGATTCACTTTTCAGGGTTTTCATATGGTACTTCTTTTGTGGTACTCCATCTCCCAACTTCCAAGAAAGTAACTGCTGATAATTTAAGACCGCAGACTTCCAGACACGATGGATTTAATACATGCATATTTGTTCATTCAAATATCTGAGTGCTTCTTATGAACCAAATAATG